CCCATAAACAATGGGCTGGCATGGCCGATAAGGCATCCACGGAGGGAGGCTGTCTCCAAGGCAACCCCCTTTATAGGAGAAGGGGGGGAGGGAGCCCTCCATTCTGTATCACTGGGGGAGCAGGAATAATCACGATAGGGATCAACAGAAACTTGCATCTCCTCAAAAGCGGGCAGCCAGTTCCCGTTCTCCAAAGGAACCTTCTTCATTTGAACCTTTTCAGCTCTTACTGTTGCCAAAATGTGTGTGGGGGGGGAGGCAGGAGAAGCAGCTGTAGGTTAAAGCAAAGGAAACATTGAGGCACAAGGATTAGAGGAATTGCAAGGCTGCGTTTTAATGTTTTAATATTTTAATGCTGTATTTTAATCTTGTTTTTTAAGTTGTATTTCAATCAACTTGTTTTTATTATTGGTTGTTAGCCGCCCTGGGGAGGGTGGGGTATAAATAAAAATTATTATTATTATTATTATTATTATTATTATTATTATTATTAAGGAGCCCTTTGGCCATTTATGATCATCAGAATCCTAACCCTGGCCACATGAGACTCGTATCCATGTATAACACGCTCACATGCAGTGATTTCTTGGATGCATGTCCCTTCCGTGGAGGAAATCTACAGCGGCTGCATGCTGCTCTACTGTATATTATCACCAGGTCTGCTTTTGTCACAGCTACTGTGGACTTTCTGCCATGTATACATGCAGTGAAACAGACAGATAACTATGTACGCTTGATTCCAACAGGGGTAGCGGTGTTTGTCTGCAGCAGCAAAGGCGAGGCAGGGTCCTGCGACATCTTCAAAGCTTACTAGCCTCTAGTTTTTAGTTTATAGTCCGGTGGGTCACGGGACTCTTTGTTGTTTTAAAACAAAAATGGATTCCCCACAGGCAGGCAGAAATAATAGTTTGGCTGTAAACAGCCCCATTATCCCAGACTCAATATTCTGGGTGTAGACATTTGCCAGCCTTTATCCTATCCTGAACCTGTTGGACTAAATACGCCCTCTTATATACAACCTGTAATATTCAGCTCAGCAAATTTTGGCTTTCCATCTCCTCCTTCACAGGTTTGCTATCCTTTCAAGACAACTCTCATGTTCTTCCTTCTTCATTGCCTGTCCTACTTGATTCTATCTAACCTACAATCCCACTACAGTGGTACCTCGGTTTAAGAACAGTCCAGTTTAAGAATGATTCGGTTTACAAACTCCGCAAAACAGGAAATAGAGTTCCAGTTAGCGAACTTTACCTTGGTCTAAGAACAGAATCCAAATGGTGGAAGGGCACAGGTGACGGGAAGCCTCATTAGGGAAAGCGCACCTCGGTTTAAGAATGGTTTTGGTTTAGAAAGGTTCCTGCCCCGTTGTTGCATCTCCAACAGATATCACTACAGTTTTTATACATTTTTGCCAGTCTGACCTGGGTCAGGTACCACAGATTAAGTTCATAAACCAAGGTACCACTGTACTCTCAAATTGCCTACTGCCCCCTTCCATCCTTAGCTTGTTTCACAAGAATGTAGGAAAGGTGAAAAACCAACCGATTTATAAATTTCCCAAGCTATACCAGTTCTTTCTTTCTTTCTTTCTTTCTTTCTTTCTTTCTTTCTTTCTTTCTTTCTTTCTTTCCTTTTCTTTTTAAAAAACACACCTTCTGTTTTCCTGATGCCCCAGCAACATTCTGATTATGACTTTTCCTTTTCGTTTGGGTAGCATTAAAATTATATTATTGGAGCCAAAACTCAGAGGGATCAGACAGAAGCATACAGCTGCAATCAGGGACATTTTTCTGGGGTAGCCTAGGGGACGTGAGCTTCAGGTCTCTTGGATAGGACCCAGATCTCCTTCCCCAGACCCCCTTTAAAAACAACAGGTTTTTAAACAATAATCCTTACAAAGCAGCTGAGCAAAGCACTGTGCCAGTCTAACCTCAATTTCTTGCCATCTTAATATGCCAGAGTTCCTGCCACATGTACCGTACTAGGTGCAGAAAACTCTGTCTGTGAAGGAAAGGAACAGACTGCACTGCACGTCTACACAAGGATTGAGAGAAGCACAGAGATTGGAATTTGGGCTTTGTAAGCCTCTTAAGAGTTTGGTGTGGGAGCTGTAGACTTCAGCTGTCCATTGAAGTGAATGAGCTGTGCTTTCACCTACAGTCGTACATTGGTTGTCGAACGCCTTGGTACTCGTACGTTTTGGCTCCTGAATGATCAAAACCTGGAAGTGAGTGTTCCAGTTTTTGAACTTTTTTTGGAAGCCAAACGTCCGATGCAGTTTCCACTATTGTTTCCGGTGTGCCTGCGCAATTGGAAGCCATGTCTTGGTTTCCAAACGTTTTGGAAGTCAAATGGACTTCCGGGACGCATTCTGCTCAAAAACCAAGGTACGACCTGTATTCTCAACTTCTATGTATTTTTAAATGAACTCAAATATTACAAAATGTCAAGAAGCCCTGAGCAGCCTTCTTTCAGAGGGAACCTAACATATCCAAGTCCTGCACTCCTGGAGCATCTTATAACTGAGAAAAGTGGGCTGAGTATAATGGGCATTAATCCCTCTTTAAAGCTGCCTTCATCTGTCTTGGAAAACACACACACACACACACACACACACACACACACACTAATCTGCCTACAGTTCCAAGAAGATCCAGGAAGGCTCTGCATCACCCAGACATGATGCAATTCCTCAAACCAAAGCAAATGTAGCACACGGACGCAACAGCTTGGCTCCCCCCAGGGACTGTCTGAGTCTCAGGAGCCAAGCTTGCAGAGTCAATTGCAGCCAGCATTTCCCAGCAACTCTCAAGGGGAGTCCAAGAATATCCTTCTAATCAGCAGACCTAATTTCTCTCCTGACTCCCGCAAACGGAGACAAGCTGGGCTCCTTAGCAGCTGCTAATGAGAATGTTCAATGGCATAGACCAAGTCCAGAGACGGTGTTGTAGAGAACTGGGAATCTCAGCTTACCTTCTGTGCTCTGAGGAACCATAGGATGACAAAGGGTTATGATGAAAGACAACAGCACACCCATGGGAAACGCTACGGAAAACATTCAGCTCAGGAGTAACAGAGCAGGCCCACACACACTTGTGAATGGCAAGTCCAGCACAGTGCAGCTCCAAATGGCAACTATTAGGAAGTGAAGATGGAAGAAGCAGACGAAACAGAGAGAGCAGGTAGAAAAAGAGGGGCAGCTCATAGGAAACCTAGGAAGGAGGAGACCCTGCAGAAGTCAGTGAAGGAGCCACTGGGGCAATGTGAACATTGGTGTGCAACTGAAGTAGCCAACCAATAGTTCAGCATCTGGGGCCTTGGGCGATTGCCTCCATCTGGTACGCAGGCTGAGACCCTGCCTGCCTGTAGACTGTCTCACCAGATTGGTGCATGCTCTGGTTATCTCCTGCTTGGACTACTGCAATGCGCTCTACGTGGGGCTACCTTTGAAGGTGACCCAGAAACTACAACTAATCCAGAAGGCGGCAGCTAGACTGGTGACAGGGAGCGGCCGCCGAGCCCACATAACACCGGTCTTGAAAGACCTACATTGGCTCCCAGTACGTTTCCGAGCACAATTCAAAGTGCTGGTGCTGACCTTTAAAGCCCTAAATGGCCTCAGCCCAGTATACCTGAAGGAGCATCTCCACCCCCGTCGTTCTAGCCGGACACTGAGGTCCAGCACCGAGGGCCTTCTGGCGGTTCCCACACTGCGAGAAGCCAAGTTACAGGGAACCAGGCAGAGGGCCTTCTCGGTAGTGGCACTCGCCCTGTGGAACGCCCTCCCATCAGATGTCAAGGAACTAAACAACTATCTGACTTTTAGAATACATCTGAAGGCAGCCCTGTTTAGGGAAGTTTTTAATGTTTGAAGTTTTATTCTGTTTTTAGTGTTCTGTTGGAAGATGCCCAGAGTGGCTGGGGAAACCCAGCCAGATGGGCAGGGTATATTTATTATTATTATTATTATTATCATCATCATCATCATTTGTGCCACATGGCAGAGTTGGCCTTGCACAGAAAAGAGTTTAATTCCCAAATGCATAGTGACAGTTTCCACATAGTTTTGGATTCCTCATTTGGAAGCCAGCTACCGCGAACAATCATCCCTGAAAAAAGCAAAGACGCTCAGTTCATCAGCTCAAGAGAGGGGCAGCAGCCAAGTCCAGGGTGAACCCAGAGTGTGCCTTAATGTACCCCAAAATCCACTGCAAATGCAGCGATTCCTCAGCAAGCAAGCCGAGTGGGAAAGAGATCTCTGCAGATATAAAGTCTGGTCTATGTCATCCCTGCTACCTGGGCTTAAGCATGTACACAGCTTTTAAAAATACAGTGGTACCTCGGGTTACAGGTGCTTCAGGTTACAGACGCTTTGGGTTACAGACGCTTCAGGTTACAGACTCTGCTAACCCGAAATAGTACCTCAGGTTAAGAACTTTGCTTCAGAATGAGAACAGAAATCCCGCAGCGGTGGCAGTGGGAGGCCCCATTAGCTAAAGTGGTACCTCAGGTTAAGAACAGCTTCAGGTTAAGAACGGATCTCCGGAACGAATTAAGTTCTTAACCCGAGGTACCACAGTAATATTATTAGTCCAAAGCCCACTACTACTTGATTTCTCAGCAATCTCCTTCCCCTGGATTGATAATCTTCAGTGCCAAGTAACTAGGATCACCCCTTTCTCATTCACTTTAACATTTGCGAATGTTCCCACACTGTCAGGGCTTCATTTGAAGACAGGCCAAGCCTGCTTTCTGTGCCACTGTGCCTAACCTTAAGAATAAAGAGGAGAATTCATTTATAACCTTCAGTAGCTGGCAAGGCAGGTCAGGAAACAAGAAAGTGAGTCCAAGGCCCACGATGAGGAAAGCAAGGTCATGGCCCCATCGTCTTTAGAGGGGCTGAAGTCCGTGGCACCTGCTTAGCAGGAATCATAGAATTGTACAGTTGGAAGGGACCACGAGGACCATCTAGTCCAACTCCCTTCAATGCAGGAATCTTTTGCCCAGCGTGGGTCTGGAACCCACAACCCTGAGATTAAGAGTCTCACACTCTACCAACTAAACTATCCCTCCAGGAAGCAGCTCAGAACACGTGCCTGCATTCGAAAGATCCCACGATCAGTCTCAGGCAATTGAGTTAAGAGGACTAGATAGGAGGGGGTAGAGGATGGCCGCTGCCTGAGTCATTGGAGACTTCCTGGTATCCAATAACGGACTAGATCCGCGGTTCTCAACCTGCGAGTTCCCAGATGTTGTTGGACTACAACTGAGCTCTGGCCTTGCTAGCTAGGGGTGACGGGAGTTGTAGTTCAACAACATCTGGGGACCCACAGGTTGAGAAAGGCTGGACTAGATCAATGATAGCAAGCATGGTGCCCTTCAGATGTTGCTGGACTACAATTCCCAAGAATCTCAGCCAACATGGTCAATGGCCAGGGATGATGGGAACTGTAGTCCAAGTGCAGTCCGGAGGGCATTGTATTGGCTACTACCAAGCTAAATGAACCAATAGGATAACCAACAGGCAAAGCAGCTTCTTCTACTTCCTATGTGGGATGCACCTTCCAGCCTTCGAGATGATGCACCAGAACTTCTGGATCCGAGGTCGTGCTGCCCAGGCAGCTTGGAGCCTCAGGGACCCTCTTTATGCAACAGATTACTCCCTTCAGCAGCCCTGAACTCTTGGTGGATATTGCACCACCAAAGTGTTGGTGTTGACCTTTAAAGCCCTAAACAGCCTCAGCCCAGTATACGTGAAGGAGCATCTCCACCCCCATCGTTCAGCCCGGACACTGAGGTCCTGCTCCAAGGGTCTTCTGGTGGTTCCCTCACTGCAAAAAGCAAAGCTACAGGGAACCAGACAGCGGGCCTTCTCGGTAGTGGTGCCCGCCCTGTGGAACGCCCTCCCACCAGATGTCAAAGAGATAAACAACTACCTGACATTTAGAAGACATCTGAAGGCAGCCTTGTTCAGGGAAGTTTTTATTGTGTGACATTTTAATGTATTTTTAATCTTTGTTGGAAGCCACCCAGAGTGGCTGGGGAGACCCAGCCAGATGGGCAGGGTACAAATATATTATTATTATTATTATTATTATTATTATTATTATTATTATTTCAATGACCTGTGCTGCATTATGTGTGTGTTTGTGTTTAAATTATTGAAACCCATCCGCATAGCTCGTCCCTGATGCTGGATTTCAAAGTCCCATCTCAAGAATTCCTCTCCAGTCCCCTTCCCACCACTTTGCAAGGCATCAGGAAGGAGGACCCCATGGTACCTGATCATCCACTTTGTGAGCTATGAGTGTGGCTCCTTCTTCCAGCTCTGCCAAGCTGACCGGCCGTATGCGAAGAGCCACCTAGAATACAAAGAAGAGATGGATTATGAGCTACAGAGGGATTCCACCCCTACTGATTCAAGGAAGATGAGGAGGAGAAGGGGGTGGGATGGGGAGAGAGAGAGATGCTTAGCACCTTCATGGGAGTCATGGCTGTCCAGAGACAAAAAGCATGAAGGAAGTTCCTTCCACTTCCGAACTTTCTTCGGTCAGTTTCTTCCACCACCGCCCTGCCCAGTGCGCTTCACCTGAGCATCGCCTGTCTAGAGAGAGAACCTGCGTCTCTCAGAGGCCTTGGCAGGCAGCCACACACAGACAATTACAGTCTTTTTCCCTGGATGAAAGGAAACACTGTCCAGAAAGCAGCATCTCTGGCTTCAGACACCGCTGAGCCATGGGTCTACAGAAGCTGCTGCAGCCACGTGAGCCAGCAAGGTTCATTTCTTTTCCCCACTCGCCCTCTAAAGACAACAGCCCAGAGCTGCAAGATGTTCTGTCACTGGAGCTGTTTGTTTACCAAAATGCCCACTTTCTCATCACACGATGTCCAGAATTTGGAAGAAAGGCTTTGAGGATACAATCTAGAGGGTATACTTTCTAGACAAGACTGTACCTTGGCATTTGAGAAGTTAAAACACAGCTGGTTTTAAATCAAACACAGCAGCTCCTGAAAAAACAGGCCTTATTGTTATGTTGGGTTCAGTCTGAAAGATCCACTTGTTTCTTATTCTTCCTCCAACAGAAATGCCCTTAAAAGGCTTTTTCCCTCTCCACACAGGATATAACAACGTTTGTTTTCAACCCGCTTGTGGAGACTACCAGAGATCACAAAGAGGAATATATGATAACAACAAGAAGATGAGGAAAGTAACAAAGAGAAGATTGAAGATTGAACAGAACTGTGAATAATATTTGGACAGAACTGTGTACATTAAAGCAGCAGCAAGAGAGATGATTGGATTCCTTTCTGAGCTCGAAGCATGGGTACCCCCAACAAAAATTTAAAAATTTGGCTGTGTAATTTGGAATTAATGTGATTTGGAATTAATGTGATTTGATTGGCCTGTTAATAAAAATTATTTGGTAAAAGGCTTTCCCCCTCAAAAACCCCCACACCATTTTGTACAGCATCACATGGGCTGCTGTTAAGAAACTCATTGCAGTTTCTAAACCACCCCTCTAAACCCTAAATAATAATAATAATAATAATAATAATTTACTTATACCTGCCCATCTGTTTAATGTCATTTTGTCGTACGCACACAGTAGAACTTCACCTATCTTAAGCTGGAGCATCATTCAAAAAAAGCAGAGAGGAAATCGAAGTCTGCATAACTGAAATGCAATTCTGTATCTACTGCTTTTTGCATTTTTACTGTTGCTACGACAACTGCTTTTGTTTCTGATCTGTTTTATGGTTTTCTTTTGTAGGCTATCTTGAAAATCTAGATTTAAAAAATTATGGTGTTTTTTTTAAAAGTCTGCATAACTGAGATACAATTTACAAATGACTGTATACCTAGGAATTAGAATTTTATATTATCAGAGTTTAGATAAAGCACACTCTCTTGTGCAACAGGTATAACGGCTTATTTAATTAGCTGGTTAGTTAGAATATGGATATACTGTACTGCTTTTCAATAAAAGTTATCGAAGCACTTTACACAGTACAATGCTGGCTTACAAACATTCTTGAATAAAGTTGGTTACATTCTCAGTAGGGGTGGCTCCACATATATGCTTTCTGATTTAGGCTCCTACATAGGTAAAGGTAAAGGGACCCCTGACCATTAGGTCCAGTTGTGACCGACTCTGGGGTTGTGGAGCTCATCTCGCTTTATTGGCCGAGGGAGCCAGCGTACAGCTTCCAGGTCATGTGGCCAGCATGACTAAGCTGCTTCTGGCAAACCAGAGCAATTGCACAGAAACACCGTTTACCTTCCCGCCGGAGTGGTACCTATTTATCTACTTGCACTTTGATGAGCTTTTGAACTGCTAGGTTGGCAGGAGCAGGGACTGAGCAACGGGAGCTCACCTCGTCGCAGGGATTCGAACCGCCGACCTTCTGATCGGCAAGTCCTAGCCTCTGTGGTTTAACCCACAGCGCCACCCGCATCCCCAGGCTCCTACATAGGAATATAGAAATCTGCCTTATACTGAGACAGACACTTGAGACATCATGTGCTCTACCACTAAGCCACAGCCCCTTCCCCTAATAACCTCTCCCCCTCTGGCCCCATCCCTCTCTGTGCTTTTTCTCTCCATTTCCTTTGCATTGCAAGATCCATGAGGCAGAAGCCTGTCTTCACTTTATACTTATGTGGTCCATGCCTTTGTGCTGAGGATGCTCCAATTAGCACAGGCCTAGGCAAACTCGGCCCTCCAGATGTTTTGGGACTACAACTCCCATCATCCCTGACCACTGGTCCTGTTAGCTAGGGATGATGGGAGTCATAGTCCCAAAACACCTGGAGGGCCGAGTCTGCCTATGCCTGAATTAGCATAATTGTGCAGGGAAACACGGCAGGCTGCACGTACATTGCGACAGGAATTGAATTATCTGAATGTTGATTGTCAAGACGATTCCATTGTGCACGACAATTACCACTCTATGCTATGAACACACAACAACTGACGCCTGGTTATCATCATGTCAGTTTTCATTATTTTCATCCCAAGGTAGCCCCTCTCCATTCCTTATCCAAATATCAATTCAGATACACAAGGCTACACAGGTCAGGTGTGATGCAATGCACACAGCAAAATACACAGGAGCTTTTCTCTATGCGTGCACCAGAGGCAATAGCCACAATGCACCCCGGCTCCTTAAGAATCTTGCAGCCTGCCTAACCATCATTGGGTAACATTTTATTTAGCAACACTTTGTTTGTTTGTTTGCTCACCCTAAGCTCCCAGGGTGGGTTACAGCATTAAAAACAATATTTAAAACAACTTATACTATAAAGACAATGCTTAACCAGCCTGAAGTTTTATCTGCACCTAGGGAATAAAACTAGTGGACAGGAGAACTGACACATACTTCGTTATCCCAAGTCATTATTTGCAGCTAAGTATGTTTACAGGGCTTGACCTCTTAGGTCTGGGGCATAAGATAAGAGGTTTTAGTTCCCTGCATAACTACAGCTATTCTAACCTGCCAGACAGGCTGCGCTGATAGAGTCAGCGAAGCTCTCTCTGGATCCCGTTTTGATAAGGGAGAAAGCTGATCACCAAGGGGCACTCTTAGGACACCTCCTTTGACCTTTCATATACTTACCGTCTAACACAACCAACCCAGCTATTAATCAACTCGATCCCCATGCCGTTGTATTCGGGTTTCTTTGCCACTTGCGTGCGCGTGTCCGTGCGTGTATACCATTTCAAAAAGCGCTAGCCAACTTTTGTTTCTCGTCCTGCTGATGGACTTCACCGCCCGCTTCCCTTCCTTTTCACCCCTGGAGAGGACTTAGAAACAAGGAGCCCCTTTCACTCACCGTGAGCTGCTGGTCCTTGGAGTCGCCCGTCTCCTTCATGATCATGACAGGTGCGCACCCAGAAGGCGAGGAGGGTGGGTGGAAAGCCGGGGGCTGCTGGGTGGGAACTAACAAACAAGCGTCAGCCACGTGCGGGTCCCTCCTTTTGACTTGTCGATTTCACCTCTTTCTCCCTTCTTTACCGGAGGCTGGTCCGTTTCAGGCTCAGTTCATTCCGACCGGAAAAAGCCAAGCGGGCGCTTCTCAATCCGAGGCAAGACTTGGGAGGCGTCGCCATTCGACGGGCGCCCGCACCTTGCCAAATTACGCGCGCGCCTTCCCTTTTTGGAGAGCTGCCGCAAGCTGCAGCTCCGCCTGCGCCTCGCCTTGGGGGACTCTGCCGTTCCCCATCTGGGATCTGCAGAGGCTCAGCCTTTTCTCTGCCCCCGCCGTCTCGCGCCTCTCTCTCTCTCTTTCTTCCTCTCGCTGCCTCCTGGTGTTTCGGGTCCCCTGGAGATCTTTCCAAAGTGTACACAACAACCGGGCGCGCGGGAGGCTTCCTCCTGGTGACACAGAGGCGCGCGATTGGCTGGGCTGCGCGGTCTTGTCCTGCTCCGCGTCGCCCTCTGGCGCCTAGTACCGAAGAGGGAGTGGGGGGCGGGTGCCACGGAAGGATAGAATCATGGGATCGTAGAGTTGGAAGGGACCCCCCCCCCCAATTTCATTTAGTCCATCCCTGCAATGCAGGAATCTCGGCTGAGAAGCATCCATGGCAGATGGCCAGATAGAGAAGGACCTGCGGTGGCCAAAGAACTCAGCCCGTTTCCAGAGATTCTGACATTCGTCCTGGAGGATGTCCCGAAGTAACCCATCAAACAACATCGCCCCAGAACATGTGCAGAGTGCCTTTCCTTCATCACCGAACATAGGAACCAACTCCTAGGGGCTGTGGTCTCTTCACCTGCTCCTAATAAAATATTTGAGGGGGTCTTCCCCCTCAAAGTTGATGGGCATTGCCATTCAAACAGGCGGCGGGCGCATCTTGTGATCAAAAATGCAGGGCTGGGTTTGCTTGGGACCCTCAATATTTTATTCAAATTGGCACCGAACACTCGCAGGCCATTTCCCCCACTGCATGATCTGGGGCTGAGGTGGAAGGGATTTTTGTTGGGGGGGGGTGCAGCACCAAGCTTCAAGAAGAAGATATTAGCAGGACAATTATAGTGTTCAAAGTAGCCACAATATCCATTTATCTGTACCACTTTGCATGGGACAAAGCAGGAATAAGCATTTGCGGGGTTATCCGTAGCACCTCTTGTAACTTACCTGTTCTCTTCGATGGTTTCTTCCACAGAGCCCCTTCCTTTGTTCTCTTTACACATCACTTGGTGGCTCACCTGGCTATTCCAAAAATTAGAAGCCTTGATTAGATTTTAACACGTGCTCGATGCAGGGATTAGAGAGGTCTGGCACTCAGCTGAACACCACAAACTCATAATACTATTCAAGTACAATGTCACGAATGCTACACTTGGCCTCACCCTCTCCTCCAGCTACCGCTGAAGAGCTAAACCATTGGTAGGCAAACTGAGGCCTGGGGGCCAGATCTGGCCCAATCGCCTTCTCAATCCGGCCCGCAGACAGCCCGGGAATCAGCGTGTTTTTACACACGCTGTAGAATGTGTCCTTTTATTTAAAATACATCTCTGCATTATTTGTGGGGCCTGCCTGGTGTTTTTACATGAATGTGTGCTTTTATTTAAAATGCATCTCTGGGTTATTTGTGGGGCATAGGAATTCATTCATTTCCCCCCCAAAAATATAGTCTGGCCCCCCCACAAGGTCTGAGGGACAGTGGACCGGCCCCCCTACTGAAAAAGTGTGCTGACCCCTGAGCTAAACTAAGGACCATATTGCCATGAGGTTGCCTAGAGGAAGGCTTAAGAAGAGACACAGCAAAAGCAGATCGTTTTGTGAAGAAATAGTGCCTGGGTTTGCTTGCTTCCCCGTTCTCTTTTTCCCTCCCCCCCCCCTGCAACTGTCTATTTATTAGCTGCAAGGAGTGTGCTGTTTTTTAAACCCTCATATATATAAAGCCCCTATATATCAGGAGGGACGTGGGTGGCGCTGTGGGTTAAACCACAGAGCCTAGGACTTGCCGATCACAAGGTCGGTGGTTCGAATCCCTGCGACGGGGTGAACTCCCGTTGCTCAGTCCCTGCTCCTGCCAACCTAGCAGTTCGAAAACACGTCAAAGTGCAAGTAGATAAATCGGTACCGCTCCAGCGGGAAGGTAAACGGAGTTTCCGTGCGCTGCTCTGGTTCGCCAGAAGCGCCTTAGTCATGCTGGCCACATGACCCGGAAGTTGTACGCCGGCTCCCTCGGCCAGTAAAGCAAAATAAGCGCCGCAACCCCAGAGTCGTCCACGACTGGACCTAACGGTCAGGGGTCCCTTTACCTTTATATATCATGGGGACCTTCATGAGACAGACACAATGCTTCATGGTAAGGGCATCCAGTTTATGCAGCAGCAGCAATGATATGAAGAGTGGTGGGATCGCACAGGGTGTGAAAGAAAAATCCTGAGAGCTAGAGACTTAGGATTTCAATATGTTTGGAACTGCTCTTGGCATGCAAAACTTTCAAACAAGTTTACCAAAGGGAGAGCTCAACCTTTGAGTAGTAACTCGCTAAGTAACTAACATCAGGGACTGTGCGTTTTCAAGTGCATTTTGCGCATCAGCCAGATACCATGTGCACATCAGGAAGGAAAAAATAATAATAAAGTCTGTAACAAGACTCCATTGGAGGCAGCTCTTCTCCATTACTCTCACCCTCTGCTTCTACCTCGAGGAGAAAGTGTTTTGCACGGGCTGCAAGATGAGCATCCCATTAATAATTTAACCAACAGGGATTGGTGGAGCTGCTGCCCTGCAATAGTCAGGCCTGGCTATGTTGACTTTGCTGCGATAACTGGCCTTCGCTCTCTGTTGCGTGGTCCCTGGCGCCAATGCTTCTGGTTATTGTAGCTCAACTGTCTTTGTGTGTCTCTATCTCTGTGTCCTTTGCCATTTGAAGCACTGTGGATTTGAGAAGCGACAGTGGGAGTTTTCTCTTGTCGCGTTGGAGGCAGCAAATGCAAAGATTCCTTTGGCTCAGACATTAAAAGGAGCAGGAAGGCAACAGCTTTAAGATCAGATACCTGGAATAACAGGTTGGGAATTGCCCAAGAAAGATGTTAAATTATTTTTATATGCCACAACTGCTGCTCAAATTTTATTAGCTAAGAATTGGAAAACACAAGAAGTACCAACAGTGGAAGACTGGCAGATGAAAATGATGGATTTTTCGGAGCTGGCCGATCTGACCAGAAGAGTCCACGACCAGAAGGAGGAGGAGTATCAGGAAGAATTGACGAAATTTAAAGACTATTTAGTTAAACATGTTAAGTTAAATTAATTGGAGATGCTTGCAAAAAACAGATAGGCTTAGGATTGAAATAGGTAAAGTGATGAATTAATATGTTTAATGCGGAATGTGAAAGAAAGAAAGATGTTAAGTGATTAAGTTAATTTTATTAGAATATTGGTTTTGGAAAACCGTTAGAATGATATCCACTGAAATTCAACCAGGGGGATACGAGGAAGTCACTTAACAATGTTACTAAGTTTGGTTTAAATACGGTTGAGATTTATGTTTGTTTGTTTGTTTATTTGTTTGTTAAATTTATTTTGGGAAAATCAATAAAAAACATTGGGGGGAAAAAGATCAGATACCATCTTTCCATTGTATCACAGAAAGTGATTATAGGGCAGCGATGGCCAATTCTAGGATCTGACATCTCATTAAGGAGGGCTTTGAGAGGAGGAGGAGATGGATGCTACTTTGCAACTGTGCTGGGCTGGTGAAGAGGAAATTTTACACCTCTCTCTCGGAAAAGTGAGTGGGTGACACTGGAAAGAAAACCCACCCTTTGTGGAAATATATTCAGGTGCCAAGGCTCAAAGGGTTCAATATTTCTAGATAAAGTATTATTATTATTATTATTATTATTATTATTATTATTATTCACAATTTGACCTGCAGAACTAGTCACCCCAAAGGAAAAATACAGAGCGCGGGGGGGGGGGGGGAGGACCTGTGGCCCTCTAAGTATTGTTGAACTACAGCTCCCATCATCCCTGACCACTGGGGATGATGGCAGTTGGAGTCCAACTACATTTATTGGGCCACAATGAAAATGTGTGTTCCAGGCTTTTAAGAGTCGTCTACCCATGTACTATCTGAAACCAAAGGCACACATAGGTTGCCAGATGTGAAATTTTCTTCAGCTCTCCTACCCCACTATTGGGTTTTCCCCCAGACTGATGTTTCCCCTGATTTATTGCCGAAGAGTGGGTTTTCCTGGAGAAAGCAGCAGGGCAAAAGGCAAAACCACTTGGAAAAGCAGATAGCCACTCAGACCCGTACTTTCTAAGTACAGAACAAGCAGAAGTGTGGATGAGCCCTTATTAGATGTCTCTGAATGCTTCCACACAGGTATTTATTATGGGATCAGGGCTCCACATATATATCCGTCTTTATTTACCCCCTATTTAATCTAGATGTGTTTCTGGGAGAAATTGGGGCAGGGAACCCCATATGGCTAATAATGACCTGCTTATAATATCTCAATGACCTTTTTGCAATTTAAGCCCCCATCTGAAATCACTCTGTTGTCTCCTATGTCTCTTGGTTGCCTTGCCTAAAGTGCTTTATTAATGCCACTCAACATTATAAACTGCCACAGTACTGTACCACACCTTCAGATGGCAGCAACAAAAGCATCTTGCTCCCTCCCCCATGCCAGAGGCGCTGCAAAAGGACTAATTTCCCCTTGTTGGCATTTATGGATTTCTCTCTCCTGTGCGGAATATTAAAGGGTCCTCTATGTGGAAGTTCCTTTTCTTGTTTTCAGCCCTGTATTGCTATCAATTCATCACGGCGACCTCAAATTTTATTTCTGTCCCTCTGGCACTGAGAGTTATTGCAAGTTTCCATGGCAAAGGCACTCAGGACTCAGCTGGACACTCGTTCGGGTTAGGATAGAGTAGCGGGAGAAAAGTGCAAAAAAATGTTGCTACATTTATTGATAGAGTCTGTTGTGTAAAAAAAATTATAGAAAGAGCAAACAGGAAGGCATATAAATTCCATGCAGGAATTTCAGGGTTCCCCATTCACTCTTCTTCTTCTTCTTCTTCTTCCTCCTCTTCCTCTTCTTCTTCCTCTTCCTCTTCCTCCTCCTCCTCTTCCTCCTCCTCCTGCAAAAAACAAAAACCAGGAATATGTCTTTGCAAGTTTGCACTAACAAGTGATCTCCCCTCAAAATCAGTCTCTGGGAGAGGTATATCCTTATCTCTTCTGGATTAAAAGTTACCATAATGAATTGGAAACCACTTCAGACAGGTGAGGAACTGCATTTTTTTAAATCCCACAGTAAATAAACAACCAGAAAACCCAACCCACTGCACATAGAAAACGAGAAATTCAGGGGAAAGGGTTTTCAACTTAAATGTTTTCCCTGGTGTACTAGTTCCTACACACATAGGTTTGGAAACCCCACCTGCAGTCTGAGGTAACGCAGCCCCTGAGGAACTCTGCCATACGATTCTGCTGAAGGCCACAGGTCAGCCGTAAGCGTTACGTGGTCCCTGTAGCCGTGCAAATTGGCTGGGGCAGAAATAATGCTAAGAAGAGTAAGGAACTCATTCTTGCAGGAGGCAGGGATTGCCCCCCAACTTCAGATAGGATTGCACAAATTCATGGAGAGGGCTATCAAAGGCAGCTAGCTAGGACGGCTATGTTTTACCACTTGCCAACAAAGGTCCGTATAGTTAAAGCTATGGTTTTCCCAGTAGTGATGTATGGAAGTGAGAGCTGGACCATAAAGAAGGCTGATCGCTGAAGAATTGATGCTTTTGAATTATGGTGCTGAAGGAGACTCTTGAGAGTCCCATGGATGATCAAACCTATCCATTCTGAAGGAAATCAGCCCTGAGTGCTCACTGGAAGGACAGATCGTGAAGCTGCGGCTCCAATACTTTGGCCACCTCATGAGAAGAGAAGGCTCCCTAGAAAAGACCCTGATGTTGGGAAAGATGGAGGGCACAAGGAGAAGGGGACAACAGAGGACGAGATGGTTGGACAGTGTTTTCGAAGCTACCAGCATGAGTTTGACCAAACTGTGGGAGGCAGTGGAAGACAGGAGTGCCTGGCGTGCTCTGGTCCATGGGGTCACAAAGAGTCAGACACGACTAAACGACTAAACAACAACAAATGCTTCTGAAAAGAGTTGCTGGAAATCCCAGGAGAGGAGAGTGCTCTCGTGCTTGAATCCTGCTTGCTGGTTTCCCTGCAGGCAACTGTTAAGCCACTGTGAGAACAGGATGCTGGACTATAATCACCATAATTTTATTATTTATACCCTGCCCATCTGGCTGAGTTTCCCCAGCCACTCTGAGTGGCTTACAGCACATAAAAAAATTCTAAAACATTAGACATGAAAAATTTCCTGATAGAGGGCTGCCTTCAGATGTCTTCTGCACTGGCTCCTGGTGGAGTACAGGGTCAGGTTTAAGGTGCTGGTTTTGACCTTTAAAGCCCTATACGGCCTAGGACCCATGTATCTACGGGACCGCCTCTCCTGGTATGCCCCGCGGAGGACCTTAAGGTCCACAAATGACAACACTTTGGAGGTCCCAAGTCGCAAGGTGGTTAGATTGGTCTCAACTAGGGCCAGGGCCTTTTCAGTACTGGCCCCGACTTGGTGGAATGCTCTGTCACAAGAGACTAGGGCCCTGCGGGACTTGACATCTTTCCGCAGGCCCTGCAAGACAGAGCTGTTCCGCCTGGCCTTTGGTTTGGACTCAGTCTGATCCTTATGTTTCCCTCCCCTTATGGTTTTGATCTATGGGCTACTATTAAAATGAGGCTGCATTTTAAATTATATTTTAACCTGTATTTTAAATTGGTTTTTTATTTATTTTATTTTTTATTGTAATTTTACTGGTGTTAGCCGCCCTGAGCCCGGCTCTGGCCAGGTATAAATAAAAATTTATTATTTATTATTATTATTATTATTATTATTATTATTATTATTCTAAAAGTCAGATAACTGTTTATTTCCTTGACAACTGGTGGGAGGGCGTTCCACAGGGCAGGTGCCACTACCAAGAAAGCCCTCTGCCTGGTTCCCTGTAATCTCACTCCTCACAGTGAGGGAACCGCCAGAAGGCCCTCAGAGCTGGACCTCAGTGTCTGGGCTGAACGATGGGGGTGGAGACGCTCCTTCAGGACTAGATGGGACATTGGCCTGATCTAACAGGCTCTTCCTATGTTCCTAGGAGAGCTGCTGCTGCCATCAGTCAGTGTGGACAGTTCTGAACTGGATGGACCAATCATCTGACTAGGTATATGGCAGCCAGCCAAATCAAATATTTTTTTTGGGGGGGGGCAGATAAGCCCCACCTCACATAATCGAGCACAGGATGCAGCACACGTATGCCATTTGAATGGCAATGTCCATCACCTTGGGAGGATGGCAGGCCTTCTCAGATATTTGATTGGGGAAAGCAAAGGAACCTAGGAGTTGGCTCTGATGATGACAACTATGTTCCTAAAATACCCTAGAACCTTCTTTTCAGTCTCGGTATAAAGTCTGAGGGATCCATGGTCGTATATGGGTAAAATGCCGAGCAACCATGCCTTGTAAATTAGAGAATTTATTGAGGAATGGCAACCGATTGTTCGCCTCCATGTTGGCAGTGGTGGTGGGAACACATTTACTAATGTTGTTAAATCTTCTAGCCCAGTGTTTCCCAAACCTGGATGTCCACCTGTTTGTTGGACCGCAATTCCCATCACCCCTGGCCCCTGTTCTTTCCAGCTAAGGATGATGGGAGTTGTAGTCCAAATGCAGCTGGAGGCCAAAGTTTGGGAAACACTGTTCTAGCCTGATCCGCCAGGGTATTCTTATGTTCATAGCTGTGGCAAATACCTCATACGGATCAACCAATCCCATCCATGCTCCTGTTTTATGGTCATTATTGTTGGCTAGTGTGACAAGTTCGCTTGGGTCAGGGGGCAAGCTCCATTAACAAGAGTGTTCTTCTATTTTAAGGAGGTTGGGACGGGTCCAGAGTTTCTTGGATATCTTGCAGATCAAGGACGCCCCACACATTAAATCAGGGGTCAGCAAACTTTTTCAGCAGGGGGTCGGTCCACTGTCTCTCAGACCTGGTGGGGGGGCATACTATATTTTGAAGGGGAAAAAATGAACTAAATCCTATGCCCCACAAATAACCCAGAGATGCATTTTAAATAAAAGCACATGTTCTATTCATGTAAAAACGCACTGATTCCTGGACCGTCTGTGAGCCGGTTTTAGAAGGCGATTGGGCCAGATCCGGCCCCCGGGCCTTAGTTTGCTTACCCATGCATTAAATAATATTTGGGAGTGGGATCAGGAATACTGACCTTAGGAAGGATCGGTTCATCATCTTCTTCATCAAATGTCCGCTCCTGAAATATGGAAGGATGTTATAAGACATGTGGCCATCTGAAACATCTTCCTGGAACATTCCTTCTCTTGCTATGCATTAAGTGCCCCTGTACCATGATGTCACATTCTTGGAGGCTATTTCTTCTACTTTATTTATTTATCTTTTGAATTATGGTGCTGGAGGAGACTCTTGAGAGTCCCGTGGACTGCAAGGAGAACAAACCTCTCCATTCTTAAGGAAATCAGCCCTGAGTGCTCACTGGAAGGACAGATCCTGAAGCTGAGGCTCCAAGACTTTGGCCACCTCATGAAAAGAGAAGACTCCCTGGAAAAGACCCTGATGCTGGGAAAATGGAGAGCACAAGGAGAAGGGGACGACAGAGGACGAGATGGCTGGACAGTGTTCTTGAGGCTACGAACATGAGTTTGACCAAACTGCGAGAGGCAGTGGAAGACAGGAGTGCCTGGCGTGCTCTGGTCCATGGGGTCATGAAGAGTCGAACATGACTAAATGACTAAACAACAATTTATTTGTCTCCTCCTGCATGTAATTCCTATCCTGTCGTTCATCGCCAGACAACCCCAGGGTTACATACATTTCCGTAAATGATACCTGGCAGCTATTTTAAGACTCATCAACCTCTCTTGACTTTCTGCTGTGCTTGCAGAGTCAGCCTTTGCATCCTTTTCAGCGGCCCTGTTACCTGGTCGTCGCCAGTTTTGAGCTTGGCTTTCACTCGCTCCCTGCGCTTGAGCTCTCCCTCGATGACGTCAAAGAACTCCTTCTGCACCCGTGCCAGGATCTCCTCCGGCTTCTCCTCTTCCACGTCCTCTTTGCCCCTGTCCTCCTTGCTCTCTGTCTTGGTCCTCTCCTTAAGACGCATTTCGCGGTGGCGGGCCTCCAGAATCTTCTCTCGTTTCGTCTCCCGCTCAAACATCTGAGGTGCACAGAAGGATTACAGGCTGAAAAGGATTCAAGGGAGCCCCGTAGGTGGAACTGAAGTGGCCTACCTCACGGAGGCTAAATCAGTCATGCCACTAACTTTGGACTACTGTGGTACCTCGGGTTAAGAACTTAATTCGTTCTGGAGGTCTGTTCTTAACCTGAAACTGTTCTTAAACTGAGGTACCACTTTAGCTAATGGGGCCTCCCGCTGCTGCGCAATTTCTGTTCTCATCCTGAGGCAAAGTTATTAACCTGAGGTACTATTTCAGGGTTAGCGGAGTCTGTAACCTGAAACGTCTGTTACTCGAGGTACCACTGTATGGGGTTTCTGAGCCCTGTGTTGGGGTCCTGTGATAGTTCATTAACCTTCCTATTAGAGAGATGCAGACCTGTCTCATTTTAAAGAAATATGGCAGATCCCATCAGTTTTCTACAAGTTTATTTTTTTAAAAAAGTTTACAATAAACTAAGGTATTAACCCATATTAATCAGGCTATCAAGAGGCATTCACACAATTCAAGGACACATTCGAGTCATAGAATCATAGAGTTTGAAGAGACCCTGAGGATCTTCTAGTACAATGTAGGAATATGCAGCTGTCTCATATTGGAATCGAACCTGCAACCTTGGCGTTATCAGTACCATGTTCTAACCAACTGAGCTATCCAGGTTGAGGAAGCCAAAACACTTGAGGAGGGTGTGTAACAGGACCATGGCCTTGGCAGAAGTCTGAGGGCTAGAAGTAGAGGTCCACAGGCCACATTCTCAGCACCTGGGCTGGAGGTCCCCCACCCCTGAACTAGAGGGTCAAAACCCATGCACACATTCCTGCAAGGAGGTCTGTTTGCCTCGCCCCCCAACCTGCCCCCTAGGAAGCAAGAGACACTCACTGCGGAGGCCAGGTTCTTCTCATTCCGTTGCAAGGTACACAGGCCAGAGGAAAATTCCAGCAGTGTCACCGTACCCAGTTTGGAGCCACAGCCAATAAAACGCCCATTGTCCTGTAAACGCAGGCTGAAGAGAGGATCATCACAGACCTGTTGAAGAAAGACCCATTCAGGAGCGACGGGTTTGCTGGCATTTCAATGCCAGTACATTTTCAAGGACTGAGTGCTTAGCTCAGATTTAAAGGATCGACAGCAGAACAGATTTTTCAGGGTTTTATTCAAATGCCATTCTGTTGCCCCATCTTGCCACCTTTTGGGGGATGCTCTCCACATTTTCCTTGCACAGAGGGTTTTCTCCATATAAGAAAAGTGGGGAAGGGGAACCATATGTGTGCAAATCGGCATTTAGCCTGCAGAAATTGTGCATGTTTGGAAACTGTTTCATGCAGAGGCTTTCAAACAAATGTAACTGCGGCAAAAATGCAGCCATTTTCAAACAGGACAAGGCACACAGATGTACAAACTTTCCCCTTCCAAGAAAGTGGCTACCTGCTGGAGCCCAGACTTAACTATTTGGCTACCGTTGCAGCACCCGAGTCACCCAGAGCTACTGCAAAGTCCGGCAGAAGTGACAAAAACCACTACTTAATTTCAAATGGGCACCAAGCTAGAGATCTTCCAAGTTAACGTTCTGCCTCTAGAGAGTGGAAGTCTCAGAACAGGAAGACTGCAACAGAAGAATCTGAAACGTGGATATGTTTGTTCCCTCTGGAATCACCTTCAAGTTGAGTGTAGGGTCGTTCTGTTTGAAGAGGAAGTCCCAGACATCAAGGGTGCCATCCATCTTGGTGGTGAAGAAGACAGCTGGCCGAGTGGTGCTCCAGCAGCCATCTGTGAGGTATGCCATATGGTATCTGCCAAAGAACGCAGCATTTCTTGTGCTTCAAAGGATCCATTTAAAAGGCTTCCTAGTACTGCTGCTTATTAAAAGTGAAGCTTTGCATGAAACGGTGTATTTCAAAGGAGGGAAAAGTGTATCTACTGTACCACAGAGGAAACAGGAACCTATTGCATACCCTCCAATATTTGTCTGATGAAAATAGGGACATCCAAATAATAATAAAAATAATAATACCCTGTCCATCTGACTGGGCTTCAGCCACTCTGGGCTGGTCTTCCAACATATATAAAAACATGACAAAACTTAAAACATTTAAAAACTTCCCTATACAGGGCTACCTTCAGATGTCTTCTAAAGGTTGTATAGTTACTTATCTCCTTGGCTCAAGGGGTCGCATAAATCCATACCCTCCAACATTTATCCAATGAAAATAGGGCCATCCTAAGGAAAAGCGGGACATTCCAGGATCAAATCAGAAACCGGGACAGCTTCTATAAATCCGAGACTGTCCCTGGAAAATAGGGACACTTGGAGGGTCTGCTATTAATTCCCTGTGTTTGTGATGCAAACATTTAGCATACAGTGGTACCTCGGGTTAAGTACTTAATTCGTTCCAGAGGTCTGTTCTTAACCTGAAATTGTTCTTAACCTGAAGCACCACTTTAGCTAATGGGGCCTCGTGCTGCCAATGCGCCGCTGGAGCACGATTTCTGTTCTCATCCTGAAGCAAAGTTCTTAACCCGAGGTACTATTTCTGGGTTAGCGGAATCTGTAACCTGAAGCGTATGTAACCCATGGTACCACTGTATCTTGGGCACTGGAATGTACACGGTTAGTCAATATTACCGTACTTTCACAGTCCACTTGAGGGCTGGAATTTGTATAAACCTCAAGGTTCCATATTTCCACAAGATTCCTTCCCTTCCTACAACCCTTCTGAGTTCAAGAAATCCAACATGCTGCATTGACTCTTCACAATTGCCTTGGCTATGCTCTGAGACACTTGGGAGAGGCAGCTGGTTTAAGAGCAGAAGGGATCTCCTAGTTTATTGCTTTTCTCCGTTGGAGAGAATCACCCTGTAAGTTGCACACAGAGGAGCACTGACGTGACATTCTGTTTCAGTGTGCTTTCAACCAATTAATTGCTTAAAGCATGCCGCCTCCCCAAACCACAGAACAAGCATAAGGTGTAACAGCTATCCAAGGCGGAAAGGATGAAGACAAATACAAAGGATTGTTTAGATTGCTACGTTGACATGGACTTCATAGAATCATAGAACTGTAGAGATGGAAGGGACCCTGAGGATCATCTAGAGAGGGCCTTCTTGGTAGTGGCACCCACCCTGTGGAGCACCCTCCCGTCAAGGAGTCAAGGAATCAAGGAGATGAGCAACTATACAACCTTTAAAAGACATCTTGAGGCAGCCCTGTTTGGGGAAGCTTTTTAATGTGTAATGTTTTATTATGTGGCTGGGGCAACCCAATCAGATGGGCAAGGTACAAATAATAAAATGATGACAATCCAGTCCAGTGTTTCCCAAACTTGGGGTCTCCAGCTTTTTTTTTTTTTTTGGACTACAGTTCCCATCATCCCTGACCACTGGTTCTGCTAGCTAAGGATGATGGGAGTTGTAGTCCAAAAACAGCTGGAGACCCAAGTCTGGGAAACACTGATCTAGTCCAACCCCCTGCAATGAAAAGGAATATGCAGCAGTCCTATACGGGGATCGAACCTGCAACCTTGGCATTATCAGCACCACGCTCCAACTAACTGAGCTAAGACTTTGTTGGTAGACATGCCAGAAATCGACCTTGGAGCACCCTCAAGGTGAAAAAGTTGTGGCCACATTGTAACCCCTGACAGCACCAAGGCACCCACTGTTATGGCCAGCTGACATGTATGCAATTTTAAAAACAACAAGATATGGGCAACACAATGTGTTACCTACTTAGTCCACATGATGGACGATTCTCTGCTCTCTTCTGACCAAATGCGTGCAGTCCAATCCCCAACGGTCAAAAAGTTCTTGGGGTAGAAAGGATTCCTCGACAGGGCATAGATTGGGCCGTGGTGCCCACTGAACGTGCAGACAATCTTCTCAGCAGCAGTCTTGGCTTTGCGGTTACAGGAAATCACAATCCCTTGCTCTGTTCCCACCATGAACTTGGTTGGCTGTGGAAACACAATGGAACGCTATTGTTACGCTTCAGTGTGGTGGGTTCTCTTTTCCTGGACCAAAGAGCAGAGCTCACGAAAGGACTCACGTTGAGTAGAAAGGCAAGTGACGGTGGGCTGGTTATTCTTTTATAAATATTGCTGCAAAGTTTGAGGAGACAAGAGCAACGAAGCCCAAAGATGGAACTCAGCACTTACAATATTCACTGGAAGGAGAGACAGAGAGGTTGGCCACCAAAGGATGGACAAATGGAATCTGTAGATAATTTAAAGCAGAGATTCCCCACCACCAACACCTAAGCCCTAAGCAATATGGTTATGTTAGCCTTAGCTCAGCAGCCGTAGAGTTCCCCTTTGCCCCAAATGGTTACAGTCATAGCTATTTGAGGGAGGGAGGGAGGAAGGCACTACAAAACTAGAAAGAAGTGTGCAGCTTTAAGTGAATTAACCAGAACAAATACATCTCCAAAAGCAAACTATTTAATAAATAATAATTTATTACTTATAAATTTATTTATTTATTTATTTATTTATTAAACAAGAGAGGTTTGTTGCTATTCATAACTTTTTACAAAAGCTAGATGAGCACTCCCATGCTGAGGTCATTTTGGGAGAGCGCTTGCTACGTAATCTAGTAAAAGATCACTGAGCAATACAGACCTAGTGAAGACCTGGGCTTGAAATATTTGATTATCTCCATGCCATGCCAAACTGCTGCCGACTCCTGGATGTATTCTGAATCCCCAGTGTGGTGGATGACCCTTGTTCCAAAAAGCGTGGTCAGAATTTAAGGGTTCAGGAACTCAGACCAGACCCAACTTCGTGAAATCGTACACAGACTTTACTAAAGCAAAACTCCACGAGAGAGAAAATTTGCCAAATAATTTATACAAATTAAAATAGCTCAGAAGGTAAGGAAACCACAAACCCTAACCTATCCAGCTAATTAACATAGATGCTTACACTTGAATCTCAGTAGGCTGAGCAACGGAAGAAGATGCTGTCAAAAGCCCAAATAGACGCAGAGAGCCAGTGTGGTGTAGTGGTTAAGAGCGGTAGTCTCGTAATCTGGGGAACCGGGTTCGATTCTCCGCTCCTCCACATGCAGCTGCTGGGTGACCTTGGGCCAGTCACACTTCTTTGAAGTCTCTCAGCCCCACTCACCTCACAGAGTGTTTGTTGTGGGGGAGAAAGGGAAAGGAGAATGTTAGCCGCTTTGACACTCCTTAAAGGGAGTGAAAGGCGGGATATCAAATCCAAACTCTTCTTCTTCTTCAGCTTAGTTGGCTGCCGAGAGCTCTCAAAAACCCACGTTTTATGGGAACTTAGACCATGGGACCTCTTCTACCCAATTACCTTGTGATCCTGGCCTTGAAACCTTAATGGGAGACAGCTATATGTAAGCACATTATTTCTGAGGTTCTAACCCATTCCTAGGGACACGGGTGGCGCTGTGGGTTAAACCACAGAGCCTAGGACTTGCCAATCAGAAGGTCGGCGGTTCAAATCCCTGCAACAGGGTGAGCTCCCGTTGCTCGGTCCCTGCTCCTGCCAACCTAGCAGTCTGGAAGCATGTCAAAGTGCAAGTAGATAAATAGGTACCACTCCAGCGGGAAGGTAAACGGTGTTTCCGTGCGCTGCTCTGGTTCGCCAGAAGCGGCTTAGTCATGTTGGCCACATGACCCGGAAGCTGTACGCTGGTTCCCTCAACCACTAAAGCGAGATGAGCGCCACAACCCCAGAGTCATCCACGACTGGACCTAACGGTCAGGGGTCCCTTTACCTTTAACCCATTCCTATATACCAGTCTTAAAGGGGCGATATCACCACACCTGGCCTAAGGATGTCCTATGTCTCGGCCTCATAACTTGACAACAACAACAACAACAAATTATTATCTATACGTCTGACTGCGTTGCCCCAGTCACTCTGCGCTGCTTCTGACAAATTAAAAGATAAGACCACACACCACGGCAAACAGCAGAAAAAGGCAGTCCCTCCACCTTCAGAGTGCAGAGTACGATTCAGTAGCTGGCGGGGGAGAATAAAACCTTCGCAATGACAACACTAAATATTATGTTCTTTAGACTTTCTGGACATGTGTGTGTCTCTCTCCCCGCCCCCCGCACAACTTTCAAAGTTAGGCTTGTAGGCTTGTTGGGATGTGTGATGCACAATTTAGCTTCCCTGCTGGCTCTCCGAAAACCTGTAGCCTCAGTGATTAGGGGCTTGCTTAGCCACCTAACAAAGAGATAAAGATGCTTATTGAGATTCAGCTCCTGCTGGCTGTAGAGATTAGATCCCTTCTCAAGCGGCAGCCGATTCCCACACCCCCAATCTCAGAAGCAGCCATTTCAGAGCGAGAAGATTTAACAACAATGTTAGTCGATGTGTTCCTCACCCCCCACCGCCAACATGGAGGTGAGCCATATTTTTAAAGTTGCACAGTTCCTCAGTAAATGCTGGTTGTTCTTACCCACTTGCTAGCTTATCCAGAAATAACAATGGATACTTCAGACTTTATACCAAGACTGAAAAGAAGGAAGTTGGGTGTTTTAGAACATAGCTGCCATACACCAAGTCAGGCCACTGGCTGGTCCATCTAGCTCAGTACAGTGGTACCTCGGGTTAAGTACTTACTGTATTTTTCGCTCTATAAGACGCACCCGACCATAGGACGCACCTTGTTTTAGAGGGGGAGAACAAGAAAATAAAATTCTCCCCCTCTCTGCTCAGCGCCCCTTCAGCGAAGCGGCAGGAGAAACGGAGCCCCTTCCATTTCTCCTTCCACTTAGCTGAAGGGGCGCTGCGCAGCTCTCCCTCTCTGATGAGGAAAAGGAACCCAAAGCCTTTGGAGCGCAGCGCAAGTTCCCGCTAGGCTCCAAAGGCTTCAGGCGGCTATCCCTGAAGCCTGGAGAGCGAGAGGCGTTGGTGCGCACCGACCACTCTCCAGGCTTCAGCAAAAGCAACGCGTAGCCTCCGGAGCGCGAAGGGAGCACTCCCTCTGCACTTCCGAGGCTTCGCGTTGCTATTGCTGAAGCCAAGGAGCCTGCATTCACTCCATAGGACACACACACATTTCCCTTAATTTTTGGAGGGGGAAAAGTGCGTCCTATAGAGCGAAAAATACGGTAATTCGTTCCGGAGGTCCGTTCTTAACCTGAAACTGTTCTTAACCTGAAGCACCAATTTAGCTAATGGGGCCTCCCGCTGCCGCCGGAGCACGATTTCTGTTCTCATCTAGAAGCAAAGTTCTTAACCCGAGGTAATATTTCTGGGTTAGCAGAGTCTGTAACCTGAAGCGTATGTAACCTGAGGTACCGCTGTATTGTCCACACTGACTGACAGGAGCTCCCCTGCTACCCAGAAGACGGATTTAAGAAAAGGAAATAGGAATTGGCCCCACCCTGTAGTTTGACCAATCAAGGCTAGCAGTGGCTAGGAGCTAGGTGGAGTCATAGATCCAAAACAAAGTATAGACCCTCACACACTGGCCAGCTTCTGTTTTGACCTGAAATGTTCATTTTGCGCTTCTCAGAAGTACGTAATGGCAAGAAGTGGTTGGGGGGAGCGCCAGCCCGCAATGGCACCTACCCGAGAGGTGCCGGAACTGAACTCTGGCACGCTCTGGCTGAAAAGAAGCAGCAGCACTGCTTGCCAGGTGGAACAGTCCCTCCTCTCCTCCTCCTGTGCATTGCTCTGAGGATTCTTCGAACCCTCCAGAGTCAATTTCAGGGGGAGGCATGGGAGGAGAGGAGTGAAAAGCTCCCTGTGACCGCTCCTTATCTCCATGAGCCCCACAAGCCAAGTTGGACAAGCAGATGGAGCCACCCACCTGTCCGTGCATGACCTGATGTCAAAAGGATGTCAGGTGACAACCATGCCTTTGAAGTGTGTTTGTGATTAAACCACTTGGCAATGCACCACCGAGTGATCTCTCTCAGTGGCCATCAGCCAATGAAAGCTTAGGAGAATCAGGCGCACTTCAGCAATCTGTGTTTGGATAAAGGAATCTTGGTAGCTGGTACAGTGAGTGCACACTAGAAGGTTCTGTGAAACAGATCTATGCACCGCGAGTATCTTCCATATACAGTGGAACCTTGGTTGTCGAACGTAATCCGTTCCTGGAGACCGTTCAACTTCCGATACGTTTGACAACCGAGGCTCAATGGGCAGCCGGCAAATCCCATTGAGAAAACTGAGAAATGCACCTCAGAAGCCGTTCGACTTCTGAGGCGCGTTCGAAAATGGAAGCAATTACTTCCGGGTTTTTGGCATTCGAAAACTGAAACATTTGGCTTCCAAGACACTCGAAAACCGAGGTTCCACTGTATATATTTTTCTCATCTTGAAAGTGAAGAGTGGATACCCATCGAGACAGATTGCTAAGTGTGGCAAAGTTCTTTATCACTTCATCCCAAAATGTTCTGGAGGTCACAAGCTTCCAGGAATTTGAAATGGTTTCGTATGGTCCTCTGAAGCGGTACTCCAGTATGAGTACTGATATACATGCCGGGGGGTTGCGGGAAGCCATGAAAGCGTCTGGGGAGTGTCTGCTAGCTCACAGAGACACATGGCATTTGAGCTAGGATGATTTCTCTGATCATCATGCTCCCCTTGCAGTTTACATGTTATATCCTCAAAAGTCCAGTTTGTTCCCCTGTACCTCTCCAATAAGGGATGCGGGTGGCGCTGTGGTCTAAACCACTGAGCCTCTTGGGCTTGCCGATCAGAAGGTTGGCGGTTTGAATCCCCATGATGGGATGAGCCCCTGTTGCTCGGTCCCAGCTCCTGCCAACCTAGCAGTTCGAAAGCACACCAAAAAATGCAAGTAGATAAATAGGTATCACTCCGGCGGGAAGGTAAACGGTGTTTCTGTGCACTGCTCTGGTTTCACCAGAAGCGGCTTAGTCATGCTGGCTACAAGACCCGGAAAAACTGTCTGTGGACAAGCGCCGGCTCCCTCGGCCTGCAAAGCGAGATGAGCGCCGCAACCCCAGAGTCGTCTGCAACTGGACTTAACTGTCCCTTACCTTGACCTTTTTACCTTTCCAATGCCTAATGCCAGTGTTTTAAAATGTGTTTCTCTAGGCACATCTCTATTGCCATTTCACTCTTAAGCTTTTTCCCTGATACATTTTTTAAAAAAAATTCTCATGTGTTTTCTCTCCTTTAGTCCCCTCCCTACATAGTATCACTTAGGAACCGAAGTCAGGGTTTTAGTGGCACCCAAAAACTAAAAGGTGGGGAAAGAAGACAAAAGCCTTCTCTAGAACTCAGATACATAGGAGAGAATTCAGAGCACACTCACCATGGTTGGCTCAAATTCCAGGGCAATGGCTCCTAAAGCATTTTCCAAGATCCCTTTCCTACTGATGTCCATCACTAGTGTTTCAGTTGGTTCAGCTAGTTTACGAATGTCCCACCACAGTACCTGGAAAAAAGAAATGCCATTACTGATGCTTTTTTGGGGGGGCCCACATTATGGGTGGGTTCAGATGGCTAATTTACAACTCGCTGAAATGGTGGCAATTTCATTGGATGAAAGGTTTCTGCCACACTATTAGTGAACTTGATGGTCTGATTGCTGATCCTTATGTAACCCAAACAGCGCCATCCACACACAAGAGGGGTGGTATCAGCATGCTTGGGAGAACCCCAAAGTTTAGGGGGGTGGACCTAAGGAAGGGACCCTCCCCAAAAATATATGCGCACAACACAGTGAAGACTGCAAATGATCACTGCCCATGGAATGCTCAGCATGAGTTGGGAAAAACAATGGAAAACCATGGGGAATGGAATGGGGTATCTGAGAAAACATGGCTGGCACCTTGTTAAGGAACTCTCCATGCTGCAACACTGTTTTGCACATCTTACTAGCTGATTTTAAGAGATGAGAAGCCATCTAATGACAGCTTCAGGTGAGCAGGCTATTGCTAATTTTAACTATCATGTGGCCGACATAGTCATCTGAATCAGTTCCCATCATGAACTGCAAGATCTAACATCAAAATGTCTAATCTCTGATGAACAGCATAGTACTGAAGAACCTTCTATGCTCATTCCATCTACAGGCTCTGTTTCCCCACTAGGGATTGTTTCCAAGCGAAGCAGAATGTGACCAAGTATGTATGCTCTTTCCTAGCGCTCTAGGCACCAGCCTTTCACCCCCAATATCCACACCCTTGGCCTTCAGCGTTGCTGCTTGTCAACTTGTTCACCGAATCTTCGGTCTGGAGGGCTGGAAGTGGCACACTAATCCCTTAATTGAATCCTTTGTGCAGAGACCAGGACTTGCTGTACCCAAAACATTCCTATCAGATTAGTTCAAATCATTCAGATTATTGTGTGCTGTGAAAGCAGAGAACAAGAGCAAAGAAAGGCGCCCAAGGGGCATCACAGACAGAAGTCATCCAGATGGCTCCAGAAAGCAAGCTGTGTTAGATACTTAGGAGGGAAGGAAGAAGAAAAAAAGGAACTCAATGTTCCTGGACCATCAGGTCTGCAAGGAATTCACCTGCCAACCTAGAAGATTGTCATCAGGATGAGATGGATTCTATTCCCAGAGCCTCTCCAAGATAAAAGTTTTTATCAGCAGGACAGCACACCCCCCCCATATGCCTTCCTCCATTGGTGGTAATCGGCAGTGGTTCATAAAGGCAACCCCCCCCCCCCAAATTTAGAGGACAAGAATCTTTTTGATTATACTAGCTGAAGCTCCCTGTGAAATTCAGTTGAAATTATTCTACAACCCCCCACCCCGGTTCAAAGGTCCAACTCTATGTTCTATCCACAGGAGCCAACTCCCAGGGGCAGAGGGGCTTTTGCCCCCCCCTAAAATATTTGAGGGGGCCATCCCTTCCCAAGTTGATGGGCATTACCATTCAAACGGTGTGTGTGTGCCGTGTCATGTGATTATGTGGGGCAGGACTTACCTGCCCCCCCCCCCAATATTTTACTCAAGTTGGCTTCCCTGGTTCTATGGCATCTGAGAGTTTTAGACTTTCATTAGTTCAGGGGTAGGCAAACTAAGGCCTGGGGGCCGGATCCAGCCCAATCGCCTTCTAAATCCACCCACGGATGGTCTGGGAATCAGCGTATTTTTATATAAGTAGGAAGTGTCCTTTTATTTAAAATGCATCTCTGGGTTACTTGTGGGGCATTGGAATTTGTTCATTTCCCCCCCAAAAATATAGTCTGGCCCCCTACAAGGTCTGAGGGACAGTAGACTGGCCCCCTGCTGAAAAAGTTTGCTGACCCCTGCAATTAGTTAGAAACAACCCAATGACTCCTCTCCCTTTTCTTCTCCTTCCTGACCAGTGTAGAATTCTCACAGCACCAACAAGCCCTTCTTACTTTTTCTGCCTACTTCTGAATTCTGCTATAGCGCTCCCAGCTACAGATCTTTCCATGAGCGTCCATTGCTCTATGGCTGAATGATTCTTTGACAGGCACCGACCCAGAAGCCATACTGGCTGCTCTTCAGAGATACACACCATCAGCTAGATTCACCATCTAGGATACAACTACCGCCTGCATTCAGTGCTGTGGCTTAGCTGATAAATGCAGTCGATCGTTTGAACCAGCCAAGGGTACAGAAGCAGCAAGAAGCTCAAGTCTTTTTTTTAAAACAGAACTTGGAGCAAAGCTGCAGGAGCACGAAAACGTCTCTAGTTCCTCCGTAGGTCTGGTGCAGCTACTGCACCCCCCTTCCTGAGTAAAGGCTATCTGTTCCTATAGTTGGCAAACTGCAGTATCTGTCTTTTACCTGCCCATCAGTGGAGCCAGAGAAGCAATCGGTCCCAGTCTTTGACTGCAGCCAGATAGCATTATACACAGGATCCCGGTGGCTAAGCTCGACTGTGGTCAGTTCCACTGGCAGGCCTCCTTTTCGAGTGTCCCAGTAAGCTGAGGGGCAGTAAAAACAGGAATTGTGGGTCGCTTGAAAGATGCTCAGGTCCTCCTTCCACAAACAAGGTTAATAGCATCTTTTGGCTATAGGATTACTCGAGGGTCCTATCTTGAAGTTGTTCAACATGCATCAAGGTCCTTGGTTATGGTTAGCTCAGTTGGTAGAATATGAGTCTCTTAATCTCAGGGTGGTGGGTTTGAGTCCCACGTCGGGCAAAAGATTCCTGCATTGCAGGGGGTTGGACTAGATGGCCCTTGTGGTCCCTTCCAACTCTACAATTCTATGGTAATCGGGAAATCGCTCCAAAAAGTTAATCCAGCTTCTTTTCGCCACCCACACTGTTCCAGTCTTCCGCTCATCCTCAAAATGTTAACATAAACTTCTTTTATTCTGAATAAATCTCCCCAATTAATTAGATTTCAGGAATATATGTTGAGCAATTCTTTAAAAATCAAGTATACATCATAGCTTTGCAGCATTTGCATTTAGTTTTCAGGCCCAGAAATGGAAGAGCCAATGTAAATACCATACTCTAGTGATGTGAGGTGAGAGAATATCCAGAGAATATTCTCCACAAACTGTAAATTCTAATGTAAGAACTAGTTTCACAACCTACATTTAAAAAATCCAGTAAATAATAAGTCAAGCTGTGATATTACCAGTGTAAGTAATGAATAATGATTTTTTTTTAAATCCAGTTACATTACTAGGCATTGTGTCATTCACCATTGGCAGTTCTGAAATGTGAGCTACAGAAAACATTTTTATTTATTTTTTAGTTTTAAAAATGCTATTCATTTAATCTGATGAACATTTGAATTTGTATGTATTTCTACTATATGTAATAACCTTTTTTCTATTTTGTTGTGACCTTATTCTTAGCAATTCTATACCCTTGGCCACACAGTGTGATTTTTTTTTTTTTTTACACAAAGTAGCTTTAATGCTTTATACACTTAAAAGTACCTAGGCCTATACAATTATGTGTAACAGCATGTGAGGTGGCCTTCATTTAAACAGTTGACATTTCTTGATTTTTATTTAGTGCCAGTAACCGGTTTTCACAGTGCCATTCAATGGTACAAGGTGCCATTTACCGGAGATTGACATACTGAAATATATTATCATATAATGATAATACATTTAATGTTAATGGCTTCTTTGAATATAGTTTTGTTTATCAAGCTGTGTTATATATCATTTTCAATGCATTAAAATGAATATTCTCCTATTTAAAATGAAAATTCTCTAATATTCTCATTAATCGAGAATATTCTCCAAAAGATTATTCTCAAGAATTTAACATTACTATACTGGACTAATACAGAAAATTAATGATTGCCACAAAGTGCCCTATGTCTTCATCCCAATGTACCCCAAAATGATACAGGAGGTGATTGTTATTTGGATTGGAAAACCTCCCCATATAAATCATATGTGGTCTGTGGCAGAAGCAGAAATTCACCAGATGTCTCTGGCGTGTGCTTTAACCCTTAGACCTAATTCAAAACTGCTTTATTACCAGAGGCTTCTTTTAAAGCTTCTCCTTTTCAAAGCACACAGATGGGCTGGATTTTTGCAGACGCAGCAGGGAATTGCTTTTGCTGTCTATGGTTCAGTTATAATTAAGCCATTGGAGGTGACAGAGTGTGTTTCACGGGGCCATTACTGCCTGCCTCAGGAGGCCTGTGAAGGACAAAGTGAAATCAACTCCCTCTTCCATCACCTATCAAGTGCTTAATAACGTCCCTGTAATAGAGACCCTGTCAGATCTGATTGCTGATGAAAATGGCAAAAGAAACATAAAAGGGAGTATAATTAACTCAAAGGGCACATGTGAATGAAAAAGGCAATACGATCATAAATGGACGTGGCAAACCTGAGCTTGGTGGAACTCTGAAAACCATGGCAGACAATCGTTTTTGTTAATCAAACAGGGACAATTAGGAATAACAGGGTTGTGAGCTCCTTGGGTAACACTTCACGGCAGCAGCTATGTCATGTACCAATCTGAACAGGATCCCCAGAGCAGCCTTGTTGATGGAAATGTGACTACACATCCACACAGCACCCTGGTGAAGTCAGCCAAGAGACAGGCCGGGGTGTGCAAAGCTGGAAAACACCCTATATGGTAAGGGTTAGCCTTAGCAGAAAGTGGAAAGACGATTTCCTGGGGGGAGTAGGGCTGGGCGATATCTGGTTTACAACACTGTGATATATCACAATGTCTGGGATAAGAACGAAGCTGGTTTTCAACTTTGTGATATATCACCAGCTGAACATTGCGATATACAGTCATACCTCAGGTTACAGCCGCTTCAGGTTGCGTTTTCTTTGGGTTGTGGACCGCCGAAACACAGAAGTACCGGAACGGGTTACTTCTGGGTTTCGGCGGTTGTGCATGCTCAGAAGCGCTAAATTGCTCTTTGTGCATGCGCAGAAGTGCTAAATCGCAACACGCGCGTGCGCAGATGCGGATTGCGAACGTGCATCCGGCACAGATCTCGTTCACAACCTGAGCGTCCACTGTACTCAGTGCTGGATTTACGTATAAGCTAAACAAGCTATAGCTTAGGGCCCCACTCTCTTGGGTGGGGGGCAAAGAGGAATAGATTATGAGTCGTTGTAAATTGTGTTATTGCCAAATGCCAAAGTATTTGCATTACTAAGTTTGTTATGAATAAAAAATCATTTTAAGTTAGAGCTTAATAATTACTTCACTATTAATATAGTTCTTCTTAATTGTATTTCACTATTAATATACTTCTTCTTAATTGTATTTCAGTTCAACAATTACTTTGATAAAATACATATTTTGTTATGTGCAAATGGCTTTAGATATACATTAGGTCCATAAATTGCCATATAGCATATATTCAACACAAAAAACAGTGACAGTTTGTTGTTGACAAAGGACAGCTGGACATATAAAGGGCCCTATTACCTTCAGTAGCTTAGGGCCTCATCAAATCTAAATCCGGCCCTGGATATACTGATCTATCATGATGTCTGAAATAAGGATGGAGCTATGTAGAGGAACTGGCTGGCTTCACGGTTTTCCCCACATTGTGATTTTTGCATAACACACACATACGATTCACAATATACTGCCCAGTCAAAAATTATGAAACCATTGTTCTGATATGGACTTGAAACCAGTTTTGGATAATATATCACCTAGCCCTAACACGCATCATGATTTGCAACATATTGCTCAGTCAACAGTTATGAAACCACTATCACAATATGGAGTTGAAACCGGTTTTGGGCAATATATTGATATATTACCCAGCCTTAGTGGGGAGCAAGAGCCCCAAATGGTATTTGTGGGAAACACAGGAAAATAAAGAATGCTCTGAGTCCTCTCGCCCAGTTTCCTGTATCCAACAGTGGTGGTACCTGGTGGTACATGGAAGGGCATGGGAGATAACTGTGTGCAGTCAGAGCTTTGCTTCCTGTTTTCTTTGGAGAGGTTCCTATTACTACTAGAAAGACATGCTGCTGTTCACGTATTAAAAAAGAAAAAGAGGAATGTGACGGGCGACGTCTTTGGCATGAGAACTTCTGCAAAGGAAGCAGGGAGGCGAAATTCCAGCTGCACACAGCCTGTTCTTTCAAGCATGAGAGTTCACAGACTCTTCTCTGAAAACAAGGCAAGTAGCCACAATACACCATGTGAATACACTCATCCTGGTCCATCTTCACAGCAGTTACGAAGAGACAGAGCATATAGGGCAAACCCAAGGCTCTCTTTTTAAACTACAGTGGTACCTCGGGTTACATACGCTTCAGGTTACAGACGCTTCAGATTACAGACTCCGCTAACCCAGAAATAGTACCTCGGGTTAAGAACTTTGCTTCAGGATGAGAACAGAAATCGCATGGCGGCAGCAGGAGGCCCCATTAGCTAAAGTGGTGCTTCAGGTTAAGAACAGTTTCAGGTTAAGAACGGACCTCCGGAACGAATTAAGTACTTAACCCGAGGTACCACTGTATAGAGCAGCGATGGAAGGCGAGCTGTGGCAGGGCATTCAGGTATGCCTCTCTACGTTCAAAGCCCACGTTCAAAGAGGTATAAAACCAAGCAGCAGCCTGAGGACGGCAATCAGGACTAGACAAAACATCTGGCAATGAGAACCTAAGGCATGGGAAATGGAAGAGAACAGGTAACTGGTAACCCAAGGTAGTACATTGGATCCCTCAGAGCCTTCTCGGTGGTGGCACCCTGCCTATGGAATGTTGTTCCCTAGAAGGCTCACCTGGGATCTTTGCTGCTATACTGTCTTTTTCATTTTTCCAGGCTTCTAAAGGACAAATGAATTTTTCTTTGCTGTTCCGTTTTTCTTATTGTAATGTTGTTTTTGCCACGTTATTTTAATTCAGAGTTGTGTAAGTTTGGAGGGCAGGATAGAAGCTGATTAAACACATGAATAAAAACAGCTGCAATGCATTCTGCTTTCCACAATTCAAATTCTATTCCAAGAAATGCCAAACTCTGAGTTACGCAAATCGAACACAAGCACTCCCAACATAGTTCATAACTGTGTTTTCATTCAAAGCTGTGGGTGCAGAAGTGGATCTGACCGAGCAAGCGGAATTGGAAACCTTGAAACCTCCGCTATGGATTTCCTTTGCTCTTAAGACCAGTTATCAGTTTCCACTAACCCTGGACACTGAACCTGACTTCCATTTATTTTTATTTTTGGCTTTAGATGCCTGTTGCTGTCAGATTTTTGAAAAAATAAAAAGTTCATGTACACTTTGAAAGCAGCAAATATTTTCAAAAACTGGAGTCGGTGCAACAAAAAAGATAAATATTTGAAAGCACATGGTTTGCCAGCCCCCTTCCTCCATTTCCTTTTCCAGCACTATTGGAGTGAAGGCTTGCCAGTGACAATTACAGATAAAGCCAAACAAGAATAGACTTCAAGGTACACAATGAGGGCCCTGAATTTCCCACTACTTTTTACCGTGTGCTAACCATTCCCTTACCTATCTGCCCATTGTAGCATCCTCCAATCAGGATATGTGAGTCTTTTGGGTTGTACTCTAAGCACACCAAAGGTGAGGATGGCCGGATAACAAGTTCTGGTTTGTTGGGGGTTTCTTAAAAAAAGAGGGGGGGGCAGAATTACCATACAGAAGAAAATAACTGTCAGACTTCACAATTCTAAAGTGAACGGTAAATAAATTATCCGTTTTATTCCCTTATCTCTCGTCCCACTGCACCCCATGGCTACTATAGGCAACATTTCTGCTCCTGAATATGAATGAACTGGGCGTAAATTCACCTGAAGGTGCAGGCAGTAGAAAAACTAAAGTGAGGAGCAGAACAAGGAAATGGGAGGCAGAATTAATAGTAGGACTACCCTTTAGAGTTGGGCAAAATCCAGGTTAGAGACCCTTTCTGCTTCCTCCATTCTGTGGAGGGTGGATATGGCAGGAGGCGTCTCCCGCAGATCCCAGCCAAGAGATGGATCTGCCAGCGCTTAGGCCCAGTCTAGGGGAAATTACACAGAAACCATAATCGCCGCCTTGCCCCCCTTCTTACCAAGATCCCATATGTATGAATCATAGCTCATGTCTTTTGAACTCCGCTGGAATTCGAGGCTGGCATAAGAGACTGCCAGCTTCCGGCTTCTGTCGGGGTGCCAGGAGAGATGTGTGGCTGTTCTTTTGATTGGGTTTGGGTCCCTTTTCGATAAGAAAGAAGAAGACAACAGCATTTCATTTGTTCATAAGCAACAGGTTGTGCCATCAAATCTCACAAAGAACTCAAAATAAAAATATATCTCATAGGCAAGGGAGTTTTATGTGCGTCTGTTATAACACTGAGCATTTTGAAGAAGGTGCTGCAGAAATCCTTCACTGGGGTGGGAGTCTATTTCCAGTCCCAAACGCCCCCAGTTCAGTTTTTCCAGAAGTCATAACTATTGCCTGAATAATATATGGTTTCTCAGTTTCTTCTTCCAAGGTTTCCACCAGATGACCTGCTTCTCCAGCATCCATCCTAATTCACTTGCGCAAAGTTTGCACAGAGCTTAGGCTAAAGTCTGGTCTTTATTGAGCATTTGTCCTGATTTATTTATGGGGTGCTTATACGACAATCCTGAAAGACCTACATTGGCTTCCAGTACATTTCCGGGCACAATTCAAAGTATTGGTGCCGACCTTTCAAGCCCTGCAAGTGCCCTATAAACAAATCAGAGCAAATGCTCAATAAATACCAAGCACAATCTAACCTCTGCATAAACTTTGTGCAAGCAAATCAGGAAGAGTGCTCAATAAACAGATCATCAGAAGGAGTCAAAAGAGACAGTTGTTCATCACTCTAGGCTTTTTTTTTAACTGTATGGACATGATGTCTGCCACTACATTTAGTCCTACATTTAGGCTCAATTTAGGGGGAGATGGAAGGAAAAAGTGCCATAATAATATATCCTACCCAGCCCTGTCAAGTTAACTGAAAACAGCAGGGATATGTTCATAGACAATGCTTGGTTTCAGGGACAGTCAGTGAATGGCAGCTGGGAGCATCTGGCAGACAGATAGGGAAATAATAGACAAGAAAGACCATCCAATTCTTCAAATACAGTCTGCCCGAATAATTTAGGGTTAATAACGATCAATACGGGTGGCGCTGTGGTTTAAACCACAGAGCCTAGGACTTGCCGATCAGAAGGTCAGTGGTTCGAATCCCCATGACGGGGTGAGTTCCCGTTGCTCGGTCCCTGCTCCTGCTAACCTAGCAGTTCGAAAGCACGTCAAAGTGCAAGTAGATAAATAGGTACCGCTCCGGCGGGAAGGTAAACGGCGTTTCCATGCGCTGCTCTGGTTCGCCAGAAGCGGCTTAGTCATGCTGGCCACATGACCCGGAAGCTGTACGCCGGCTCCCTCGGCCAATAAAGCGAGATGAGTGCCGCAACCCCAGAGTCGTCCACGACTGGACCTAAGGGTAACAGGGGTCCCTTTACCTTTATCTAACGATCAATACACCTTGTAGGACAGCAGCATCAGCAATATTTCAGTCATTACACAAAACCAAAGATCATCTCAAGCTGGATTAGAAGAGAGGACAGAGGTTTCTGGCTGCTCAAGAGCTACCTGAAGACATTGATAGTTTTTGCTGATGGAGCCTCATCCGTAACTCCCGCCAACTCCTCTTCCTCAAAGTACTCCTCGTAGATATTGATGGCATTGTTCTGCTTGATGCAGTGATCCATTTGCTACAAAAGAAGTAATGGAATCAGTCAGTGGATGCCCACAGAACAAACCTGGGGAGGTCATGCAGAAAACAAAGAAAAAGGAATAAGGAAAGCAGGTTGCAAAGCTTTGACATAGGCTGCTGATGAGCTGAAAGGGTGAGGCCAAAGGGACTTACACTGCCCAGCTGAGTAATGACGTTGATGTAGTTCTCATCCTTCTCAACTTTCTTGCGGAAGCGAATGGTCTGTTCCATTTCCAAGGGGTTGACATCTTTAGGCCAGCCGCCTTCCACGTGGTTGATGCCCCGGGTTTCCATTTCAAACCTTTCTGTGTTGACCTGGTGTAAAGGAAAACCACAGCTGCCTTCAGTCTTCCCCCCCCCTTTCTTTTTAAACAGCAGCAGCAGTGGCCTCAGATACAAGACCATGATTCTCAAGGGTCATACGTAAGAAATGGAGGAGGCCATAGAGGAGAACGTTTTGGTGACCAATTGGGTTGCATGTAAAGGGATAACACGACGAACACAACCAATTGCCAAGCACATAATACCACGGATGACGTTAATCCACATTACAGAGTCCATCCAAAACTTCTGATTACCAGCATTGACAGTCTTACTACCCGCAGGCTGGTTTGCACATGAGAAACAGTTGTTTATTTTCTTCCCATATACAGAAATTGTGCACAGAAATTCCAATAAGAACCATGCTGTACAAAGATAAAGGTAAAGGGACCCCTGACCATTAGGTCCAGTCATGACCAACTCTGGGGTTGCAGCGCTCATCTCGCTTTACTGGCCGAGGGAGCCGGCGTACAGCTTCCAGGTCATGCGGCCAGCATGACTAAGCCGCTTCTGGCAAAGCAGAGCAGTGAACGGAAACGCCGTTTTCCTTTCTGCCGGAGCGGTACTTATTTATCTACTTGCACTTTGACGTGCTTTCGAACTGCTAGGTTGGCAGGAGCAGGGACCGAGCAATGGGAGCTCACCCCGTTGCGAGGATTCGAACCGCCGACCTTCTGATCGGCAAGTCCTAGACTCTGTGGTTTAACCCACAGTGCCACCCGCGTCCCTTGTACAAAGATACCTCCTGCATAAATGACACTTCCTTATACTGGCCACTAACTCAGCATTTTCTACTTGAGCTGGCAGCAGCTGTACAGGGCCCCAAGCAAAGGTAATTCATATTTCTCCTGCTCCCTGAGATCCTTCAACTGGAAATGGCAGGGATGGAGCCTGGGGCCTGTGTTCATATGCCAAGTATGTGTTCTGCTACATTATTCTAGCTCCCACAGTCCTAGGCATGAAGCAGGAGTGGACTGTATATTTTGCCAAACAACAACAACCCATCAACACTCAAAACACACCACACTCATTGATTTTGTTTGCCATTTCATGGCTTCTGTGCTTTCTGCAGTTGAATTGGCAGGCAGGCAAAAGTTCACCAGGTGGAGAGCTCTTCCCTACCCTGACTCAGGATACGTACCTTTCTAACCGAAGCAACAGCCCCATGCCTTCACCATCTGTAATGCCTACAAATACTAAGTATGTGATGCAATGTCACTGCATTGCAAGTTCCCTGTCCCTATGTAACTTCACAGGCTACTGCTTGTAGGAATGGGGAAACTCACAACATGGGGGTGTTGCTACATGCATTTTGTACTGCAGGGACAGGTTGCTGATTTTGGTAAAAGCTATGCCTCCCCTGCAATGTCCAATTCGAGCCCAGGCTACGCATCATTCTTATACCTCCATAGACAGCCTTACGTTTTCATATAGTGGATGTCAGTAAAATCTGCATTTCTGCAATCATGTCAAACAAAACCTTGGTGTCCATCGCAATCACGGGAAGCTCAGCTAAGGATGGAGGAAAAGAAGCAGTACTTCCAACCTACATGGCTATGTAGCAAAATCCAGAAGTCGCCATTCATTAAGGAAATTCATGGATTTGTTTCTTTTTTTAAGGGCTTGGGTTTTCCAGCTTCAATTTGGAAAACAAAAAGCACTTTGTTTTAAAACAGCCACCAAAACAGGTAGGTAAAGGACCCCTGAATGGTTAAGTCCAGTCACTATGGGGTCCGGCACTCATCTTGCTTCAGGCTGAGGGAGCCGGTGTTTGTCCACAGACAGCTTTCTGGGTCATGTGGCCAGCATGACTAAACAGCTTCTGGTGCAACAGAACACCGTGACAGAAGCCAGAGCTCATGGAAATGCCGTTTACCTTCCTGCCGCAGTGGTACCTATTTAAATACTTGCACTGGTATGTTTTAGAACTGCTAGATTGGCAGAAGCTGGGAAAGAGCAACAGGAGCTCACCCCATAGCGTGGATTTGAACCACTGACCTTCTGATCGGCAAGCCCAAGAGGCTCAGTAGTTTAGACCACAGCACCACCTGCATCCCTCTGCCACCAAAACAATAGCCCCCATAAAGCCACATTGCACTGGATGAAGATTTTAGAATGGTTTCTGAACAGTACAGAAATCTAGATTCCTTATTTATGTTCTTTTTCTAATGCCAAGGTTCTGTAAACAGAACTCTCTTTTTCTTGTCCAGCTGAATTATATGCAGTTTGGAAATCCTGCATAATCAGCCATACATTTCGCTTTCAGCATTCTGCCTAAAGGCAGAAAAGCAGAAAGTAGCATTTCAAGATCAGACACTCTACCTCATGCTCTGACATATCACTGGCACACTGTACTCCAGTATCAATGGGGTCTCTTTCAATAAAATTTGTAGCTTGCAGTGGATCTGGCTGAATGTCCACATTGACCTCTGCCATCCGGTCGGAAAACGTGCATTGTCGACCGAACTCACTGCGCGTCTTCACATAAACGTAGACAATCTCCATGGTGCTCACTGCAAATGGGAAAGAAAAAGATCCTATTATTCCTTCAACACCACTTTTTAACTGTTGCTATTTTAGTGCATAATTCACACCTGACCCTTACTGGGGAAACACGACTCTGTTGCAAGCTTGCCTTAAGGACTTTGAAAAGACTGGAGCAAGTAGACTCTAACTAACTAGCAAGTAGACTTTAACTAAAGGGCAAATAACAAGGGGAGATCAACAGAGCCGAACTGATCACCTTATATTGAATTTTTGTAAGGCTATGGAAGTGAAATTGTCACAGCACTCCAGACATAATTTTTCAAGATAGGACTTCTATTATGGGGATATTACCTCGTTCCAGAATACAAACCGCAATATTTTGTCACTGGGAAACTGGCTAGGGAATCAATTAACCTTGCAATTTCCATGGGGATTGCGTTTACATGAGTGTCACAGGGCACTAATTGGTTAGAGCCTATGACATCATCGATGAAGAATGAGGCAATATTCCCATGTCGGCTCCATGTTGTAGCCTTACATATTTAGAAGTGGGAAATCATGGATTTTTAAAGCATCTGTGCAAGCCTTAAATTATTATTTTTATATTGTGAACCACCCTGAGATCTTTTGATGAATGGTGGTATATAAATCTAAATAACAACAACAAGAACAACAACAATGAATTAATTATTGAGCCTGACAGAGTCCAATATGAAAGAAAACAGGCAGAGCAGCAGTAACCAAAGCAACCTTAACTATCTCATATACTTGACAATGTAGGTCTTATTTACTAGTCAAACAATTGCGAAGGAAATCAGTTGAAAAGGAGTAAAGCTTCCCAATAATGGAGGGAAGCAGTTGAAGGCAGCATAAGCCCTGGAAAAGAAGGTCTTTTGGGAAGGCTGGTCATCAGGCAGCAATTTGCTTCAGAGAGCAAGTATCAGAGAGGGTCACCAACTTAGCTAGCTATCATACGTAGCTTTTAGGCATAATGCATTACCTCAAGCTAATGCCCTCCAGATATCATCGGACTCCAACTCCCATCTGCCCCAGCCAGTATGGCCAACGATCTGGGATGATGGGCCTTGTAGTCCGAAGAAGAAGAGTCCAACCACCTCAGCTTTGGGCACCATGTTGGCTGTCCCTGTATTATTTGCATCAAACACCTAAATGGGAGATGAACCTCTAGCCCTTTCAACGCTGCTGCACTACAAATCCCATCATCAATGACTATCAGCCACACAGCTAGTGCTGATGGGGGTTGGAGTCCAAGAAACAGCTTGCCCACCCTTGATCTGGAAACCCACAGGTAGCAGGGACGCTGGTATTAAACTCGAAAGGTGCTTTTGTGTGTGTGTGTAAACAGGGATTCACGAAGGAGTCGTTGGAGAGGTGGAGGGGTTACGCAAACCCTGTTAGGATGTTGGAGGCAAATCTCTGTCAGGAAGAGAAGCAGAATTTGTTGCTATCTCTTCCCCGCCCCTCTCTTTATTTTTTTATTTTTTGGCTGGTTTTCTACATTTATCACCCTTCTGGCACACAGCAATTCAGCAGGCGGGGAGGGTTTTCTTTCGCTATTGTTGCTGGAATGTTTGCAGGGACGGATAGCTTCCATTTGATCTTTGTAATGGATTGCTTTGAAGTCACTCCTGCGCCAGGCAAAGCGATGTGTAGCCCCCTTACCCCGGCAACAACCCCCACCTGCCCTTTATTTTACCTGACCTGTCCCGTATTTTGCCCAAAGGTGGCAACCCCGGGCTCACCTGGGCTGACTTCTGGGTGCTTTTCCTTCCAGTGTCAGAAGGACTTAACCCCCAGGGGATGCAAAAAGAAAGAGAAAATAATAAAAGCAAGAGTGCCTCTGAGCATGTGCAGATTCCCCGGCGGCCCTTTCCCTGAACCATGCTTAGTCAGCATCTCTCGCATCCGGGGCAGGAAAGCGGGTCGTGCCGCTAACCAATGGGAGCTTTCACCGGCGGCCTCGAGCCCGAGGAAAGAGCCGGGGAGGGGTGGTCTGTACCATTCCACGGTGAGAGGGTGGGAAGTGCGGCACGGGAGGGAGAGCGTGCGTGTTCCATACGCCGAGATAATAAAAAGCACCCCTAGATTCCGCCCCCCCCCGTCTCCCCGCGCCTCCTCCTTACCCGGCTCTTCTCCCCGCCAAGCGGATCCCGCCGATTGGAGTAGCGTTTACCCGTCTCCTAGCAACCGCTCGCGAGTGTTGCGCCCCGGGCGGGGCGGGGCTAAAAGAGAAAGCCGAAGAGAAGAAATTCGCTTTGCCAATTAAAGGGCGGAGGTGGGACGAGACCATGTGCGGATCCTCAGAGGGGGGAAGCCGAGAAGTCTCCCGCCGTCCGTGAATATGGCGCCTCCCGTTTAAAGGGGAAGGAGGAGGATGGAGAAAGGTTCATGTAGGATGCGGTGGTTGTCTCCTTCCAGGGTTTAATCTGAGCCAGCGTGGAGGGGGTGTGGTGTGGGGTTGAGTCCGGTTGAGGGAGGACCACAGAGTGTAGAAAGCATGCCTCTGGGCATGTGCAGAGTGCATAACGCCATATCCTAGAGCAGGCATCCCCAACCTTCGACCCTCCAGGTGTTTTGGACTACAACTCCCATCATCCCTGGCCACTGGTTCTGTTAGCTAGGGATCATGGGAGTTGTAGGCCAAAACATCTGGAAGGCCACAGGTTGGGGATGCCTGATCTAGAGCCCCACCTCAGGATTATAGGGAGGATTTAGGCTAGATAGCTCAGTTGGTTAGAGCGTGGTGCTCATAATGCCAAGGTAGCAGGTTTGATCCCCGTATGGGACAGCTGCTTATTCCTATACTGTAGGGGATTGGACTATAGATGATCCTCAGAGTTCCTTCCAACTCTATAATATAGTCTAAGATTTCCAAGCCAGTTCAAATCTGCTGGTTTGATTGCAGCATGAACTTTCATGAACTAGAATCCACCCCACTTCATCAGATGCTATAACAATTAGGTGTTATCCCACTCACTTGGCAGGTGTGTGTGTGTGTTGCACACAAAGAAATTCAGAGGGCCAAATGACAATGAAAGGGGAACAAATGTGCAATTCCAGTTAAGCTTCAGATAGCAGTAAAACAAACACCCGAGCTTTGCAATGTTAATTAACAGCTTGTGCGGGACAGAAAACCATTGTCTCAATTAAAGACAAAATAAACACAGCTAATCCCAAAGCCTGTCTTGCCTCTTGCTGGGAGCCTTCCTTTCAAATTCCCTTTCTGGAAAACAGCAACCATCAGGTCAGCAGCAGGCTGTGCTGAGGATGCTGAGGAACCAAAATGTTCTCCAATTGGTTTCTGCAACCCTGTTTCAGGGCCATCTGAGTTGGTGACTTTTACCACATCTTGTGGTAGAATATTCTGAAATTTAACTGCATTGCCTTCTGATTCTGGGTTTGCCTCATAATAGATTATTCCTGGATACCACTCCAAGCTCCCTCCCCCCTCAATGGAGTGTAAGAAATGCATATTGTAAATCCTTTAAATGCAAGTTGCTGTCCAATTACACTGGAACAAATGTGTACACACCATAAAGTATATTTGAAGCACATTTCTCTCTCAGATAATTCAATGGCTTGCTTCTTCATAGATATGGTTAGGACTGCATTTACATTTTATTATATGCAGGGTTTTCAATGAGCTGCCATCCCATTCACGCATAGAATTTCTCATTGTATTTCTATCCTTGTAATAAGTGCCACTGCTTTTTCTAACAGCTTCACCAGCCAGAAATTCAAAGATCTTCTGGAGAGCTGGGAAAAGCTCCACACAAAACAAAACCCTTCTCTTTGTGAAAGAAGAGCATTTTGATTGAAGAGAACAGCTTTTAAGAGTAGGCCTCACAAGGGAACAGCTCTCATCTTAACCCAGCTGCTTCACACAAGCAAGTGAGGACACGCTTTTAAAAATAGAAAATCAGACAAAAAAGGCTGCTTTTTTGTATTACCTTAATGATTTATTACAGCGCTGAATGACCCAACAGCTGTGCACTGCTGCCAACATTCATAAGCAGTGTCACTCAGTATCAAAACAGTTATCTACAAGTGGCCTATTTCCAGACACTGCTGCAAACACCCTGGGAGAACAGAACAGAATGCATAATAAAGGCTCCTTGTGAAAGTGTGCCGCTTCTGAAAGCTATTCAGAAAAAAAGGGTGAGTCACTGAAGGGGAGAAAGACGACTAAAAAAGGAACAACTTTCCATATTCAGAGATATGGGTTAGATTAGAACCTTAAGTGTTAGGCAGGAATAACCAGCTGCATAAATATAAGATGGCTTACCAATAGTACATGTGAATAAAACAATCTGAGGGTCTTAGTAGGCCACAAGCTTAACGTGAGTCAACAGTGTGATGCAGCAAGCAAAACTGCTATACAAGGCTTCATCAACAGAGGTATAGTGTCAAGAACAAGGAAAATAGTACCACTCTATCCTGCCTTGGTCAGACCACACCTGGAACACTGTGACCAGTTCTGGGTGCCACAATTTAAGAAAGATATTGACAAGCTGGAACATGTGCAGAGGAGGGCAACCAGGATGATCAAGGGTCTGGAAACCAAGCCTTATGAGGAACAGTTGAGGGAGCTAAGTATGTTTAGCTGGAAAAGAGGAGACTGAGAGGAGACATGATAGTCATCTTCAAATATCTAAAGGACCGTCACATGGAAGATGGAGCAAGTTTGTTTTCTCCTGCTTTTGGTGGAGGGTGGGGTGGGTAGGATTCATACTAATTGTTTCCAGTTACAAGAAGGGAGATTCCGATTACCGTATTTTTCGCTCCATAGGGCGCACCGGACCATAGGGCGCACCTAGTTTTTAGGGGGGGAAATAAAGGGGAAAAAAATATTCCCCCCCCAGAACAGGTCCAGGAGCGGCGGCAAGATTGCACACAACCTCGCCGCTGCTCCCAGAGCTTGCGGGGCTGGGGACGGGGGAAGCCTGAGCTTGGGAGGTTGTGGACTCTCAGACACTGGGAGGTTCCCTTGGGAGGTTGTGGACTCTCAGACACTGGAGTTTTTAAAGCAGTGGTTGGGCGTCCATCTGCCATGGATGCTTAGTTGAGATTCCTACATTGCAGGGGGTTGAACTAGATGACCCTTGGGTCCCTTCCAACTCTACAAATCTATGACGCCCTCCAACATTCATTGGATGGCCAAATTTATTGTGAAGAGAGCAGATGTAGAGCCTCAATAGACCTGTTCCTGGCCCGGTATGGGATATCGTGCCAAAAATTGCTCTTATTTGCTCCAAGACATGTTTTGCACTAAACACCACCTCAGGAGATATCAGGAGGCGGATTTTCAGCAGGAAACTGGTGCTCAGCCGCAATCCATGAATACAGTACGTTCCCTATGGGGGCCATGCAGCTGTTTTTTCTTCAAAATAAATTGTCAATTTAAGCAAGGTTTTTAAAAAGCATGAGCGCCATAGGGTTGTAGCCAATGCTCATCTTACTCAAGAGTAAACTCATTGAAACCTAAACCATTCAGTTCCATTAACTTCAGCAGGTCTACTCTGCATAGGACTAGCATTGGATACAACTCATAGTGTCTAGTTTGGTACTATGTGCTGGTGTTAAGGGTCACAGCGTGGCAGAAGCCTGATGGAGTAGAGCTGGGTCGCTTATTGGTGATGTCACTAGTATGACCAAATTCATGTCTATGACACAGGCAGAATCACATTCCAGAAAATGCTTTCAAGTCACAATGGGCCCTGGAGAGAGGAGAGAGATGTGTGCTCAACAAAAACAATTTGAGATTTGAGTGCTGGGGAAGTGCAGTAACCTTAAAGTAGACTTGAATGAAGAGGACTATGTTCCATGCAGCAGTAATGTAGGAAAAAAATCCTAGGAAACAGCAAGCAAAGCATTGCACAGTTGAAAGGATATCAATAGGTGACAGAGGCAGCTTGTAGTTGTTTTTTTGGCTCCTGGTTTTGCTACCAGGCCCTGGGAAGCAGCATTTATCAGATTCCCTCCCCCCAAAAAGAAATTATAATAATTTGGCTTCACCAGCAGTCTGAAATATGCATCACCAGTTGGTGGTTTTAGATCTGTTGATGTTTAATGCCCTTTAAACCTCTTGTGATTAACATTTGTAATGCTTCAACATGTTCCAGCTGTGAGCTAAGATCCAAGAGCCATTGAAAGAGCAGATGAATTGCGGCAGCTAGAGTGGTAACTGGGAGTGGCTGCTGAGAAAATATAACACAGGTCCTAAAGGATCTTCATCTGATCCCAGCACGTTTCCGAACACAATTCAAAGTGTTGGTGCTGACCTTTAAAGCTCTAAATGGCCTGGGCCCAGTATACCTGAAGGAGCGTCTCCACCCCCATCATTCTGCCCAGACACTGAGATCCCGCTTCCAAGGGCCTTCTGGTGGTTCCCTCACTGCGAGAAGCGAAGTTAAACGGAACCAGGCAGAGGGCCTTCTCGGTAGTGGCGCCCACCCTGTGGAACGCCCTCCCATCAGATGTCAAAGAAATAAACAACCATCTGACGTTAAGAAGACATCTGAAGGCAGCCCTGTTTAGGGAAGTGTTTAATGTTTGAAGTTTTATTTTGCTTTTAATATTCTGTTGGAAGCCGCCCAGAGTGGCTGGGGAAACCCAGGCAGATGGGCATGGTAGAACTAATAAAATTATTATTATTATTATTATTATTATTATTATTATTATTCTGTACCATCATGGATGCTGTCTTATAGGATACATGCACTGTGATTTACTTGTTTGTTGCAAGGGCAGCTCTGGCCGTGAGGTGGCACTCTTCTCTAAATCTCAGAGGCAAACCTTGGAATGCGTCCAAGTGTTTCCCATAACATTTTCCAGTAGTTCTGAAGACAGCAGCTAGGCACTGTGACTGCCACGGTTATTGCACAATGGATTTAAATTGAACACTTGCCCGACTCCTACAATACCCTCCTGCTGCTGTCCCTCATTCCTTCGGTAGAATGATTTTTCTCCAAATTCTAACTGATGCACACTTTTTTTTTTCCTCTTGGAGAAGCATTCAAAAGATGCATGCTTCCTCACAGCCTGAAATGGAATAATCCAGAAAATAAAAATAAAAATTCATGGGACGCTGCTAACTGTATAACATACCAAGTCCATGAAAGAGACAATGGAAACAGATATTCATGGGGCCTTTCCACAGCCTCAAATTGATTATAGTGGTACCTCGGTTCTCGAACGTCTTGGAAGTTGGAACGTTTTGATCTTCGAACGCCGAAAACCCAGAAGTAACTGCATCGGTTTTCGAACGCTTTTTGGAAGTTGGATGTGACACGTGGCACTTTTTAAAACAACACATTTTATAGTCAGGGGGTGGCTGCTGAGTATGTACATGTTTACAGATGCTCATTTTATTATTTTTTACTATAAAAATGCATTAACCTTTTCTGCGGCAAAATGGTACTGTAATAAATGTAGGGGTTGCTCGTGCGCAAGTTGGTGCCACTCCTGGCTAGGTTGCCTTGTTAAACCTTTTCTGTCTGGACAGCCCTTGCGCTTCGTGGCTGTTCAGTCGCTAGCAGAATCTGTCAGTGGGCGTTTCTTAAACCTTTTCCAGCATAAAAGTTGTTTGACTCCAAGTCTCCTCCTACTCTCCCTGCGCGGAAGTCTTCTGCGCAGGGAGGGCGTGGGTAGCGGAGGACCCGTGCTCTCCTCGCTGATCTCCGGTGAGGAGTCCTTGAGCCCCCTCGCCGATTCCCCCATCTGCCCCCCTTCATCCCTGGTGTTACGCTGATTTCTTTCCCCAGATGGTGAGCCGCCTCTCCCCCTGCTGGGCCCTTCTCCAGCATCGCTCGAGAGCTCAGCCTCCGCCTCTGGCTCCGATGTCAGTTCCCTGACAGGTACTTACTCCAAGTAAATGATTTTTAGCATCGGGGCAGCAGAAGAACATTTCCTTCCATTTCTGTAGCCATAACGGTTCGAGCTATGAATTTAAAATGCCAAGCTGCACCTGCTCAACACATTTATTTCATTTTTTTGAAGTCAGGGGCGGGAAATTGTTCTATTTGGTTTTTTGCTCTCATATATCATGAAGGCAGACACAGATGTAAAGCATGGAACTCCATACAGATGGAGAATTGGGAAACACTATAGCAAAAAGATTTAAAATTCACTGCCTGTTACACAAGAATAAAATAAAAGCTTCATGAAAATGCTATATAGGTGGTACATGACCCCCAGCAAATTTGCCAAAATATATAAATCAAAGTCAAATCTATGCTGGAGGTGTAATCAAGGGGAAGGAATGATGTATCACATGTGGTGGGGTTGTGGCAAAATGAAAAAATTCTGGAACACTGTCTATGATGAATTTAAAAAAATGTTCAGACAAACTTTTGAGGAGAAACCTGAAGCTTTTCTTCTAGGCATTATGGGAACTGATATTTCAAAAGATAAATAAAGGGTGTTCCTATATGCTGCAACAACAGCAAAAATGTTAATCACTAGAAATTGAAAGGGGGACAGGACACCAACAAAGGAAGAACTAAATTGTATGAGTATTTGGAATTAGCAAGAGTGACAGAGGCGCCAAACTTGAAAAGGAGTGGGAATGTGTAGAAGATTATCTGGGAAAACATTGTTCTCAAATAAAACCCTTGATATGTTTCGACTAAATTTTGCAAAGTAAAGATCAGATAGAGAAGATATATTATTATGTATTAGAAAGGCAATAAGTAAAAACAACACATCTGAAAAGAGAAAGAAGACAGGTGGTGGGAAGTCCCTTGTGCAAAAATATTGTTATTGTTCGGCTTTTATATGTGTACAATACATGTTAAAGAGTGAATGGAATATGTATATGAATAACCAATTTAAAATTCAATAAAAAGCAGTTTAAAAAAAGATGTAAAGCATGGAATGTGGAGCGGGGAAGAGCTATGTAAATTGTGTGCTCCACAACTGAAATAATACTGTCTAAATCCTCTGCCTCCCCCGTAAGACCATTTAGTCCAGGGTCTTAAATTACCTAGCTGTGCCACTGGCTGCGTTCTGCAGCAAGTCATCCAATGTGAAGCAAAACTGCAAAGCCTCACTATTACGAAGGCATGGATGAAAGTCACCAAATCCAGACCCTATAAGTGCCCCTATTTTCCAGGGACAGTCCCAGATTTACAGAAGCCGTCCTGGTTTCTGATTTGATCCCAGAATGTCCTGCTTTTCCTTAGGACGAGCCTATTTTCACTGGAGAAATGTTGGAGGAAATGCCTCTATTTTCATTGGAGAAATGTCGGAGGGTGTGCAAACACCACTTGATTGTGCGAAAGAAAGAGCTATATTCTGTTGTTTGCTGTAGAATTCAACCCGCAATCTCCAGTAATCTGCACAACCACAGGCTCTCATTGTATTTCCCCGTGACCTTGAACGGAATCTCCCCCCCGGAGCTTGTCAAGTTTGAGAACATGGGCGAGTTTCATGAAGCCAAATAGTACCCAATTTACTCAGGCCTTTGAACCCATGAAATTGTCCCTGCCAGAGACAAATCTAATAACAGCTAATTGCAGGCGCATGGCTCTGTACCGGAGGGGCAAAGGACTCTGTTGAGAACACAGGCAGCTGAAGGTCTTTTTTATTTTTATTTTAGTACAAGTGTTTATTATTCGTTTCCCAGTCAGTACATACAAATCAGGCATAGCTCCAAAAGGAGCCCGAGATGAGGTTAGCTCGCATGCGTTCTTTTTTATTTAAAAAAGTACTGAACGGCATCGTTACAATGAGACGATTAACAGCGTAAAACCAGGGTTCTCCCCGCCCCACATGCCTTAAGTTGTACACAGCCACATATAAGATGAATGTATAAATTATGTTGCCATACATGATATGTACAAGTTATCCTTGATAAAAGACACAGTGAGTCATTGCTGTCAAGTAATTAAAACCTCCGTGTATGCTTAGGAGGGCAACTTTTTGTACCTCTGCAGTTTTTAGCACTCTTAGATCGTGGGCAGTGATTGGGCAGAAGCATTTCTGAAGGATGTGCAGCCCAAATGCTACTCAGCCAGGCTGATGTTGCTTGAAAAGTCTCCCTTGCAATCCTGCCCATTGCTGAAGAGAAGTGGACGAGGCATTACTCAAGGGAAATCATGTGAAGTGTCCAGGTTTGACAAATGCTTTCTGGCCTTTTTTTTCCTTTTCATTTTTAGTTGTTGTGCTTTGGTGGGTTAACTGTTACACATTTGTGTTTTCCCACGAGAAGGGTTTATGTATTGCTTTCTGTCCCTGCGACACCAAGGTACAAAACGCAGAGCAGTTCGTTGGGAAATCTGCCTAAGCAAATCCGACCTCGCCAACGGAAGGAGGGAGGGGAGAGTTAAAAGGGATTTTGGGAAAAGCTGAAACCAGACCTGTAAGGCAGGAGTGGCCAACGCAGTATCTCCCAGACGTTGTTGAAATCAGCTCCCACCAGCCCCAGTGAGATTGGCCCATGGGTCAGGGATAGAATCATAGAAGTGTAAGAGTTGGAAGAGACGCCCAAGGGTCCTCTAGCCCAACCCCCTGCAATGCAGGAATATCAGCTAAAGCATCTCTGGCAGATGGCCACCCAACCTCTGCTAAAAAACTTTCAAGGAAGGCGAATCCACAAGGGTGGTGGGAGATGGAATTCCAACAGCATCAAGAGGGCAACACACTGACTACCCCTGAGTAAAAGGATGCCCTGGAAATGAAATGACATTCCACTCATCCATTTAGACTTACTTGGATTCTCTTCTCACCCCCCAGAAATTCCTCCATTGCCAGCTGGACCATGGGCATAGCCAGGGGGGCGGTGTGTGTGTGTGTGTGCCAGCCCCGAATCAAGTAAGTAAATAAAAATACTTAGCTAAAAGTACTGTACTTTTCCGTGTATAAGACTAGGTTTTTTCTTTAAAAATCATGCTAAAAAGTGGGGGTCATCTTATACATGGGTAGTGCATAGGGGTGGACAGACAAGAGGTGGATTTTGCTGCGCGTGAGCGATTTCTGGCATTCCCTCCTAAAAAAAGCTCAACAATCTTGGGTAAAGGTAAAGGGACCCCTGACTATTAAGTCCAGTCGTGGCCGACTCTGGGGTTGCAGTGCTCATCTCTCTTTATTGGCCGAGGGAGCCGGCGTATAGCTTCCGGGTCGTGGCCAGCATGACTAAGCCACTTCTGGCGAACCAGAGCAGCGCACGGAAAAGCCGTTTACCTTCCCGTTGGAGCGGTACCTATTTATTTACTTGCACTTTGACGTGCTTTTGAACTGCTAGGTTGGCAGGAGCAGGGATCGAGCAACAGGAGCTCACCCCGTCGCGGGGATTCGAACCGCCAACCTTCTGATCAGCAAGTCCTAGGCTCTGTGGTTCAACCCACAGCACCACCTGCGCTCCAAAATCCCCTCCAAAAAAGCTCAACAACTTTTCCCCATCTCCCCCCCTATTTTCTTAAATTTGAGTCCCCCAAAATAGGGGGCATCTTATACATGGGGGCGTCTTATACACGGAAAAGTACAGTAAGTTTTAGTTTTTATAAGTTGCAAGATTTCGACTCCGAAGCTGAGCTGTGGTACACCATGCGGAAGGAGAAGAAACTCAGCAAAGAGCAGTTAAAAGAGCTGAACACAGCGGACCTAGTAAAAGAGGTGGAAATCTTTTTTACCATGAAAAAGGCTCTTGCTCAGCCATTCATCCAGTACCCTGTGGAGAGTAAAGACCTGGTTAAGGTCAACGATGGACAGGGGAGTATCTCAATGGGCTGGGCTTACTGAGCGTGCACAGAAAAACTGTGTGGGTGGGGGGGGGGGAGAAGAAATTTGAGAAGGAAGTGCTGAAAAGGTTTTCAGCCAGTCCAAGAAAACTTGTTTTAGTTTAATTTTTTTAAAAGGATGAAAAAAGATGGGCCCTTTGTAATTTTGCAAAATATACCGCATGAAAAGCACTCCCTGACGATAATTTTTCATTTGAATTCCTAGTTTTCAAATGACTGAAGATTTTTGACAGATTTTTCTGAGCACTTGAGGTCAAAAAGAAAGCAATTTAAAACAGCTGTTGTTGAGACATTTCATTCTGAAATCTGCTAGACAGAGGGCGATGACAGGTGGGTGTCCTGCCTGCCCCAACATAAATCCTGGCTACGCCCATGAGCTGGACTTAACTCAGAGACACACACACAGACACAGAAGAAGGGTAGAAGAGAATTCTTCTCTTCAGTACTGGGTGGAAATGGAAAACCATGTTTCATTTCTATTGGCAGCCAAAGTTGTGCTACAATCGCTGCAGTGATGAGCACCAGTTCTAGTTTAAAAGGACTCCCTCGATTAGCATTGATAGCTTTCAAGAGTCTCTAAAGACAGTAGGTGTACCACAGTCCACGACTGGAGAAAAACAGAGGAGATATTACTCTCAAGGGAAATTGTACTAAGACACTGACTGTCGGCAGCACCTTCATGGCAATGGTTAGAGCATTTTCTCCCTATTACATACCAACCCAATTTTCATTGTTATTTTTACCCACCTTGCCCCGCCCCAGCATACTGAGAGAAAAGAATGCTTGAATATGTCAAAGTTTTCCCCTGCATGGGCAATGGCATTTGATTAAGAAAAATCAGTGCTAAAAACAGAAATTTGTAAATTATTCAACATATTAAAAAATAACTCACCTCACATGTAATTAATAAAAAAACCTTTTAAAAGACAAAAAAAGAGAGAGAGATAAAAAGAGGTTATGCTCTTTGGATAGCCGATATAAAAACGCTGGAAAGAATAACAATAATTATTGTAATACGAAGAACAAACAAAATGCATAAAAGAACAAAACAAACCCAGTTTGTTCTAAATAATACCTGAGGCCATTGAAGCAATGTTGGCTGAACTGCATGTTAATTCTAATAACCGATGACAAAGGGAGAATACTGAGTGTGGATCTCGTACCATTCTACACCAAACAGGTGCTATGAAAAGGGCAATGATGAAGTAGCAGCCAGAAATAGGCTTTTTTTGTGTGCAGAGACCTCTCTAGAGGAAAAAAGAAAATTCGCTCTAGCGGTTGGTATTGCATTTGACTCCAAAAAGTGGGGTGCGTTTTTCTTTCGTGGAAAGCAGCCCACTTCCCTTAGGTCACTGTACACAACGAATCAGTGTTCTGTTTTACTTGTACAGTGAACTGGTCTTTGTTATTTGCTCCTAATAAAACAAACAAACAAACAAAATCAAAAAGGAAGCCCGAACCACACCATCAATGATGGGGGGGGGGGGGACCCAGCCCTCAAGTCAGTGCAGAGAGAAAGCCTGTGCATAAACTTCCGACAGTCCAAACCCTAATTTCACCCCGTCTTTCCCCCCCAAAAAAAATAGGTTTGGGGAGGGCAATGCGCTGGTGGCAGGAAGGGATCAGGAGGAAATGGCGAGTCGTGGAGGAGACTTCGGAGCAGTTCGCTCGAAGGATGGAAGCACCGGGTACCATCCTGTGTGTGCGAGAAAGGAAGACTAAACGTTGTGAGAGAGAAAAGGCTGTCGGTCGAGCACCTGGGATAATCCCTGGAAGGTTATATCCGTAGTGCCAGCGGGTGTCTTCTTCAGCCGACTCCCTCTCAGAGAGCCCTTCTGCATCCCTGCGGAGGCAATTCTATTTCCCTGCAGTCCGTGCGCCTTCAAGTTGTCACTGGGTTTTCCACTATAGCAACATCGTATGTTGTGGGCTTTTGTCTACAAGGTGAGTGCTAGGCTGGAAATTGGGGGCCGTGCTGTCGCCTGTGATCATCATCAACCGATAGATAGGTGGCTCGCATACTTGGAGAATACTAGGGAGAGGAGAGAGAAGGGGGACAGGAATTATGCATCTTGCAGTTCTCAACACCGGCTTAGGATCATACTGACAAAGACTATGAGATGACCATCCTCCCCAACCCCCACCATTAAATGTTTTTTATTTTAATAAGAAGTCCTGCAGAAAGAACATGGGGTGCTGCAAAAGCAGTCCAGGACTCAGCTCTTGGAAGCTACGTTGTGCTTCACCCTAGGTCTCATGTGGCTATAAAACAACATCCTAACCATTGGCAGCGGGTGGAGTGAAATGAGGCTGCAATAGAAAGGCACCCAGAAAAAAAAGAGCGAAATGCTGGCAAGGGGGAATGGACCCGGTGTTATTTGGAAAAGAAAGCAGGAGAGTTGGGGGAAGTGGAAGCACACGAAACATCCTACTGAAAATAAGAACCTATGTTTTCTCCACCCAAGAGTTACAGGCAAAACAGGGGGCAGAGAGGACCACCACCTGTTCTGAAAGTGTCAAGTTTTTAGAGACATGGAACAAAATTCATCTGCTCACTATACCGGTTTTATTTTGTTTGGGTAAATTCCTGCTACTGACACCCCCCCCCTTTTTTTTAAATCGTCACAGTGAATTCCTTCCTCCAACTACAGATGAAAATGATGCCTCCTAATCTTAAAATCTTTCCTGTGAGTTCTTCCAACCCTCTGGAGCAGATCGGGTGGTGGCGGGGCAGGGACATGGGAGTGAAGACAGGAAGTCCTGTTCCACAGGTAGAAGTCCTTCCTCTGTTAGCAGGACGACTTCACTGGATACAACCCCCATTAAGATTCAGGCTTGTACTCTTTGTAGTACAAACTGAGGCCTCCTACTTTGTTTTACTAGAATCCCAGTAGTCTGTCAACATATGTCAAAATTAAAAAGCAAGGCTGCATACTCAGGATCTTTTAATAGTTAAGGCATAAGTAACCTGTGCCAGGTGAGTGCCAGTATGCACTCTTGCTTAAGAGGAGGAGTGCTGCCTTTGTGTTTTGGACCAAGGTCTACCTAGCTCAAGATACTGTACTTTTCCGTGTATTAGACAAGGTGTTTTTTTTAACTGTCAAAGAATGTTAAAAATAGGGGGGGTAGTCTTATACACAGGTAGTGATTTTGGGGGAGCTGGTGACTGGTTGCAGATGCAAGCTGTAGCTTGTCAGCTGCAATTGGGTTTGAGAATGGAGTCTGCTGCAAGCGATGCTGTGGACTGGCTGTTGCTGCGGTATTTGGGTGTGTGAATGCTGGCTGCTGTTGGCTTGCTGGCAGATGCTCTGTTGCTTCTTCTGTGCGTGCGTTTGGTAGCGTTTATCATCAGCCGGGTGAGTGTTTTTCGGCACTCCCCTAAAAATACCTTTGTAACTGGGGGCAATCCTCCCCCCAAAAAGCTTGACCACTCTGGGGGCAATTCTCTTCCCAAAAAGCTCAACAACTCTCCGCCATCTGCCCCCATTTTCTAAAACTGGAGTCCCCAAAAGGAGGGGTCATGTTATACACGGAAAAATACAGTACTTAGCAACCAGTAGGTGACAAGACAGCCTGATGGGCATCGGTCAGTAGTCCACTGATGGCCTGAAGCCTTCTGTCTACCCCAGCTTTTCTCAACCTGTGGGTCCCCAGATGTTGTTGAACTACAACTCCCATCACCCTTAGCTAGCAAGGTCAGAGCTCAGGGATGATGGGAGTTGTAATCTAACAACATCTGGAGACCCACAGGTTGAGAACCGCTGGTCTACCCCATCCTATATAAGCTTATTACAGGTAGAAACTATTCTATGGTCATTTCCAGAGAACTGAACCTCAGTCCCCCTAATAAATATGCTGCAATTCCATGTGCATTGGGTGAGCCCTCCATGTACTCCCAAGATGTTGGTTCTGTTGCAGGGATGTTAGTACCCAGCAGACAGTGTGGTTTTAGCGAATCAAATGATGGGTTTGGATCAGGAAGACCCGGGCTCAAAATGCTAGGAAGCAGTCCCATAAAAAGACACAGGCAAGTATTCTTCTCTCTCAAAAGCCTAGCTCACAAGGTTGTTGTTGCAAGGATAAAACCACAACATTTTTTTATTATTATTTGTGGGGTGACGAGAGAGAATCATGATCAGAGGACCCTTCAGCTGCTCGAAGGAGTGGAGGATACACAAATGCAAATAAATCACAAGGGCCTGCAGCGGATTTCTTCTCTTATCTACAGCATCCACTGCCATTAGTTTCTGGAATGTGGTTAAAAGTCAAGAGGCAAATTGCCACTGGTTAGGCAAGCAGCATCCATAACTTCTCCCTCTTCCCACACTCCTCTCGTTTAAAAAAATGTCTATTCTAAATATTCCTGAAGAGAATGTTTGAGGCAAATTTATGGTGACCAAAAAAAAAAAAAAGAGGACAAAACCTCCAGGTTCTTGAAGCAGCCATTCTCACCCAATGGACAGGAAAATGCAGTGAGATCCAGTTTAATTTAACTGAGGAACCTAAGGATTATTTTCTGAAAGCTTTTTGTTTCTAGAGTCCCACTTTTACCCACCATTTTTCTTTTTTGGGCTTGCCACTAGTGCTTTCCCAGCTTTGTAGCTGATGTTTATAACCCAATACAACCACTCGTGCATTTATTCTTAATGCACTAGTGGTTGTTTAGGGAGGTTGGGCCTTCATTTAAATATTTTGGTTTTTAAAGCTTGAAAAGCAGAAAACTCATGACACCTCACCAGTCTTCAGTGTATAAAGCCACATTTTGAGCTTTCCTATGAAAAAAAAAACCCCTCTCAAGAACTTTGCAAAGCCAGCTCCAGAGTTAAGTTTTGTTTAATAAACAGGATAAACCAATATGGGCATCTCACCCATCTATTTTGTGGGACACGGTTCCTGCACTTCTGGTATTATTGGAAATATAAGGCTAAGGAAAACAGCTAGGTGGGTTTTTTTTTGTTTTTCGTTTTAGGTGTCAGGTCTGAAAAATGTGTGTTGAGGGAATAGAGCGTCTTCCAAATCACAGCATTAAGGAAAATGATTCACAGTCTTATTTTTCTGCAGCTTAAAAAAGCTCAAAAGCCTTTCCTTGGGGGATTTAAATTCCATTTAAATTGGGCTGTTCAGAGTGTGTGTGGGGGAGGGGTTTGAATTAATCCGACTGCACTTATAGTTTCATCATCACCCTTGAGCTTTTGCAGCTCCAGCCTCTGCAACAGCAGAGTCCCAATGTTTAAACACCCAATTTAAAAATAGTTCCCGTAAAGAGAAGGAAGAATTGTCACTTAGGATTAAAAAAACGGATGTTGCGGACGCTTGTATTCTAAGTGCAGCTCTTCTGCTCTTTTTGAATTACCATCAGGGTGGCAGTCCTGATGCATAGCCCAGGGTCTTGGTTCCCACCTACTGATGAAGCTACACATGGAGCTTTCCCAGACCAATACTTTAGGAACAGCAGAAGCAGTTGTGAAGAAAGGAGTTCAGGGATATTTTTTCAATAAGTTTTGTGTCTTTGCTTCTCAATTTGTACGGTGTAATTTTATGCACTGTGACTTGCTGTTATTTTTTACTGATTACGGTTTAGAAATTATTTATTGCAATTGTTAAGAGTGAGTTTGTTTAATTATTACTTCCTGATATTTTATTTTATTTTGCACTGTTATATTCTGATGGCTGGTTGAACATTACTTTATTTGAAACAAGTTGTTTATTTGAAAGTTATGTTTCTATTGTGACAATTTCGTATTGGATCAGATTGTTATAAGGTGCATGTGATCTTTGTTGTTTCTTCAACTTGTAAACCACCTGGTGTATAGTAATATAGAAAGGCGGTATACAGATTAAAAGTGAAATGAAAAAATGAAACGAAATGGGAGAGCCGCTGGTCCCCCATCACTGATTTAGTCACATTTGGGGTGAATGAAATAATGACATTCTGGAGTGGCTGGCTGAACACCTCATCAAAGAGGCTCAGTGTCCTGCTTGCATCAAAAATATAATTTGCAGCAATGCTCTAAACTGAGTTACTGGATGATGCAAAATAAGGCAAACTTCTTTTACTGATGCATAATTTTGTTTTGTTTTGTTACTTTGGAGTTATTCCAGTGGAGATTTTATAGTTAGAATGCAATTCCTTCTCTAATTGGCCAATGTGTACATCTAATTCATGGTTTCCCAAGTTGGGTCTCCTGCTGTTTTTTAGACTACAACTCCCATCATGACTAGGTAGCAGGACCAGTGGTCAGGGATGATGGGAACTGTAGTGCAAAAACAGCTGGAGACCTAAGTTGTCTAGATCAGCATTTCCCAACCTTGGGCCTCCAGCTGTTTTTGGACTACAACTCCCATAATCCTCAGCTAGCAAGACCAGTGGTCAGGGATGATGGGAATTGTAGTTCGAAAACAGCTGGAGGCCCAAGGTTGGGAAACACTCGTCTAGATAGCATAAGAGCAGGTGTTTGGTGCCCTCAGGTGCCTTTTGCTTTGCTTGAAAATGGGACTTCCCCCTCCCTTTCTGCTCTAAATTGAGCTCTTTAACTCAGAAAGAGGCAGGGCCCTGTTTGCACAAGGCAAAAAAGAGTGTGTCTTGCAGCACCTTCAAGGCCAACAGATTCCCAGTGACAAAAGCCCTCGTGGGACAGAGCCCGCTTTATCACATGCACAAAGTTCTGTCCTCATTTGGCAGGTGGAGGGTGGTGATGGTGGAAAGTTGTTATTGCAAAGTGCAGCCAGAGACGCCCAAGGCATGCATGCAATGCGAGTGCCACATTATGAGCATGAGTTGCAAAAGAAATTCAGTCAAAGGAGTTCAAGATGCAGAGTAAGGAGGATCGACTCTTAAGTGATGATGAATAATGCACATAAAACACGTAAGGAAAGATTATTGCTTTCTGTAAGTGAGCAAGCCATTCCCAATCCCCATTGAGCCCCGTTCTGCTGCCATCAAACCTGCCAATGAACTCCAACATGGCAGCTTCATGCAAGAACCTGCCTTTTAACATTTTCAATCCCTTCTACCCCACTTTTGTCTGCAAAAAACTTAAACCATGGTAAATCTTTTAGTCTTTTAAGGTGTCACGACTCTTCCCCCCCTTTTTTTGTGTGCAATAGATTATCATGAGTAAACTCCATGGGAATTGGTCTACGAAGAACAGGGGGAAATCCCTAGCTGGGTAAAGCAGAATGAAACTGCCGCACTGATGTTTCATTGTGCCATATTTGAAGAGCTTCTACTAATTGTCTATTCAAAGCAGCATTTGCTTGGGCAAATGTTTATTCCAAAACAACAACAACCAACCCTATTCACACTTTACAGGTTCTCAGCATGCTGAGAGTTGGGGATCATTTGACCTGTAAACTAATCAAAGGATTTTGTGTTTTTTTTAATTGCTCTAATTCAGGCACAGGCAAACTCGGCCCTCCAGATGTTTTGGGACTACAACTCCCATCATCCCTGACCACTGGTCCTGTTAGCTAGGGAAGATGGGAGTTATAGTCCCCAAAACATCTGGAGGGCTGAGTTTGCCTATGCCTGCTCTAATTACAACACCATTCCCAAAATATACTGTACTTTTCCGTGTATAAGACTATTTTTTTTCTTTAAAAATCATGCTAAAAAGTGGGGGTCATCTTATACATAGATAGTGCATAGGGTGGATGTTTGATTGGTTGCTGCCGCGGCTGTCAGAGGCTATTGTGCGTGTTATTGGTTGCTGCGTCAATGGGTGGTGTTGATTGGCTGACGCTCTGGCAGTTGGGCGGGTGATTGGCAGCTTCTGCCGATGATGGGACAGACAGGAGGTGTATTCCCCCATGTGTGCAGTTGAGGCAATCCTCCCTAAAAAAAGCTCAACCACCGTGGGTAATCCCCGCCCAAAAAGCTCAACAACTCTGTGCCATCTCTCCCCATTTTCTTAAATTTGAGCCCCCAAAAATATGGGCGCGTCTTATACATGGGGGCGTCTTATAGACAGAAAAGTATGGTATGCAGCAGGCCTCAGTAATGCAAAATCTCAACCCTAGCAGCTTGAAATTCTGGGTGACTACCAAGCTTTGTTTTTTGCATTATCCCATTCTGGGGAAAACCTCCAGTTTCATCCAATGGAATCCACTAAACTAAGCACACCTACTGCAAATCAAAAGACTACAGGAACACTTTGAATTCTGGAGGTTCCCATGTTTATGAGGGTCAGGGGAAACGTACAGCACGCAGGGAAGTGACGGGAAATCACCAGGGAGGGAAAATAAGCCAACTCCAGCCCCAAAACCAAGAAAAAACAGAAAACAGATAAGCAACTTACTCTTGAAGGGCAACATAGCTCCAAAACAGGAGATGCAAAAACAAAGCAAAAGTTAGCAGGCAAGATGTGTTTCAAAGGAACGTTATGCCAAACTTAATAAAGAGCTTTTGCTTAAGAGTGAAGCAAGTTTGCAGAAAAACATGGAAGGATTATTAAAAAACAAAAAAGGAGGAAAAAAGCAAGCAAAGAGTATATACTCATCTTCTAGATCAGGCAGCCCCAACCTTTGGCCCTCCAGATATTTTGGACTACAATTCCCATCATCCCTGACCACTGGTCCTGTTAGCGAGGGATCATGGGAGTTGTAGGCAAAAACATCTGGAGGACCGCAGGTTGGGGATACCTGTTCTAGATGGTTAGAACTTGAGCAGTTGAACACAAGTTTAAATGCACACAGGGATTATTTTTTTTATGGCACTGTGTCACATGCTAATATATACAACACACAGAAAAGGTAATGCAAAGTCATAGACATCTATTGGCAAAACCGGCAAACATTTGCAGGATATAACCTCACACCATGGGCTGCGAAGTACCAGTATTATAACACAGAGTTGCTCTCTGCCCTATTGTTACAAAGCTGCCCATAGCTTAGCCTGCAAGGATGCAGTCTCAATGGACTGCACCCTGTGTTGCCAAAAGGTGAGAGCGCTAAAACAGCTGTGGGAACAAGAAATGCCGGGCTCAAAAAAGCAGGACTTCTTGCAGCAGTTTTCACCTTCCAGCAGATATGAATCTCTGGGTTAAGGACCGTCTTTTCCCCCTGAAAGGTGTGCATTCAGGGGAGGTTTCCCCCCTGGGCTTCTTTTCCTCATCTCTAGCATCAGAAACAAAACTATTTTGGCGTTTGACAAAAAGCAGGAGGCTTTCTCGTCCCGGGTTTTTTTTTATTTAAAAAAATTATTTTTCAAAAATGCATTTTAATATAGAGAGGTTAGTAAAAGCAGAGGAAATGATAATAAAAAAGAGGGTCTGTTATAAAAATGATTTGGCCTCCGACGCCCACCGTACCGTGGGGGGAGGCGATCCTCTTCCAATCAGTGGGACGTTTTCATAGCGTGGGTTCCCACCAAAGAGCACAGCTTGGTTCCTGCAGGTAGAGAGGAGTTAAGATCAGCAGGGCAGTCTGTTGAAACGAACTCCGTTCTGAGCCTGCGGCTAGGAAACAATCCCCGTTACATTCCTACACAAGCAACCGACTCGAGTTGTGGGTAGGGGACAGAGGAGGAAGACGGGAAAGAAGAGACGCCAATTTAATAATGCTAGTTTTAATAATGCCAATCCTGTTCTTTGAAGCAGAGACAATCTATTCAACTAAAAAAATGTTGCTGGCCTGGTGCAGAGGTGGCAGAACGTCAGCCACAGTCCGTTTGGTTGACCTCTATGATTTCTTTCTTTCCTTTTTGTACATAAATTTTTATTAAATTTTCTGTTTTACAATTTAAACTACTCGTTTTTACATCCTTAAAATATCAGTGACTTCCCATCTTCTCTTTCCACGGTTCATTTTACATATCATAAATCCCTGCATATTTTACAGAAACTATACCATTCAGTATTCCATTATTGCATCCACCATAATTTATTTGCACTGTTGAATTTATCTTAATGCTGCCAGCGTTTTCAGCGGCACACAGTTATTTCCCATATACTCAATAAGCATTTTCCAATCTTCTCTAAACATATGTTCGTCTATGTTCTCTTATTCTATATGTTAAGTCTGCAAGCTTCACATATTCTGTCAACTGAAGTTGCCACTCTTCTTTGTTTGGGACCTCGCTTGTTTTCCATTTTTGGCCTAACAAAACACAGGCTGCAGTAGTGGCATACATAAATAACCCTTTTTCACACCTGGGAATTTCAGTTGGTTGACCTCTATGATTTCTAGAAGACTAATATCTTCCCTTTTACTTTACCTCACACCACAACAAGGAGTGAGGAATGGAGGAATGTACCAGCTGACACAATACCTGGATCTTTCCACAGCTCTGCCCTTTATAGGTGGAACTTATGAAGCAGAAAGGACTCATGCTGGCAAGCAGCTCCTCCATTTTCTAGAGGTACCCGTTTACCTCAGTGAGGGATGCTGGCAGAGGTGAGGGACAGGCTAGAAAGAGCTGAGAGACTAGAGCAATGAATTAAAGGGTGTGTGTGTTCTTCCATTGGTCTACTAGAAGTCAGCCAGCGAAAGATAAGAATGGGATGCAATCCACTTCCTGCCCACCTCTGGGCCTAGCAATTCTCAAGTCTTATCCAAGCAAAGAGAAGGAATGGTAACTCTGTGCTAACCTGATGAAGATTTAATCAGAACAAGCCAGCAGCTCAGGAGGCAGTACAAGAGCGATTCTACCACATGCAGCTATGCATGCACTATTGTGCCACAGTCCATTCACGAGACTGTACCAATTTCTGAACGTCCATAGGGAAACTACTAGTTTGAAAACCTTGTCCCCAGGTTCCTATCTTCTTGCACATGGAGACTTACAAGAGGTAACGTAAGTCTTAGGAGGGAATGTTCCGTGCAAGGACTTAGTGTTGTTGCATGCTAGAAACAGGGCGCGTGAATCTGCTCCCACTTGTCCCAGATGTGGAACAGCTGGCTAAGGACTGCTTATTGGGGTTCTTATTTGGGACACATGTGCAGGAAATAAAAAATCTCTTACTCCCCACCCCCTCTCAAGAAGCACTGGGCGCACGCAACAAGGAAGCGTTTTGGCACAGCTGTTTCAAAACTAGCAAACACTTAAAACGTTGTTCTGAAACGTGTACTTTATTTTAAATTAAAGATTCAAATCCTGCAACTTCAACTGGACTTTAATGATCTTTCCACATTTTCACTCATTGCACTCGTCGTGACAAGTGTGTTGCCGTCATCCGGTGAGCAGAGACAAGCCTCAGCCTTCCTCCTAACCTTGGAGCTATGAAAATGAGTGGGGGTCTTTCCAGGGGTTGTACAATGACCTCCCCTGCCAGGCTCCAATGTTGGCTTGAAAGTTGTGGCTCATTTGGGTGCTGCTCATCTCAGGCCTGGGGCATTGCTAGGCACTTAAAAGATTCAAGGCACGGGCCGAAAGCTACAAATTTGCGTAAGCTAATTTATATGCACAGATGCAAATGTAGAATTAAATGTCACAGAGGGCAAGCAAATTTGCCCTTCCAGGCAAATCTTTCCAATTAATTTTCACCCCACCCCAGATCACCCCAAATTAGTTCCTCTTCAATTCATTTACCCTCAATTAACTTCGCAACAGATCGTGCTCTGTATCAGCTGAATTACCCATCGACTGCTCCCATTCACTGCCTCCCAAAATAATTTAAGGTTACTTAAATTCTTATCCTGCCTAGTGAACCCAGATCACCCTACCAATTCATTCTCTCTCAAAATCATTCTGGGCCTTTGCTCCCCGCTGTAGCCACACTCTGGCTCAGACACTTTTGAGTGCCAAGACCAAGGAAGTGGCCAAACAGCTGATCTCCCTGCTTCCCTTTCCTGTATGAAAGAGTGACGGAGGCTTCTTCAGTCACGTGACATCATTCATTATTTAGAAAAGAATAAGATATATATACTGGATGCAATGCGTGTTTTGAGACATGGTGGAAAATGCAGGTAACACATACTCTTCCATCTAGGAAAACAGACACTCTTCTAAAACTTTTCAAATAGCCATTCTAGCAGGACTGTTTTCCCCCTCCTTCAAAACAATCAATCAAGAGCAACTCAGGTTAAGGCAATCCAGTGTTAGATCTGCCTAATGATGGGAAAAGATTGCCAGTATACAACTCTAATAAGAAAGCTTCAACAGCTGACTGGAGGTCCAAATAACTGCCAACCGATGCCTTCCCTCTTTGTAATGTTTAGCTAAAGATGTCCTCAGGGTTCCTCCACCCAAACAACACTTCACTGGCTACTGCCCTCTGAGGGCAGAAAAATGGTACCAGGATACATGTTGTTTTAACTAAACATTACCAGAGGTGCATGGAAAGGCTGGGAGTAGTCATGCGTGCCTTCTTTTGCAAAGTATAAACCTGAACCTCGTTTATTGCCATTCCTTCATCATCTCCTTCCAATCTACCAGGAATGAAAACTGAGGAAAACAAATGAATCAGGCGGAGGAAGCAAGGAGGAGCTAAGTGGGCAAGGCTCCTCACCTCAAATCGAGCTGTTTTGAAACAGAGAAGCCACATGTTTCTCGCTTGCTGGATGACTAACTTCCAAAAATAAAAGTAAGTGGGGAAAAAGACCATATCATGGTAAAAGAGGATGCAAATTTAGACGCTAACACAGTACAGAAGACAAGAGACTGTGTTAAATCAAACCTTCTCTAGATACAGTCGTACCTTGGAAGTTGAACGGAATCAGTTTCAGAAGTCCATTTGACTTCCTAAACCAGGCACCCCCAAACTCGGCACTCCAGATGTTTTGGGACTACAACTCCCACCATCCCTGACCACTGGTCCTGTCAGCTAGGGGTGATGGGAGTTGTAGTCCCAAAACATCTGGAGGGCCGAGTTTAGGGGTGCCTGTCCTAAACATTTGGAAACCAAAGCACGGCTTCTGATTGGCTGCAGGAAGTTCCTGCAGCCAATTGGAAGCTGCGGAAGCCCCATCGGACATTCGGGTTCCAAAGAACGTTCGCAAACCGGAACAATCAATTCTGGGTTTGCGGTGTTTGGGAGCCAAAACGTCCGAGTTCCAAGGCATTTATGATCCAAGGTATGACTGCATTAGCATTTCAGGGTCTGTGTCTATAGGCTTCTCTTTAAAAACACTTCTTCCAAAAAGCAAAGCTTTTGTTTCTCTGTATCTTTCAGTGAGCCAGAGACGGCTCACCCATTGGACGGTTGGGAACATCTGTCCAAGGGATCAAGTATAGAAGGGCTACTGGGTTGCCAGCTGTCGAGAGGGTGGGATGGAGAAACACAGCGGTTCTCAAAAGAGGGATGGAAAGATGGAAGCAATATGAAAAGTCAGCATGAATCCCAGCAGGGACAGATGGTATCGAAGGATGGAGAACAGAGGATGGAAGGCACTCCTGAGCATACTGGGCCACCCAAAAACGTTAGCCAATCCCTGCAGTGACCTTGAGAATTCTACAGACCCCGACAGAAGCCTCAGTGCTGATGTTTGGTACCCCAGGCATCTTTTACTCACATGTACTCTGATACTGGCGCGTTGGAGATGGTCTGTGCTGGAGGCTGCAGGCTGGTCTGGCTACCCAGGCTGCTGCTGTAGCTGCAGAAACTACGGAGCTGCCCCCGGCTGGGGTTGTGGGCAGCAATTCGTCGGGCCTGCGGATTGAAGGGGTCTTCTTCATCTATGTCGTCATAATCCCGGTCCCTAGTCAGAAGGAAAAGGGAATAAATTAACACTGGACTGAGGCACCAACCCAACCTCTACTGGCCAATGGTCACGAAGACATGAGTTGTAGACACCTGTGGACCTTCAGATGTTGCTGGGCTCACACCAGACCCATTCAGAATGGCCAATGGTCAAGAAGACATGAGTTGTAGACACCTGTGGACCTTCAGATGTTGCTGGGTTCACACCAGACCCATTCAGAATGGCCAATGGTCAAGAAGACATAGGTTGCAGCCTAGCAACATCTGGAAATCCCCAAAGGTTCTCTACTCTTGCTTCATCGGGTGGTATCTGGGACGCCTCTGCAGGCTCTTTGACAGGAACCATCAAATCTGCACAGCTCCAACTTGTGGTGAGGGAGAGAATGAAGTCCGTGATCCTGGTTATATAGCTCCTGGCTTAGAGGCAGCAAGCATACAGAGCGACAGCACCCATTGTTGCCACTGCATTCATCCCCATTTAAAATCACCATCTGCAATGAGCAATTCTGTCTCCAGCATACCCATGTGTGCTCCTGGCAGACCCTCTTCCATTTTACCTGCTGGCTAAATGCTTCCAGGCACGCGGCACGGCACAGATGACGGTGGAGAAGGACACGGCAGCCAAGAGGGAGAAAAGAATGAGATACAGCAAGCCTTCCACCCCATCGTAGCAGATCCCAATCAAGGCATCCAGGTAGTCCTTTAATTTGAGGAGGGGAAGAAGGGAGGGGAAACGTCTCAATTCCTTGTGTGCCAACAGGCCCCAATCCACACAACACTGCCTCCTCCACACCTCCCAGCACGCCGTGCCTTACGCTGCTCACCTTGTGTAAGCCCCGGCAGTCCAACATGGCGGTCAGCTGGTGGAGGCTGCCCTCTGATTTGTTCAGTAGCTGCTGTATGCCTAGCAGATCTCTCTGCAGCAAGGGGGTTGGGGGTTGGCGAGGAGGAGGAGGAAGCAGAGACATATTTGCGGTAGGAAAAGGAGCATGGTTACTGTGAAGCTGCAACATGGCCTAGCAGCCCTATGAAGCTGGATACACTTCCCAAAACACAGGGCCGGAAGGGGGAGCCCCAAACTGGTCCCTTCTAACTATGTGCAAACAGCAGGCTCCTTTCTACACACACACACACACACACACACACACACACACACACACTGCTCCGTAACAGATGGACTGTGGGTGGATGAATGGGGCCAGTAGGAACAGCCCCCACTCTCCTTTTCACGCAACTTATTTGTGTGAGGGAAAACGCTTGAATAGGGCTTGTGTCACAAACCATCAGGCTGGAACCCTGGTCTGGAAGGCAACTAGGAAGTTTACCTGGTTCAGGAACCAAACTGCCAACCGTTAGTTCCTAAATGTATCCCCCTGGTTATGACTTGTTCAAGAGGTGCTGAGCAGTGATCGGGTTGCTCCTAGCTTGACTGATTCTTGCTGCTCTGCAGTTTCTCTGTGTTCTGAAAATGGCTTCCAGCTGCTGCCCAGAGCGCTCGATATGATATCTTTATTGTCATTGTCCCATACAGAACAATGAAATTGAAAAATCTACATAAGACATTCAAAAACCCCTAAAAACTCTGAAACTCCATTTTTAAATACAATATACTATAGAGACTCCTTATACTGCGTTTAAAACCAGAATTGCATTTGGGTAGAAACTGTTTCTCAGGCGGCTAGTCCTGGTCTTTATAACCCTATACCTTCTTCCAGAAGGCAGAAGCTGAAAGAGATCATTTCCGGGGTGCGCACTATCCTGCGCTATCTCTGCAGCTTTCTTATGGCACCTGACAGCATAGATTTGATCTAAGGTGGGAAGAGTGCACCCAATTATTCTCTCTGCAGTCTTTACAACCCTGGACAGCATTGTTTTTTCCCTGGCCGTGCAGCTCCCAAACCACAAACACAGACCATAAGTTAATACACTCTCCACTCGTCTCTTGCCTCAACCTTTTTGCCCTACATTCAACATCTTTTCTGTCGCTTGCCATACCCTCGAGCCTCTCCAGGAGAGAACCTAACAACCTCCATGTTCAATTTGTGTCGCCCCCCCCCCCCCACATTGCCAGCCTGGTCCTTGCCAAGAACTAATCTCGCAAATGAAAAGTACAAATCTGCTTCAGCCCAGTTCTACGCAATATACGTTGACATGGAAGGCTCCACAAAATGGCTTAGCGCAGCCCTGATTCGTTAAGACAACCAAGCACTGTGCTGTTTACCTCGGCTGTAGGGAAAAGAGGGAGAGCAAACTGCATGAGGCCTTGGATCTGGATCTGCATGGTCGTGAGAGAACGCTGGTAGATGGTCAAGGCCTGCAAAGAGGGAATGTAGTACAAAATGCATGAGCCAAGCTTTCACACAGAGGGCCACAAGTTCTAAGTCTTCACCGCTTTACAAGTCGACACAACCAGCCTCTTCCAAATCCTGGGAGCCAGTCAGCCCCCCTCCTTACATGGCAAAACTTTAGCCTCTCTCTCCCGCCCCCCAACCCGCTGCGAAGCCTGGGTGGTTCGACCTACGGGCTCTTAGAAGCATTTTATGGCTTCTCCTTTTCCTCTTCTCCATGAAGATTACCAGATTTTGGGAAGCCCTAGGGATGGGTTCCACAACAGGGATTGAACTTGTGAGGCAATTCCCAAGTTCAGGCAAGGAAACTCCTTTTACTGGAGAGGTGTGGTACCCATAAATCTAACTCCCCACTCCGCAAAACTTAGCTTCCGATGCGATGGGGAGTTCTTTCATAGAATGAGGGTGCAGCTATCTCTTGCAAAGTTGGAAGGAAGCCCTGTGGGCTATCTAGCTCAAGAGCAGCCTCAAACAGCCTCTGCATGGAAACCATCGGCATGGTTACCCCTCTAGATAATTGGTTCCATTGCCAAACTGCTCTTACTGCCAAGGAAGTTTCCTTCCAATGTTCAACTACGGTCCACCCTCCTGTAATTTAAGCCTGTTAGATCTTTCCAGTACAGGTAGACTGAAGACATACTATCAGGGAGTTCCTATCATCAGGGTACCCACATTTCTTACCTGCTGGAAGGGGTTGGTCAGACTCTGGCTGCAATACAGGTAGTACCGTACAATCTCTGCAAAGAAGAGGGTCCATAGGTCAATGGGACAGTGGCACCCCTATTAGCCCAACCCAACTTGAGCACATCTCCTATCTGGGAATCTGCCTGCTTGGAATGCAATAAACCCTCTTGTGGCTCGGATAGCGCCATAAAGAATTGTCTCCCTTTCACAACGCTGACTCTGCATAATACTGCGTCGAAGGGAGGTGCTGCAGGAAAGCCTTGGGTCTGACCAAAGAGCTGCCAAGCCCAGGATACAAAGGAAAACAAGGCCAGGATGCGCATATTCCTGGTGCCCCACAGCACAGAATCTGCTATGGAGGCATGATTCTGTAAGAATTCCAGCTTTAATTACGGGTGACTATTATTATTATTATTATTATTATTATTATTATTATGGGATGCAGGTGGTGCTGTGGTTAAACCACAGAGCCTAGGACTTGCCGATCAAAAGGTCGGCGGTTCGAATCCCCGCGACGGGGTGAGCTCCCGTTGCTCGGTCCCCTGCTCCTGCCAACCTAGGAGTTCAAAAGCACGTCAAAGTGCAAGTAGATAAATAGGTACCGCACCGGCGGGAAGGTAAACAGCATTTCCGTGCGCTGCTGTGGTTCGCCAGAAGCGGCTTAGTCATGCTGGCCACATGACCCAGAAGCTGTACGCCGGCTCCCTCGGCCAATAAAGCGAGATGAGCGCTGCAACCCCAGAGTTGGCCACGACTGGACCTAATGGTCAGGGGTCCCTTTACCTTTACCTATTATTTATTACTGTTTATTAGTTTGTATACTGCTTAATATGCCAAAATGGCTTCTAAACAGTTTACAACTATAAAAATCAATGCGTAATTAAAATACACAGCAACAAATCCACTGGGGCATTAAAACGCCCTTAATTAAAATATGTAATAAAACAAGCAAATTAAAAAGTGTAACAGTTAAAAAACAGTTATACTGAACATTATGCTAACAAATGTAGTTCCCTGAATGCCTGTCTACCCATTAGTGTGACTGTGTCATTTGCAGAGCATAATTGGCAAAGGGGTGGGGGTGGGATGTTAAAGCTTCTTGCACTGATTTTCCCATGTAAATGCCCCCCATGTGTAGTTTTGTCCTAAAAAGGCGGGGGGATTGGAGTGAAGTTGTGCCCACAATTTCTGAAAAACAACAAGTCTTCAGCAAATACAACACAAGAGAGCTTTTGACACAGTGTCCAAGAGCAATAAATGGCCTATACAACGTTTTTGTACCACTACGTAACAGACCATCATTCCACCTCTTCTTCATCACTCCAAATTTATGCAAAACATTTAAGCAAAATCCCAACAAAACTTCCAAACACTGCAATCAAAGCTCAGGTTTATTCAAAACTGCCCAAACTGTGCAATTTATTATTTGGATTTTACATGAAAGGAACTAGTTTCAAAATATCCCAACCACCAAGGAGAGAGACAGATGCATTGAGAGTCTTAGAAGTGTTGACAGGCCACAACATGCTCCTTGGTTCTCGTTTCATGTCCACTTCTGATTGCAAAGAGACAGATTCTGCATTTATTGTGGGCCAGAGGCAACTGGGGAGGTTTTGACAGCCCTGGCATGTTTTATCAGCTACGAAAATAAAGCTACTATGTCCCTGGAGGTCCAGGGATTGGAGCTTCCTTCCTGAACTAAGCTGAATATTTTAAAAGCTAGACTGGTGACTGGGAGCAGCCGCCGAGACCACAACACCAGTCTGAAAGACGTACACTGGCTCCCAGTACGTTTCCGAGCACAATTCAAAGTGTTGGTGCTGACCTTTAAAACCCTAAACGGCCTCAGTCCAGTATATCTGAAGGAGCGTCTCCACCCCCATCGTTCTGCCCGGACACTGAGGTCTAGCGCCGAGGGCCTTCTGGCAGTTCTCTCACTGTGAGAAGCCAAGTTACAGGGAACCAGGCAGAAGGCCTTCTTGGTAGTGGCACCCGCCCTGTGGAACGCCCTCCCACCAGAAAAACAACTACCAGACTTTTAGAAGACATCTGAAGGCAGCCCTGTTTAGGGAAGCTTTTAATGTTTAATAGGTTATTGTATTTTAATATTCTGCTGGAAGCCGCCCAGAGTGGCTGAGGAAACCCAGCCAGTTGGGCAGGGTATAAATAATAAATTATTTTTATTATTATGAATATTTTAAAAGCCAAAAGTCTGTTTCAATACAAGCACAAGTGTGACCTTGGATGCCCTTTGTTCAGACAGGTATGGCGGCCTCCCTCGATCCGAGTCTGCAGCTGTACACCCTAAGGATACCCTGTGGACAGCAATGCCTATCTGAGAGCAGAAACAGGTTCAGGCGAGACAAATGGCAATGTTTGTTGCGCTTTACCCAACTTCTGTCCCAATCGAGGCATCGCCCACGCCACCCAAACGGCATAGGAATCTCACCTGCACTGAGGTCGCTTTGCGTCATGTTCATGATGAACTTATCTGGAGCCATGCAGAAGTCACTGGTACCCTATGAGAGACAGAGTTTTAAAAAGGGGGGCACTGTGATGGCTGGAAGTATGACTTGAGGAGGTCATACACCTGGTTGGGTGGGGAGGAAGGGTTGTAGCTCAGTGCAAGAACATCTACATCAGCCTTTCTTGGGTCCCCAGATGTTGTTGAACTACAACTCCCATCACCCCTAGCTAGCAAGGCCAGAGCTCAGGGTTGATGGGAGTTGTAGTCCAACAACATCTGAAGACCCACAGGTTGAGAACCACTGATCTACATGATCCAGTTCCTGGAATCTGCAGGTAAGGCCAAGACTCCCTGTCTGAAACCCTGCAGGGCTGCTGTCAGTTAGTGTAGAGAAGGCACGTCTAACTTCCAAGAGATTGTGATCTACTCCCACTATAAAAAAACTGGCAGTGATCTACCGATTGGATTGACCAGAATTTTTTTTGGGAAAGCTTCATCAAAGTTGTTGAGCTTTTTCCCCTTTGCTTTTTTGGGGGGGTGGGGAGGAATCAGGATCCCGCGATCGACCAGGATCGACGAGGGACATTCCACAATCAACCAGTACATCCTGGTGTAGAGAATGCAATTTTCATTACAGGTATGTGTGTCTAAAAACCACACCTGTAGACAGGGTGGATTTGATTAAAACCACGATTTAAATCACTAGTCAGTAAGACTTGATTTAAATCATTTTTGTTTTTATTTTTACAAAAAGGCTCATTCTTGCTGGTATAATCTTAATATTTACAACCAGGTGAAGGTTTCACTTTTGGAATAATAAATTTTCAGAGTAGTTTTTACAGTTATATCAAAAACTACTGATATGGTTATACTATTGGAAACAAATAGACAGATAATTATGAAATTATTGTGCAGGTTTAATAAGTTAACTGTTTATATTTGGACAACTTTTCCGCTGTGCTTTTATTGGAAAGAGAAAAATAAATAATCATTTCCCTAATAACAATTTGAACAATTTATTTAACTAAAACAAGAACATTACAGCATATGTATACATGTTTGTTAACTGATGTGGTTAAACATTTTAAAAAAAAAAAAAATTTAGACTGAGTTTTAGCACACATGAAAAACTTAAATCCTTATTTCCTGATGAATATCCTTTGGACTAAAATGCAACTTAAATAGAAAACTATCTTTAGAAAGATTTTTCCTCCAAAAGCATTTTATTTTAAAAATTCAATTTAAATTTAAAAAAATCAATTTTTTTAAAAAAATTATTTTTAAAAATCATTGATTTTTTTATCCACCCACCCCATAAAACAGGCAACTGCTTTTAAGACTTTAGCACTTTCTATGAAGGTACATTTGATTTCTATATTACCCTTCCAATTCCTCTCCTGTTATCTACAGCATTCATACATATGTGCGAGTGTGTGTGTGTGTGTGTGTGTGTGTGTGCACACGCAAGTGTGAGGTGCTTCTGGTGGCCTCTCAGCCACAAAACCAACCTTTCGGGGTGGTTAATAAGAGCACATCAACAAAGAGGCTTGTAAAACACCTCCTGCCTCCAGTGCTGGAGAAAAATGGAACTATTTTTGACTTTTTAAATTTAAGGCATTTCCACCTTGCCTTTCGTTCATATTGCACTCACAAAGCAAATCTGAAACACCAAAAAAAAAAAAGGGGGAGGAGCCAGCAGTAGCAGTAACACACACACACACACACACACACACACACATTTAAAAGTAAAAACCAGTTTGTAAATAACAGAAAAGGAACCGGGTACCAGCCTCCCCTGAACCACCAGCAGAAGATATGCTAAACCCAAGTCCTACCTGAACAACACATAATGAGAGCTTTTGAAAGGGGGCTGGCAAATCCATGAGCCTGACAGCAATGACTGCCCTGTGCCAAATCAAAACGGAATCATGCAGACTGAATCTGAGCAGTTGGACAACTTAGGGAAGCTTACTCAAAATCACTTATTGCACTTTAATAACTGACCCCCTTCGTACTCCCTATCAGGCTGGCAGTGGGAATCCCAGTACATGTTTGTGATAAATGAAAATGGAACTAAGAGCATCTTGGCTGTGAGTCCTGGAAGAGCTGCTCCCTGACTTGCAGGCCTTTTCCCACCTGGCTTGACTGACTCCAGCTACAAAAAAGGGGCCCTGACTGACTCCAGCTACAAAAGTCTGAGGCTGCTGAACAGACTCTTGGGTTGGGGTCTTGTTTAGGGGTTTTTGTTGCTGTTGTGGAATTCTTTGTATCTTTATATTTAAATCTTACGTTTTACATGGCAATTTCTATTTGGTAGTTAGCGTACTTTTTGATGTGTTTTGTTTATTGTTTATGGCTACTCTTACGTTTTTAATGATGTAAATCTTTTTATGCTGTCAGCCGCCTCAAGCATCATTTTTAAATATGGAAAAGCAGGATACAAATAAAAGGATGCTGTTGCTGTTAAGAGGTGTCGTTCCTCTGGAAACAAAACGAAACAAAACTACAAAAAGGACAGCGGTAGGCATAGCGAGAGGACCAAAATGTTTGCCCTGGCTTACCGTATTTTTCGCTCTATAAGACGCACATTTTCCCCTCCAAGAATTAAGGGGAAATGTGTGTGCGTCATATGGAGCGAATTCAGGCTCCTTGGCTTCAGCGATAGCAATGCGAAGCCTCTGAAGCGCAGTGGGAGTGCTCCCACCGTGCTCCAGAGGCTTCTGGTTGCTTTCGCTGAAGCCTGGAGAGCGAGAGGGGTTGGTGTGCACCGACCCCTCTCACTCTCCAGGCTTCAAGGATAGCCACCTGAGGCTTTGGGTTCTGCTCTGGAGGCTTCGGGTTCCTTTCGCTGAAGGGTAGGTGCCCCTTCAGCTAAGGCGCAGCGCAGAGAGGGGGGGATTTTTTTTTTCTTGTTCTCTCCCTCTAAAACAAGGTGCTTCCTATGGTCGGGTGCGTCCTATAGAGCGAAAAATACGGTATATGCATCCAGAAATCAGAAGGCTTCAGCAGCTCACATGCTGGGAAGCTCGGGTTAGGCAGGTTATCACCAGCCAGAACTACCAGGTTATCCAGGAAGGGAGCACAAAAACAAAACACAAGCCATCGTAAGGCACACAGATATCGTTCCAGCTCTTAAAGCAACCTCAGATATAACACAAGGGAGGAGAGAAGAAGTGGGAAGCCACGTCCCAGGTTTTGTGCTTACCACCGCTCCTGAAACATCTGCTGCAAAGGAAGACCAGCTGAGAATGAGTGTGAAAAGCCCACAGCACAGAATCCTGTGGACAAAAGGCAAAACAGTCAGTGGACAGAAGCGGGGCTCGCTGAGAAGGTGTTGAGACAGGAACCCCTCCCCCCCCCACTTATGTACACAGCGCTTAGCGCAATGAGCGGCTTCTGGTCCTCGCTGCCCGCAGCCTTACAACGTACCTGTAAAGCAGGTTGCGACTGCACCTATTTTACAGACGTAGAATGGAGGCACAGCAGGGAAGGACTGTGGATGCAGCGCCCAAAATGAGCCTAGGGACAACTATGGAGACTTATAGCCCAACTCTCCGGTAAAATCAATCCCAGAGCAGGGTCCCAACATGAAACAATACATAATGAAATAAAAATGACCTGAAACAAAATCCAAACCCTAACAAACAATAAAACGAGAGATTGCATTAAGGAAGCGTGAGAGTGACAAAATGCCTGCTCCGGTCAACTAACCCAAGTGCAAGAATCCTGTACTCACACAATAAGCAGACATTTGGAGTGCTTTGCTAGGCCCAGGCAGGCAATAAGGCAGATCACCAAGTCCAGGATGAAGAGCAAGAGGTAGGAGAGCCATCTGCGGAGAGAGGGAGGCTGGATATAGAATCACAGAATTGCAGAGTTGGAAGGGACCCCGTGGATCATGGAGTCCAAACCCCCAGGAATATAGGCAGCTGCCCCATACGGGGATCGAACCTGCAACCTTGGCGTTATCAGCACCACGCTCTAACCAGCTGAGCTATTCAGTTGGTGAAATGCAAGCAAGACCACAGATATTAAATGTAGGGACTGCAGTACCTCAGAAGCAGCCTTCTCCAAGCTAGAAACTCTCCCACATATTTTGGAATACAACTTTCATCAGGCCCAGCCAGCTTGCACCAAGCCACCCCCGGCCAAACTCTTTTGACATCCGTTAAGACTGGCTGTGGCATGGAATGGACGTGAGCAACAGCCCAACCCCTCTCTCCCAACCCCTTTCCTCCTTTCACGTATTACTCAACATTTTGCAGGAGAAATCACAGGCAGCTGCGTCACTGTTTTCTTGGGGGGCCGTTATATTTTTGTGGGATGCCAACACAGCAAATGTGAAATTTCATGGCATAGGCTTTCCTAATTTTTCTGTGTAGTTCCCCCCCCCCCCCGCCCCCTGACAAATATATTTATGGACACTATATGGCCCTATTCTTCGTTATTGTGGCAGTAGGGGGTGAGGGACTTAAAATAATGCAGTTGTGCAACAGCTCCTTTGATTTTTATTGGCATCGTTACGAAGAACCATGTTCTCCACACAGAGAAGCAGGACTTTGACTTTGGGCCGTGCGCACTTTCTCTGGGTGGGTAGGCATCAAAACACAGAAGGGAACACTGCCATGACTACGTCTGAAATTGAAGCGTGAACTCAGCCCTGCAAATGACTGAAAAGAAAGGTGACAACTGTCCTTTCCGCATACTTGAAAAGCGTATTTCCTTGTTGAGGCTAGGGCTTTTCAGTGTCCAAGTCAGAAGATGGGCCAAGACAGCTTCCCTGCAGAAGAAGTCTAGGACTGAGAGATTTTGACAGCAGCTTCACTCTATCAGCCTCAGGGCCCAGTGCAGCATATTTCCTTACAGGGATCGACAAGGACAGGTTGGATCTCCTGCCCTTTCTCCCTTTTTTAAGTTTCTTTTTAACCCTTTGCTTACAAGGTGGTTTTCTTTTCAAGAGGTAAATGAAATCTGCAACTACATATAAAAATTAGCATATCATATGCAGCTTTTTACCTGAGATCCAGCTCCGAGGGCCTTCTGGCGGTTCCCTCATTGCAAGAAGTGAGGTTACAGGGAACCAGACAGAGGGCCTTCTCGGTAGTGGCACCCGCCCTGTGGAACGTCCTCCCATCAGATGTCAAGGAAATAAGCAGCTATCCTATTTTTAAAAGGCACCTGAAGGCAGCCCTGTTTAGGGAAGTTTTAAATATTTAATGCTGTATTGTTTTTAACACTTAATTGGGAGCCAACCAGAGTGGCTGGGGTAACTCAGCCAGATGGGCGGGGTATAAATAAATTATTATTATTATTATTATGCTAATTTGCATCACGGCCCCATGCCCTGGATCTAGCAAACATCCATGGAGACCAGACAAATGCTTCTAGGACAACCAGAAGCAGGGTCTGAAAAACTCTTAGTCTTCTGACAAAGCCATTTCTGAGTTGCTGTCCGTGATATTCCAGTTTCAGTTTCCCCACCCCACCCCTCTCGGCGGTTCTGAGAACTGGTGCAATTTCCAGCCTACACGGTTGTGAAGATGTGCTTGTGCGTGCATGGGGAAACGCATGGAGAAATCTCAGAAGCTGTTGAGTGGGGCAGGGTGTGCTGAGCACTCAAGGGGCAAGAGGGCTTCAGCACATTGAACGGTTCTTTGCCCTTCTCCAAAAAGGAAAGTGAAAGGATGCAGATTTGCTTCATTTGAATAATTTATTCGGGTTGCAGAATTCACTATTCTCTGGCAGGGAGTTCTCATTTTTTAAAAAAATGTTGTTGGCATCTGTCTGTCTTGAGAGAGAGCGTCCCTCCAGGGATGAAGTCAAACTGCGTAGGGACCTCTCCAGGGTGGAAGCCTCGGCAAATGTATATGGAGGTCTTGGGCTGCCCAGACATGACCCCCTTCTCAGCCTCACTGATGTGGTCCGAAGGAAATCAGAGCAATACATTTGGTATCAGCTTGGCTGCAGGAGTTGCCGGAAGGAGGCGTACAAGGCACCATCAAACTGTCTTAAGGACTCCACGCCGGATTTGTGTAGGGTTTACTCCTTAGCCCTTTCTTCTCCCAAAGATGTCCCACAAGGGTGCAGGTTTAAATATATGTACAGTGGTACCTCGGGTTACAGACGCTTCAGGTTACAGACTCCGCTAACCCAGAAATAGTACCTCGGGTTAAGAACTTTGCTTCAGGATGAGAACAGAAATCATGCTCCGACGGCACAGCAGCAGCAGGAGGCCCCATTAGCTAAAGTGGTGCTTCAGGTTAAGAACAGTTTCAGGTTAAGAACAGACCTCCAGAACAAATTAAGTTCTTAAGCCGAGGTACCATTGTATATATATGCACACAGAATATACAGTGGTACCTCGGGATGCGAACGGGATCCGTTCCGGAGCCCCGTTCGCATCCTGAATGGAACGTAAGGCGCGACGGTGTGTCTGCGCGTGAGGCATTTAGCCGCTTCCACGCATGACATCATTTTGAGTGTCTGCGCATGTGCGAGCGGCGAAACCTGGAAGTAACACGCTCCGTTACTTCCGGGTTCCCACAGAGCGCAACCCGAAAGAGCTCAATCTGAAGCACATTCAACCCGAGGTATGACTGTACACACAGGTTTAGCTATAGCCACTAGCTAGATTTGGTGATACTTCTGGCTCCCTAATGCAAGACGTTCTGAAGGGAGGGATGCCACTGCAACACACTGCAGCTTGTACAGTGCCGTACGTGTATGTGTGCGCGTGCAGCAGTGTCATGCAGCAGCTTCTCCCCCCAGCCTTCCAGGGCAAACATATACGTTCTCTTCTTGCTGGCAAAAGATGGGCTTTTGATCTCTCCTACCCTGCCTATGCCGCTCTGCTCTGTCTTTATTCACAGCCAGTGGCTTTTTGCCTCATTAACACTACAGAGGAGAGAAGGAGGAGCAAGATCAGTGGGTTCTTCCTCTGTTTTAATCACTGCCTGGAGTCAGGAGAGACCCAATTAAAATTCCTCTGCTGTGGTCAGGAGCTGGGCACAAGCTAGTAGCTTGGGGTCCACTGTCACAGCTCCCAAGGCGGATGCTAAATTTGGAAAGCGGGAACCGTCGGCAGGGAGCTCCAGCCTCATTTGTGGCCTCTGCTGCCATGCTGTTTAACACTTGCTGCCTCCTGAAGGTAGCTTACAATAAGAAGGCACAAATTATAAACCGGAGGGGTTAAGTCACCAAAAACACAGAACTTCTGTGCTGAATTCAATGTACATTAAAAGCTGGCCACACAGTAAAGCGGGTGTTTAGAATTTCCGCCCCACAGTCGGTTTGATTATAAGATCCTTATGACAACACAGGATGGGAAGTTAGCAGGGGAGAGGCCTTGACTAAGTGGGGAAGCACATGTTTTACATGCAAATGGAATCAGGTTCGAACCCTGGTGTTGCCCATTAAAAGGATCAGAGGAGCAGGTGATGGGGAAGATCTGAGATCCTAAAGTGTGCAGTGGGCTGGTGGTGGGGAACCTCTTCCAGCTAGAGGATTGCATGTCATGGAACTGTAGAGCTGGAAGAGACCCTCAGGATCATCTGGTCCAAGCCCACACAATGCAGGAATAAGCAACTGTCCCATAAGGGGATTGAACCTGCAACCTTGGCGTTATCAGCACCATGCTCTAGCGAACTGAGCTATCCTTCTGGGCAGCCACATGCCAGTGGTGGGAGGGGCTGAAGGCAAAGGTGAGGAGGGCAATTAATGCAAATGTTACCTCTGTGCAGTGGGCTAATTTCTACGCACATTCATTCACCCTCCTGGGTGCTTAAGAGACTGCTACCAATTTGTGGGAAGCATTCAAGCGCATACTGGAACGTAAGGTTTGCACAGCTAAATTGGACTGGAGCACTGTCACCCTAGCACAGCAAATCCACTTTATATTTTTAAAAAAGGCAGCAGAGTTTGTGGTTTGCAAAGTGATGAGGTGATAGAGTGAAAAATGTAGGGGAAACAAATGATTAAACGGGAAGAGAAGCGCAAGCACTCTGCAAGCAAACCAGAATGAACGTTCATTGTCATATAGCTGTCCCCATAAACAAACTGAGAGTGTACGCTGAATAAAGGAGTTATTTGGAGCAGCCCTCTCTCTTCCATCCAGGCAAGCAAAAAAGTGTTATGGGGGTTCAAGGACACTTTCCAGCCAGGCAAAAACTCCCAAGGAAGATGTGATGGAGATAATTGCAGGGTATGTGTGACCTGGGTAGGAGTCCTGAAATTCTCTACCCCTGCCATAAGAGAGCTGCTGCCAGCAGACAAGGGTGTGCTAGTCCAGGGGTCAGCAACCTTTTTCAGCTGTGGGCCGGTCCACCGTCCCTTAGACCATGTGGTGGGCCGGACTACATTTTTTTGGGGGGGAATGAACGACTTCCTATGCCCCACAAATAACCCAGAGATGCATTTTAAACAAAAGGGCACATTCTACTCATGTAAAAACAATCTGATTCCTGGACCGTCCACAGGCCGGATTTAGAAGGCGATTGGGCTACATCTGGCCCCCGGGCCTTAGGTTGCCTACCCCTGTGCTAGACAGGCAAACACTCTGACCTGGTAAAAAGCAGCTTCCTGTGTTTGAAAAGACATCTGCCAGCATTGCAGAACTACCAAGGGACCGCTTCCCTCTGCCGCCACGTGTGACATGTATGTACTTGCCTTTATCAGCCTTTATGCAGGCGGATATGGCGCACATGGTCAAGAGAGCCTTGCCACTTCTGAGCTCTTGAATGCACATTCTCCTTAGGAAGGTCGCTTTCAGCGTTTATTAAGGCCAGAGAGCTTTCCCCAGTTCATGAATACTCTGCACATTTTTCTTCTTCTTTTAAACATACAAAACAGGAAGGTTTGCAACTGCCAAACGGCAGACGTGGCAACAAGGTTCCCACAGTATTTTGTTCAATATTTAAGGTTGTTGTGCACTTGGATGAACTCCTAGGCGAATGGCATGTGGACAACTGACCTGTGAAAATGGAAAACCATTCATGTGGACTGCACAAACCCATGCCAGCTCTCTGCTGATACCTGCGCAGCACTGTAGTAGCGCAGCTCCCCTAAGCACCTGGGCTACCATCAGGACTGCCTAAACAGATCCCCGGAAGAGAAAGCCGTCTAGACGTATCTACCAACAGCCCAGCCATCTAGTAAACCTTTTATACAAATGTAGTTTACAGGAAGCTTAAAAGGCCTGCTCGTATTTCCCCTTCACATTAAGCCATGCCTCTTTTAATTAGCAAGCCCTTTTGGCTACGTCAGTCTTTTACTAAGCAAGCATCATTCTAGACATTCTGACGGCCTTTCAGATAAACAAAGCTGCGTGACTGCCAGTCATTCAAGCCCGAATCAAAGACCTTGGATTTGGCGGCCACAACCTGCTGCTGTGCCACATGACCGGCTCAGAAGACCACTCATTCAACAGACTCTTCCCCTCACTAACAATTAATCTAGTCATAGAACTGGAAGGGACCCTGCGGATCATCTGGTCCAACCCCTTGCAATGCAGGAATATGCAGTTGTCCTATACAGGGATCGGGATGCGGGTGGCGCTGTGGGTTAAACCACAGAGCCTAGGACTTGCCGATCGGAAGGTCGGAGGTTCAAATCCCCATGACGGGGTGAGCTCCCGTTGCTCGGTCCCAGCTCCTGCCAACCTAACAGTTTGAAAGCACGTCACACACACATGTCAAAGTGCAAGTAGATAAATAGGTACCGCTCTGGCGGGAAGGTAAACGGCATTTCCGTGCGCTGCTCTGGTTCGCCAGAAGCGGCTTAGTCATGCTGGCCACATGACCCGGAAGCTGTACGCCGGCTGCCTCGGCCAATAAAGCGAGATGAGCGCCACAACCCCAGAGTCGGCCACAACTGGACCTAATGGTCAGGGGTCCCTTGCCATTATCAGCACCACGCTCCAACCAACTGAGCTACCCAGGCATTCAAGCTCTACCCAAACCCCAAGTGCACAGAGGCATTCAAACTTGTGCAACAGCTGCATGAGCGTTTTTGAATCCAGAAATCTTTCTGATGCCTGCCTTCTCCCTCAACTGTAGAGGCATACTCAGTTTCTACCTTGCAATCGTACTGACACAACTTACCCTTACATCCGAGTACAGTAGAATCCCCCCCCCAAAAAAGTGGAGATTATTTTCCCCAAGCGCCACAGGCTCCTTTACCCAGAGCCCATCCAAAAAGGTGCCATCTGCCTTTATGTAATGCTAACGTTTCCTCCTGAGCAGAAATGTCACAAGTGCCTGCAGCATGACGGGCTGCTAGGTTTGCCTCTTAAGAAGAAACACCTTCCGTTTAAAGGGTGCCGCTAAGCACTGAGAAGGATACACAACTCAAAACATATTTGCTTTGGCAAAACCCTGGAGGCAGTGAGAGGAGGGGGCGGCGGCAGAGTTTGACGGAGAACAAGGTTAGGACAGTGCGCTCGCAAGACCCACAGTTGCTCAACGCCACAGCTATTCTCCTGGTGCCCTCGTTGCCTTAACAAATGCCCCGAGGGTTCCCACAACAGGAAAGACGTCCTCGAGTTAAGCCATCATCCTCATCCCTCGACTAACATGTGAGCATCCCATTCAGACACAATCCTGCTTCCATTTATTCAGCCCAAAAGGACCATTAAAGGATGGGGACAGTAACTCACGACTCTTCCTCCTCCTTTTACGGCTGTACAGAAGTGGCTTACCTGGTGGGAGTGGATATGTAATGCTAGCTTCCCAACAGCGGAGGCGCTGCTGACACTCAGTGGGAGAATGAGAGGTGAGGTGGCAGGGAGATTGCATCAGTGGGAGTTGCTGGATTGGCTCTGCCCGTGTGCCCACACCATGCTGACCTCAGCCATGACCCTGCAGCTGGAAAGCTAGTGTTGCAGCTCTTTCCCTATTGTGAGACTGACTTCTGCTGCTGAAATAATCACAGTCTTTCAATTCTGTATTCAGCATTACCAGTGCGGATTAAGACTGTTGCTACGATGCACTGATGTGATGAAAACATTATAGTGCTTTGAGCAAATCACCTCCTCATGGTGCAAAGTGAGTGATCCCAAAAAAGTGGCCTTATTTACTGCCCCATGCCCCTGCTATTACAGAATGGCTGAGCGGATTGCAGCCCCTTTCTCTTGCCCATGTTCCTCCTGTTATCTTCCCAACCACTTTCCTACAAGGCACCACCAAGAACAAGGAACCTACAAATATGATTGGATTGCAACTCTTACCATGGCCACCAGCCACGTTGTCTGGTGGGAATTGGAGTCCAACAATTTTTGGAAGGCCCCCACCCCATCCTAGGGGAGGGATTCCAAAGCGGAGGAGAGAGATGAACAAGGGGATTCCCACCTCCTGACTCCGTGATGATGTAACAGTTTCCATAAGTCTAAGATTAAACACCCCTCCATTGTCTTACAGGAAGCAGGTGGTGCTGTGGTCTAAACCACTGAGCCTAGGGCTTGGCGATCAGAAGGTCGGCAGTTCGAATCCCCATGACGGGGTGAGCTCCTGTTGTTCGGTCCCAGCTCCTGCAAGTAGATAAATAGGTACCGCTCCGGCGGGAAGGTAAACGGCGTTTCCGTGTGCTGCTCTGGTTTCACCAGAAGGGGCTTAGTCATGCTGGCCACATGACCCAGAAGCTGTCTGCAGACAAACACCGGCTCCCTCGGCCTAAAGAGCGAGATGAGCGCTGCAACCCCAGAGTCGTCCGCGACTGGACCTAACGGTCAGGGGTCCCTTTACCTTTGTCTTTGAGATGCTCTGCTTTTGACAGGAAATGCAAGGCTGCATAGCAAACTCCATGAAGTCTCCCAATGGGCCATGCACCCCGCCCTCCGCAATATCCCCTCTCAACTTACCTGTAATATTCCACGTAACCAACTTCACCAGCGACTTGAGACAGGTCTACAGTGACGTCGTTCCAGACAGGGAGCCCCGAGAGCTGCAGCACAATATTGCCAGCCATCTGCTGCAGGAACTTGAGCGTCTGCACATAGTCGCCTCGGGTGGCAAATATCTCGTTCAGCCGCGCCAGGTGCTGCTCCAGAGCCACCTTCATCTGCACAGAGGTGTTTGAGACCTGGGAAAAGACAGCAGGCAGACCATTCAGAACCAGCAAGCTGGTTTCTTTCTGAACCAGTCATGTTTTATATGGGTAGAAGGGACGGCCAAGAACAGCTCAAAGTCAAAGAGTTTCCTTCGGCTTCCATCATGTGCACAAACACGACTTTGATCAAATGTCTTCAAATACACTCAAGGAAAAGATCCGCTGAAACCAGAATAATCACCACCACCTCAGTTTCTATAGCCCAAATCCCAAAAGCAGATTGGTGAAATTACATATGCATGCACTAGAAGAACAGACCAAAAAAACTCTACCCTAATAATGGAACTGTAGAGTTGGCAGCGACCATGAGAGTCATCTAGTCCAGGGGTTGGCAAAGTTTACTTCACCTGGGCTGGTTCACTCCAGTGGAGATCCCTCCATGGGCTGGATCGTGTATGTGTGTGTGTGTGTGTGTGTGTGTGCGCGCGGTTGCACGGATGCAATTTCTGGTGTCTGCGTCTGTGCAGATGCGATTTCCGGTGTCTGCATCTGTGCAAACGCATTTTCAGCGTCTGAGCATGCGCAGACCCAATTTCAGGCACCACGGAAGCGAGTCCCTACGTTGCACTGCGCCGGTTTAGCGCAATGTGTGGGGACTTGTAGAGAGGGCGGCTCGGTTAGGGTGCGGCTTGTGGGCTGGTTAAACAACCCCCGTGGTCCGCTTGTGGCCCATGGGCCTTAGGTTGCCTACCCCTGATCTACTCCAACCCCCTGGAATGCAGGAATCTTTTGCCCAATGTGGGAACCCTGAGATTATGCTCCAGCGACTGAGCTATCCCAGTTTAACCACTTGAATGGCCTCCATTATGTGAGCAACGAAGATGGCTAAAGTCTGCTCCAAATAATCTCCCTGTTTACTGGTGTTGCACTGGCACCCACAAAAAGGAACTCTTTTCCAATACAAAAGCTGCTATGGAATCTATCTATAGGCCTCCTTCTGGCCACACAGAAGTCAAAGCAGCAAGAAAGCAAGGACAAAGCTCTACACAGCAGAGCCTCTTCCCTTCAAAATATTCTGCGAAGTCAGAAAATCCATAATTGACATTTTCATAGTAGATTTTTAAAGTGAGTAACCCACCTGGAGTCATTAGGGTGAAAGGTTGGTACAGGAGCTTGGCACGCTAAAACGATCAGGCGCTCCAAGAACCAGTGAAAGCAAGCCAACTACAGGGCATGGATATATACTGAAACTGAGGGCATCATTTGAATACATTGTATTCACTGCCTAGTACTTAAATATCGCTAGGCTTTTTGGATTACCACCACCACCACCACCACTCAGAAACAGAAAACCCAGTGCGTGTATATGTGAAGTAAACCCAGGAGAAACACAAATTAAACCAAGATGCTAGGAGTACCATTAGTCCCCTAGATGGAGAGAGAGGTTTCATTTCCAAACCGGTCACCTTTTGGTAGTAGTTTGCTGTTGTTGTCATTTTGCAGTTGGGAGTTTCCATCTCAGGTCTTAAGCACTGCTGCTGCCTTTTTTCAGCTGTGGCTTTCTGCCAGGAATTCCTGAAGAAGTCATGAGAAGCATGGACCCAACAGACTCCCAGGTGATACGCTACTGGTTCTCCCTGGGCACGGTGCCATCTGAATTGTTCTAGAGCTGTGTTCTCAACAGCACCAGAATCAGAGGCGTGCGGCGACATTTTTGGCAGGGGAAGAGTTAGGGATAGAGGGGGGGCAGCTTGCGATGGCTACTGGAAGGGGGGGGGGGATGCCATGCTTGTGAGCATCACGCCGGCCCCCCTAAGCCGGGCAGAAGCTTCCAGGGCTTTGCAAAGGAGGCACCAGGCTTTAATACTCTAATTTACTACCACCAGCAGCTTAAACTATAGCCCCCACCCACCAGCCCTGTGCTTTCAGCACTGGACTCTCCAGTCTTCTGTGATTCTGGGGTCCAACAGATCTCAAGTTCTGCCTTTTCTAGACACTGGGTTTCCAAAGGTTATCCGGAAAAAGCTATGATCTGCACCCAACACTGACCGAGGGGAGTAGAACCGCTCTGTGCTTCCCATCCCTTCCTATCTCTGTCTCAATTTCTGAAACGAAATTGTCTCCATTTTCGCCTCTGGGAAACGCAGAAAGTAGGGTCAGGCTGTGAATTCTGACAGCAGAGAGCACATGCTCTCCTCCGGATTAAAACGGAGATAGATGAAGGAGGCTTTAACACAATGTTTGGCTTGTTTGCACCAGCCTCTGTGCTCTCCCTAGGAAGAGACATTGTTGTTCTCAGACAGCTGCTCTCAATCTCAGGCATTTCAGATAATTCATCAGGACCAGAGCGCTTGCATTAGATGAAAAGGGGGAAGGGGGGAAGAATAATAATATCGGCTCAACCCATCAGATTTCTTACCAGCGAATCAATCTCCGAAAGAGTGCGATTAGCATTATTTAGGGCGTAGATCAGTTGATAAACCCCATCGTTGGTTTCGCTGTTGCCATAGAAACCAATGCCAACAGCAGCACTGGGAATGAAAGAAACACAGAAATATGGGTTAGAAGAGGAGAGAATAAAAGTCAGTGTTATTTAAGGTAAGGGCTGAAACAAAGGCCTCATTTAGGCCAACCCGTCACTTTAAGATACCATTCTCAATTCCCCACAAACAGAGAAGTTACACCTCCCTTTGAATATACAAAGTACATAATTGGTTTTGTCTGGCAGGGAGATGGAGGATAGCCCATCTTCCGATTTCCAAAAGCTGTCAAAAACACTTTCCCTGACAGAGCCACCTGTCAATCATGAAACTGAAAATATGGCCCTTGCCAAACAGTCCTTTGTCCCTCTAAGCCCCTCAGCTGGACTATCAACATTGCTGTGTTACACATGAGGAGACCAGGTGTCCGTTTGTAAGCAGCTGCAATAGGACAGGCTTGAATTGAAACATTTTCTTTCTTTTAGAAGCACCATTCTGCTTTTAGCTTTGTCCTCCGGTCCTTTTATTCTGAATCAACTTCATGTTGGAGTTTGGGGTGCATTTGTGCCAGACTCAAAGGAAAGTTCCCCCTCAGGCGCTCAGATCAACTTGAGTCATGGGGTGTGTGGGTGTGGGTGTGTGTGTGTATAGTGACAGAGAAATCAAACTACGCTGGTATCTGGCGAGAGACACAAGAATATAAGAGTCTGCTGGATCATACCAATGGCCCATCTAGTCCAGCATTCTCTTCTCACAGTGGCCAGCCAGATCCCTGTGGGAAATCCACAAACAGGATTTGAGCAAAAAAGAACCCTCCCCTGCTGTGGTTTCCAGCAATGCATATTCAGAACCATTACTGTCTTCAGCTGTGGAGGCAGAGTGGCAGTCCTCTATAGTCCTCTCCTCCGTGAAGTTGTCTAATCCTCTCTTAATTTTTTTATGTTTCCAGGTGCCATAAGAAAGCTGTAGAGATAGTGCAGGATAGTGCGCACCCGGAAAATGATCTCTCTCAGCTTCTGCCTTCTGGAAGAAGGTACAGGGTTACAAAGACTAGGACTAGCCTCCTGAGAAACAGTTTCTATCCAAATGAGATTTTGGTTTTAAACGCAGTGTAAGGTAGTCTTTAAGTGAGTACAGTGGTACCTCAGGTTACATACACTTCAGGTTACATATGTTTCAGGTTACAGACTCTGCTAACCCAGAAATAGTACCTCGGGTTAAGAACTTTGCTTCAGGATGAGAACAGAAATCGTGCTCCGGCGGAGCGGCAGCAGCAGGAGGCCCCATTAGCTAGAGTGGTGCTTCAGGTTAAGAACAGTTTCAGGTTAAGAACGGACCTCCAGAACGAATTAAGTACTTAACCTGAGGTACAACTGTATATTGTATTCACTTATGGGGTATCAGAGTTTTTAGGGGCTGACCAGGCTGGGATAGCAGGCTTGTGGGTTTTTGAATGTCTGATGTAGATTTTTTCAATTTCGTTGTTCTGTATGGCACAATGACAATAAAGATTATTGTATTGTATTGTATTGTATCGCATCGTATCATAAAGCAGTCCGGGAGGCAGGCAAGATAAATGCTCTCTTTGATTCCCATTGCAATTATTTGCTTTGCACCCCTGGAAAGCCTTCTCATCTAGAAGTCAAGGGGAATGGCCTACCTAGACTGACAGCAGTGGAAGGGAGGGAGTGAAAGTTCTCCCCCCCCCCCCAACAGACTTAAAGTGGCTTCATAAGATATTCACCAGGATAGTCAATCTGCCCAAAGAGGAAATGCAGAAACCCCTCCAAACTCAGAACTGCAACTGTATAATGGGTGTGATTTGTAAGAACTAGGAAACACCTGGAGTAGGTTTGTTATAGGAATCCTAAGGTCCTGTGTATATATATAAAATGAACATTCATAAATGCACAAGGCAAACACACACATAAGTATATAAACCACGTGTCTGAAATAGTACAGGAGAACAATCCTAAAGCCATTTTGACTCTTCCAGTAACCTCAAATATTCTCCCCTTTGCTCACAAATCCTGTCTCAGGGTGAGCCTGTGACCTGGATTCAGGAACTAAGTATTTACAATCACAAAATATTGGCCAGGCTGCCCAGGTAGAACAATGATTGATCATTATCAGGTATCCTGACAGACAGGTTTTCTGCTGTAGACCTCGCCCCTGTGATGCATTTCTGTGGTAGACTGCCCCCGTGACATATTTCTGCTGGGGACCACCTCTTTCTGTGATGTATGCATGATGTGCAAGTAGATAAATAGGTACCGCTCCGGCAGGAAGGTAAACAGCGTTTCTGTGTGCTGCTCTGGTTTCGCCAGAAGCGGCTTAGTCATGCTGGCCACATGACCCGGAAAAACTGTCCGGGGACAAATGTCGGCTCTCTCGGCCTGTAAAGCAAGATGTGCGCCACAACCCCAGAGTCGTTCGTGACTGGACTTAACTGCCAGAGATCCTTTACCTTTACCCTGAGCCAAAGGTAGGCAATTTCAAAAGTAAGAGCTTGCACACCATTGTTCTGGGTTCCTCTCCTCCCTCTCTGCGTGGGGGGAGCGGGGAACCCTGTTGCAACAGTTTATTAAAGATCATGCTTATTAGCTGCTTTGCTTCTCAATATTCTCTGGTTGGCCTCTGATATTTTCTCCTTCCGACAGGGGACCTACTTAAGGATTCTATATGGGCTCTTGGATCCCCCATAAGGGAAAAGGAGCAGCCCCCCCCCCCTTATAACAGGTTCCTGCGTCCAATTTGAGGAGGTGGCCGGGTGGTCTTGAGGTTCCATTTTTTAAATAAATGCTGAGCTAAGCCAAGCCCTTTTCGCTCAACTTGCCCCAGAAACAACCAAACGTTCTGCCGGCAGGATCGTAGGATGCCTGGATGAGTCCCACTATGAGGTGTGCTTTATGTATTGGCGCAAAAGAGCAATTGCTGCAAGACACTCAATACTGGAAATGGAAGAAAGCCAGAGAGAACTTGCTCACATATTTCAGGTGTCTTGTTACAACCCACAGTGTTTAACCCAAACAGAGAGATGTTTTTAAGCCGCCGGTAGCAGCCAAATAGGAAATGATTGTTTCACATTTGTAATAATGTAAGAACCTTGCCAGTTTGCAGCTAAAACAGCTTCTTTTCGGAGAGAGCTTACAATTTACATTAGATAAGCAGGACTGGGGTCAGAGAGAGGCCAGAGGATGACCATGATTTAGTGGGGGGGGGGGAGGGGAGATGCGCCAGTTCTGGAGGGAGAGGAGAACGGAAGTGCTGAGAAGGTGCCAGTAGAAACTGTCTCCTCTCTTGGCCTTTTAAGACATTAGTGGTCCCCTGCCAATTGACAACAGAGCACTGCCAACCAGATTTACTCCCTCCAACTCTGGGGCTTAAAAAGGATGCTACAAGCCTGCGACACACTGAGCTGTGAGTGAGTTCTCTCCCAAACACCCAAGAGATTTAGGCCAAAAGGCAGCGGCGGCTGCGGCGGGGGGAAGCCCTCCAACCTCGCCCCCGCTCCTAAGCAGCTTATCAGAATCTGTTGAAAGAAATGTTCCTCTGGATTACAGCTGCTCCTTGATTTAACCTTCAAGAAAGAATTCTAGGGTCTCTGGAAAACTCCAGCCAGAAACAATTCCTCTATGCCAGGGTAAATGCCAAGGACCCGGAGTCAGAGATCAGGACAGTAAATTGGTGCTCTTTGGTTTATGGAAGGGAGATGGGTGTGAGGAAAAAAGATGCCTTTGGCAAACCCCCTTCTTCCAGATAAATTACATTATATCTATGGGAAGGGCCCCGGGGGCATTACTGTTTTGTTGTTTTGGTTAGTTATTTACTTGTATTTTATTCTGTGAACCACCTTGACGAAAGGCAGTACAGTGGTACCTCGGGTTACATACGCTTCTGGTTACAGACGCTTCAGGTTACAGACTCCGCTAACCCAAAAATAGTACCTTGGGTTAAGAACTTTGCTTCAGGATGAGAACAGAAATCGTGCTCCAGCGGTGCGGCAGCAGCAGTAGGAGGCCCCATTAGATAAGTGGTGCTTCAGGTTAAGAACAGCTTCAGGTTAAGAATGGACCTCCGGAACGAATTCAGTACTTAACCCAAGGTACCACTGTATAGGAATTTAATAAACAACAACAACACACCAAACACATGCAGAAGGGTAGTACAACGGTACCTCGGGTTACAGACACTTCAGGTTACAGATGCTTCAGGTTACAGACTCCGCTGTACCTCGGGAAATAGTACCTCGGGTTAAGAACTTTTCTTCAGGATGAGAACAGAAATCGTGCAGCGGTGGTGCAGTGGCAGCAGGAGGCCCCATTAGTTAAAGCGGTACCTCAAGTTAAGAACAGTTTCAGGTTAAGAACAGACCTCCAGAACGAATTAAGTTCTTAACCCGAGGTACCACTGTATATAAATTTAACACCAACACATGCAGAATACCACAATTCAGAACAGCTAACACACTCTAGTTTTACAATCAGGTTTTTAGAATTCCTGAAATGGGCGCTGGAAATGTAGGTTCGTGAAATGTACCCATTCCTAACTGCTGAGCTGAAGCAGCCAATAAGGAAGGCTGGTTGACTCCGACTCACGCCTCTCCTTGCTGCATTGGCAATAAAAATGATTCATCCTGGCCAGTTCTCCCCTATTAGCCTTTGAATGAGCTCCCTATTTCAAATGGGCCCCTGCTGTTTGGCTACAGCATATCTCTGGCTGTAAATAACAACAAAAGCAATGCTCAGCTATGGCTACGCTTCTCTCCGCTGCTTCCGCTGTTCACTGAACGTTGAAGGTTAGCTCCAAAATTATGGCCCCCCTATGGAAGCCTGCTGATGCTGCTTCCATGGGGAGGCAGCAGCACAACTGCACCGTGAAAACTCGCGCTTTAGTGGATAAGAATGTGCTCCACCGGCATGGAAATTCCCTGCAGCTCAAATTCATGTGGTTGATGCACCTCAGAGGTAATGGCATCAAAGCAGAGCTTCTGACGCAGGGGAACTGTTTCCAGTGGTCAGGGATGGCATGGTTCTTATCAAGGCACCATTTTTAACCAAGAGAAAAATAGGTTCTCCCACCTGGAGAGGCACTAACAGCTCCTATTTTAATATAACTCTTATTCGCACATGTCACATTACTGTGAGTTACAATCCAGCTTTAGCTACACTTCAAATTGCGCAAACCTCAGGGGTGCACGCACACACAACTGAAAGCCAGCCTGGATACACCTGAATACCTGGATTTGAGTTGTGTGCGTTTACATTGCTGGGAACGCTTGCGACAGATCTAAAAATTCAAACTACTGGGCAGTGTAAGCGGGTCTCTCTGCTGTCACTTTTAGGACTCCGTTTGCAAATGCTGAGCAGAAGCCTTGAGAGGTTCTGCTCTTTTTAATAATGGCGCGTGTTGCAAAAAAATCCACCCCCCCCCCCATTAGGCTTGCCTTCCCATTCCATTTTCCTTTGCCATGTCTGCATCTAAAGGCTACTTCTTGCACGGTTGCTGGTATTTGCATGCCGATAGCAAGTGCGGGGTGGTGGGGGGGAGAGAAGTGAGATGCTGCCACACTCCCATCAGATATGAAGTGTGCACGCTTGCAAATTGTAATGTAATAAAACAGTTACTTTTCCCTTAAAGAGAAGCGGGTGGGAAGCCCTTCTGATTATAATGGCAGCCCTTTGGGATCAGAGCAAAAGACCTACCTATTCCAGCATTTTAATGAATGAATGAATGAATTAGATTTATCTACAGTGAGATGTGTACAGTGAGAACCAGCCCTGAGTGCTGCTGCTGGATGGCTATTTGAGGAAACCTGTAAGCTTCGCTGGCAGAAGAGGAATACAATAGTACCTCGGGTTAAGTACTTAATTTGTTCCAGAGGTCTGTACTTAACCTGAAACTGTTCTTAATCTGAAGCACCACTCTAGCTAATGGGGCCTCCTGCTGCTGCCACGCCACCGGAGCACAATTTCTGTTCTCATCCTGAAGCAAAGTTCTTAACCTGAAAGCACTATTTCTGGGTTAGTGGAGTCTGTAACCTGAAGCGTATGTAACCTGAAGCATATGTAACCTGAAGCGTATGTAACCCAAGGTACCACTGTATTTGTCTACATACTTCCCCTGTTCTTCTGCAGGTGGGTGGTTTTTTTATTTTTTTATGGCTTCACCGATGCCTTTAGTACTAAAGAAGATTCTTTTGGGTGGGGGGGATAGGGGAGAATGCAGTGTGAAATGACTGTAAGCAGAAAGGGGTCTGCTTATATAAGGAAGGAGCTCCAGCCTGGAAAGGCAAGCTTGACTGATCTAAAGTAATAGGTTTGAAGAGCAAGAACGAACCTGAAACTCAGGATTCTCCATTCCCACAGATTTCCCTAAATCATCCATTTTATAGCATACAGCAAGCAGAAAATAGAAGTCTGCTAGGTGTAGCGTAACAGGCGGGGAGCTTCGCTCTGATCGATGCTCTTGCTACGCATTTAAGATTCGAAGAACCAGATGCCCAGCAGTCAGTGCAAGAGCTGCTCTATATTGTTGCACTCGCAATCAAAGCGCCCTGGGGACCTGAAAAGCACTTAGGATATTTATTACTCTGCCTACCCCTCATCTCACTCATCCAAAGCTTATGGATAGGAGACAATATAGCCAGAATTTCAACAAGCCTAAAGCCCCAGGGGTGGGGTGGGGTGGGGATCATGTGTTTGGGTTAGGGAAGAAGGCAAGTCATGGGAACAGCACGCCGCTTTAATCAGCATGTTTACTCCCAGATACAGATACTTCCATTCAGCGAATAAAAGATCACCCTCAAACTATTAAGCACTAAAGCCCTTTGGAAGTTCCTGGAACGTAGAATTGAATGAGCTGATTGAGAAGGGTTTGTGCAGTAAATGGCTGAAGCCAAAAGAGTGCCATGAAAACCTTCCAGCAGATGTAGGTAAAAGGTAAAAGGTAAAAGGACCCCTGGACAGTTAAGTCCAGTCAAAGGCAACTATGGGGTGTGGCGCTCTTATTGCTTTCAGGCCAAGGGAGCTGGCATTTGTCCACAGACAGCTTTTCCGGGTCAGGTGGCCAGCATGACTAAACTGCTTCTGGCGCAATGGGACGCCGTGACGGAAACCAGAGTGCACGGAAACACCGCTTACCTTCCCGCCAGAGCGGTACCTATTTATCTACTCACACTGGCGTGCTTTTGAATTGCTAGGTTGCCAGGAGCTGGGACAGAGCAACAGGAGCTCACCCCGTTGCAGGGATTCGAACTGCCGACCTTTTGATCGGCAAGCCCAAGAGGCTCGCTGGTTTAGACCACAGCGCCACATTCCTCAGCAGATGTACGAATTGGGGGAGACATACCAAGCTGATAATACAGTGGTACCTCGGGTTACAGACGTTTCAGGTTACAGACGCTTCAGGTTACAGCCTCCACTAACCCAGAAATAGTACCTCGGGTTGAGAACTTTGCTTTAGGATGAGAACAGAAATTGTGCTTCGGCGGCGCAGCGGCAGCGGGAGGCCCCATTAGCTAAAGTGGTACCTCAAGTTAAGAACAGTTTCAGGTTAAGAATGGACCTCCAGAACAAATTAAGTTCTTAACCCGAGGTACCACTGTACAGCGGTGTTATTTCCTCTGTGTTTGCAGCTATGGGTGGCCAGATGTCGAAACCATGTGCCTAGTTCTACTATTTATAACGTCTGAGAAAGTAGAAGGAAGATCGGGGCCTGAAGATGGGCAACCCCCACTCCCAACTTCATCCTTACAGCCAGAAGTAACCCAACCGTGAAAGCCTCAGGCAACCGAGTTCATCTGATCACTCTGCCTTGCAAGAGGCAAGGTGAATTGAGCAGAGATTTGCCACCTGGGATGAAACCACGTGTCTCAGGCAGAGGCCAGGGTTAAGAGTGTAAAAAAATGGGGGAAGAGGCTTTGTTTTCTCCAGTACGCCCAGGATTGCCATCCCAACCACCTCCCAACCTGCGTATGAACCCCCCTATCTAACCCGAGCGATTTGCGCAATGGCGACGCGAAAGAGGCAGAACCATCAGTGCCCAAAATGGACGGCTCTCCTTGCCTCACAGCTGCAGCTTCCCCACTGAAGAAAAAGACGAACAGGAAGCAAAATGAGAACATGCGCTCACAAACTGCTCCACTTGTGGTACAAATGTTTTTCCCTTTTGTCTGTGGCACTTAACTCACATGTACGCATTGCCAGGCTCTCTAGTAGTGAAATTCTGCATTCTGTTTCCACAAAGGGGTGGCTTGGCAATTGTGAGCAAGAGAGTTCATTTTCTGTAGGTGGTGCAGTTGGGTAACTTGTGTAACTGTGGGAAGGGAGCAGCCAGCACACGGGCACAAAAAATTGTAGCTGCCATTAGGAAGGCAGATGGGCACACCAGCCCTAAATTGGGGGAGCAGAGAGAAAGGGGGCCCCTTTGAAGGCAAGGCGGCATCTCAGCAACTAAACATTTCCCCCTTCTCAGGGGAAATTGATGAGTTTCACTTGCACTGATTATTTTACCAAGATACAATCCCCCGCCCCAAAGCTAAATTAACTGGCAAGTGTGCTGTGATGTGCTGTGTGTGTGTACACACACGCCACAAGAGATGCTGGTATGGCTTGATCAAGTCAAAGCACTCCTTGTCTTTCTATTTTACATATTTACAAAGAAAAAATATTACATACATATTTACATATTTTACATTCATAAAAATTCCAGAGCGTTTACAACAATTATATATGAAACCATCCAATTAAAAAAAACCCACCACACAAACAAAAAGTTAAAAACAGAAAACAGCAAACTATTAATGGAAAGATGCATTATTTATTGGCTGCATAAGCCTGACAGAAAGGCGGCGGGGGGGGGGGGAATCAAGCAGGCGTTTAAAAGTTGAAACAGAAAGCAATTGATTGATCTTTTTTGGCAGAGTATTCCACAGAGTATTTGGCAGAGTATTGGGCTGGTGACACCAAAGCAGGTTTTTTCCCCTCTGGTCCACACTTTTCAGAATAAAAAATTGCTCGGGTCGTACCAATTTTTTTATTGGTAAGAAATACAAAGAAACAACTCATGGCAGAGCTGGATTTTGAAAAAGGTATCTACCCATATTCTGCAAATTATTGTTTATTTTATTTTGATACTGTACTATACAACACTACACTGAAATGTTTAAATATTTAATGTTTAAATTATAAATAATTATAATTATAAATACTTATGTTTAAATTATAAATAATATTTAAATGTTTAAATATTTCTTTGATTGTCCTTGGATCCTCCTGCCACACTTGCCATCCTCTCCTGCCGCACCCTTTGAGAACCACTGCACTAAAGGCTCAGTTTCTCGTTGCATCCAATGAGCTCCATCAATTCAGGGAACAACCAACAATGATCCTGCCAATGATTGCATGCAACATGCAACACTAGTGAAGCGCAATGGCCTCCAACAACTTGCAGCAGCGGCACTACCAGCTGCATAACTTCTCGGATGATGCCTTATATTGTATACATGTTCAACCACTAGATTTTTTTGGAAGGTTCTGCAGTGGGTAGACTTGATGCAGGATGGAGAACCTGTGGCGCTCTACACGTTGAGGGACTCCAACTCCCATTAGCCCCAGTTAGCATGGCCAAATGTCAGGGAAGATGGGAGCTGTAGTCTGGCATCATCTATGACATCGCAGGGTTGCAGGTTTCTGCACCTGGACTTTGCAATTCTGTGATGTAGCTATGACCTGTGCTAACATCACTTGCCTACATCATTGGGGTCAGGTGGGGTGAGAAGTGGGCTGGGCTTATTATCAGTTGCTTTAACTTAGGGTGCAGCGACGATTTCTTTCTATAATGGTTTTTATTAAATCTTCCAATTTATTACATAACTCCAGTTGTATTTATTAGGCACCCCCCCCCCTTCTTGACTTCCCATCCCTCCTTCCCTGATTTTTTTTAATTCCCCCTTAATAGCTGCTTTAAAACACATCTACACTTATTTTCTAAGCCCCCCAAATCCGTTCTCTACATTCTTCCCCCCATATCAAATTCTGCACGTGATTTCATACAATAATTATAATTTGACAGATAGTCCACCAGTGGCCTCCGTTCTTCTATGAAAAGATGACGTTACGATTCCTTGCCACATGCAGTATCTACCTCTGGACTTGCTCAACCAACTGAGAGATGAAATAACACCCTAGACATTCAGGAAGCCTCTAGATCATCCTTTCTCGACCTGTGGGTCCCCAGGTGTTGTTGAACTACAACGCCCATCATCCCTAGCTAGCAAGGCCAGAGCTCAGGGATGATGGGAGTTGTAGTCCAACAAAGATCTGGGGACCCACAGGTTGAGAACCACTGCTCTAGATGAAAAGTATTCTTCATCCTGGAGAGGTATAGGTGATGGAGAGAAAGCAATAGGCCAGAACCTAGGGCTTTCCCTTTCCTGGGACCGCCAACCCTGCTCTCCCTCCTTTAATTGAGTCAGACTCCATACACAATTAACCTCAAGCCTAACGTGACCCCGGACAGCCAGCTGTGCCATCTGCTTAGGGGTGGGATTAAAAGCTAAAGGACTCCTCCACACCCCAATCTCCCTCCCCCTCTTGGGATTAGCCAAAAGAGGAATGAATACTAGAGCAAAGAAGCCCTCTCGAGGAAACAGCGATTAAAGTCAGGCCGTGGGACCCAGGAGCATCTGCAAATGCGCACAGCATGCTTGCTGCTCTTGAGAGAGACAGGGAAGGGCCTTCAAGAGCACTGAATTGCAATGTCCAAACTAGGGGACTGGTGGTGGAAGATGAAACACGAGTCTTTGGATCAAGGAATAGGAAGCTGTCAAACCATGCCCTTTAGCAAAACAGGCACTGAAACAGTAGCTGAACTGTCTCCCTTTCCCTTGTGGACCCTTTGTTTCTTTAAGGGTGAGAGAAACGCAATAGGACAAACTGAGTGCGAGTTGCCATGCATGCATGCATGCAACAAAACAGAGGCGTGCACCACGCATTATGGCCTACAGGCAGTTTTCCAAGATGGAACTTGACCTCTGAGCATATTACAGTGGTACCTCAGGTTACAAACACCTCGGGTCACAAACACTTCGGGTTACAGACTCCGCTAATCTGGAAGTAGTACCTCGGGTTAAGAACTTTACCTCAGGATGAAAACAGACATTGCACACCGGCAGCAAGGCGGCAGAGGGAAGCCCCATTAGCTAAAGTGGTACCTCAGGTTAAGAACAGTTTCAGGTTAAGAACGGACCTCCAGAACAAATTAAGTTCGTAACCAGAGGTACCACTGTACACTGATCCCGGTGGCCAATTAAGTTCTGGGCCCAGTTCAAAGAGCTGGTTTTTACCTATAAAGCCTTGAATGGCTCGGGACCACAATGCCTCGAGGACGTCCTCTCTCCATGTCAACCAACCTGGACCCTGCGGTCATGATTTGAGGCCCTTCTTCAGGTGCCTCCTCCACGAGATGTCCTAAGAGTGGCAACGTGAGAACAGGGCCTTTTCTGCGGTGGCTCCTTGCTTGTGTGAAAGGTCATATATTTAAGCTCTGGGTAGCCAAGCACAGACAGATTTACACATTCATGAGCACGTGCATGTGTGACAAATTCCAGAGGGGCCATCTTGTTAGGCTGCAATAGATTGCAATGGGTTACTTTGAAGTCACTGCAGTACAAGATTTGGAGGGGGGGGGGAAGGCCCCACACTGTATTTTGTCAGTACAAAGGTGGCAACCCTACCCGTGAACCCAAGCTTTCAGACACCACCCGCCCGCTCCATTACCTATGGGTCTTCTGCTCCCTAGGCTCCAAATGAACTCACCAACAGATGAGGCCGGCTACCACAGCAGTCCAGGTGATGCAACACGAATTGGGCCTCTTCGTCTCTGACTCCTCCTCCCTCTTGCAGCAGCACACACAGATCAGATAAATACCAAGGAAGACCAGGTTGAGGCCCAGAAAGACAGCTCCCACGAGAGCCAAGAGCAACAGGGACTAAGAAAGGAGAAAAAGGGAGAGAGAGATGATGAGCATTTGCATATGCCAACAGAGAACAAGTCGTATCCCCTCATTCCACTTTTCAGAAACTTACATTTGAGGCTACAAAAGATAACCAATGAAAAGCCCGTTGCTTCAGAACACTATTTCCTCCCCAGTTCCATCTTAGCAAGCAAAGTGGCCGTCGTTTGTCTTTCTCGCATTAGAAAAGGGCCCTTTTGTAAAAAGATTGCAGCACTGACATACTCAGCCAAGCACTAACCCAAAGCAGCAGAACTAGTGACTGCTCACCACCAATGGAATGAGAAGCTTCTGGAGGAGAAGATTTTTGCCTTCTGTGTATCTAAGGCTTGTTTTCTGCAAAGCAAACACACTTTATCTCCTGAAGCGCCTGTGCCGTTCTGCGGTTGTGTACACACTATAAAGCACATGTGAAGGACAATTTTCCCCTTCAAAGGATTCTGGGCACTGCAGGTTGTTAATGGCCGAGGGTATTCGTAACTCTGCGAGGGGAAAAACTACAATGCCCAGAATTCTTTGAGGGAAAGGATTTGCTTTGAATGTGCTTTCAAGGTATAGTGTATGATGCAGGAAAGGAGAAGGAGGTGTCTCCCTATATATTCCAATAGCCACAATGTAGGACACCTCTATATTATTTTTCAAAATAACAATCCCTCCCTTCCTTCCCAAAGAAATCTAGGGGAGGAAACAATAAAAACAGCAAAACAACACAAACATTTAAAAACATCCTCCCAGCTAAATAAGGTCTAGGTGCAGCTCAGTGTTAGAAACTCAGATATGTAAGTTAGGTGCCAATGGCTAATTAAACCAGGCTTAACGGTCACCAAAACAGAATGCCTAGTTGCCATTTTGGTGGCCAGAAGGCTCGAAAGTTGTATTTTTTCAACAAGACTTTTTGGTTCCTGAAATTCACTCTGATTGTGTAGATAAAATATAATGGATATGATTCTACAGGATGTGTTGCGAGTGTGTGAAAACAGTCAAGATCCAAGGACCCCCAGGTGTGCACCTCCAGGTGATGGAGACATCAGGCCCCATCCTGGTGCCTGGGCATCTTTGCTTGGTCACAAGTGGCCGATAGCCAGGTGCAGAATACGCCTGGGGGATTTCAAAGGCAGTTTCAGTTATCTAACACCTGGGTGGGCAGGAATGTTTTAAAATTCCACATAGGTAAAGGTAAAGGGACCCCTGACCATTAGGTGCAGTCGTGGCTGACTCTGGGGTTGCGGCGCTAATCTCGCTTTATTGGCCGAGGGAGCCGGCGTTTGTCCTCAGACAGCTTCCGGGTCATGTGGCCAGAATGACTAAGCCGCTTCTGGCGAAACCAGAGCAGCGCACGGAAACGTTGTTTACCTTCCCGTCGGAGCGGTACCTATTTATATACTTGCACTTTGATGTGCTTTCGAACTGCTAGGTTGGCAGGAGCAGGGACCGAGCAACGGGAGCTCACCCCGTCGCGGGATTCGAACCGCCAGCCTTCTGATCGGCAAGTCCTAGGCTCTGTGGTTTAACCCACAGCGCCACCTGTGTCCCAAAATTCCACATAGATTTTAATAATGAGGGAGATAAGACACACCACCCAAGGGAGGACATTTCATAAACAAGGAGTCACTAGGCAGCACCCATTGGCAGCACCTACAACAGGGACTCCTTTGCTGTACCCTTTCTATTCTAGGAGACATCAACAGACAAAGCAGCTACATTGGCCGAAAGTTGCATCCTCGGGCAGAAGCGGCCCTACTTAGACAGTCACTAAGGGAAGGATTCTGCTAGCATGTACAGATGTATCAGGCAAGTCTGTCATGCAGTCTATTGTGTGCTCCTCACTTCCAATAGCCTTGGGAAATATTTCCCAAGTTAGATCACAAGATCATCCCACTTCCATGGGTGCTTTATTTCTCTTCAATTCTAATCAAAGTTAGCATCCTAATTTAGCAAAATCCCTCATCTGTATCTGCGAGCAACAGCTGTGCCCAATTCTTTCTTCCTCTTCTTCTCCTTCTCCTTCTGCAGATAAGCTAATCAAGGCAGCCCAGTGCCGCAGAAAAGAATCAGCCTCAGAACAGCGGCACAGAAAAACCTTGCTAACTCAAAGCAAGCTGTTAGTTCTGCCACAGCATCTCCACAGCTATTTATTTACAGTGCAAAGCATCGCATCATCCAGGGAGCTGTTGAACAAACAAGGTAAATAAAGGTTTCTTTATTTAAAGGGCAGGGGGTTAAAAATCAGCCTATGGGAGGAAGCATCACAGTATGCAAATGATGTTCATTTTCCAAGAATGCATTTTTGCAGCCTAGTCTCAGCGCCAGACAACAAGCTACATTAGATATGCAAATACACCACATGGAATACGCACAAATTATGTAAAATGGAGGAAGTCATAAATCTGCGAAGATATGGAAGCGGATCTGAAACATGCATACTGCATGGGAACACAGAAAGCTTCCGCACGAAGCGTGGAAAACTAGCCAATTTCATCCATGGAGGATAAAAACCATGGAAATCCATAGTCCCAGTGACTACTTCAGCCTTGCAAATAAAGTCACAAACGTTAGTAGCCCACAGATACTAGGTGTGCCGAGACATACCTATACAGTGGTACCTCGGGTTAAGTACTGGAGGTCCGTTCTTAACCTGAAACTGTTCTTAACCTGAAGCACCGCTTTAGCTAATGGGGCCTCCTGCTGCCACCACGCTGCCGCTGTGCGATTTCTGCTCTCATCCTGAGGTAAAGTTCTTACCCCGAGGTACTATTTCTGGGTTAGCGGAGTCTGTAACCTGAAGCGTCTGTACTCTGGAGCGTATGTAACCTGAGGTACCACTGTATTAGATACAATATATTAGTGCCACAAAGGGTCAAAAGCAAAGAAAAACCAAGCGCCATATGCTGATTTTCATCTTGCAAAAACACCCCTGCTTGATTGCCAAAAATTCATACTTGCCACAGGCAACCAAGTTAAGCGGCTTTTTACAAGCCAAATATAATGTAAACAGAGTCCATTCACTAGACTTTGCCACCGTTGCTAAAATGAAGTTGCTGGTGTGGATTCTCTCAAAGCTCCCTTCTGACACAACACTAAAAAACCCTGCTTTTTATTTACTGTTTTATCAGTCGTTCCCAAGAGCATGCACCTGCTTCTCCCGGCTGACACACCAAATTTGGAACGTCTGCAGCCAGTCAAACATTCCAACATACAAAACAGTTGTTGTTTTTTTGTAGCCACAGCCACACTGCGTTTGAAACATCTGAACAGCTTAAGCGTTCTGGGGAGGCCCGGTGCTAAAATCCAAAGGAGGTCAGGAATTAAGCAGAAAAGCAGCACAGGGTTGCTCTGATTACACACATTCAGAAGCAAGGAAGAAAAGCTTAACACCCGCCTGGCTAAGGGCAGGCTTGCAAATCACGTGATCTCCAGCTTGCCACGTGACCTGTGGGCAAGGCTACGTTTCCAGTCAAGCAAAGTGAGGTCCTGGGCATGGGATGTAGCACGAGGCGTTCTCGTACCGGTGAACATATTTTACTCTAAGCAAAAAACAGTCCCTACCAGCATTCGAGGAACATCTGGCAGCAGGGAACAGAGAAAGAGAGGAGAGGCAAGGCAGATTTTACATGGAAGCCTAGGAAAGTTGAGCTGCAGAATGAAGGACTGTAAGAGACATACAGTGGTACCTCGGGTTACATGCACTTCAGGTTACAGACTCTGCTAACCCAGAAATATTACCTTGGGTTAAAAACTTTGCTTCAGGATGAGAACAGAAATCACATGGCGGCAGCAGGAGGCCCCATTAGCTAAAGTGGTGCTTCAGGTTAAGAACACTTTCAGGTTAAGAACGGACCTCCGGAATGAATTAAGTACTTAACCTGAGGTACCACTGTATTGCACTTCCTGGTTCCTTGCCAGGGTTCACAATTGTCTAACATTTTTACTCTCTTTTTGTTAGGAAATAGAGGAAAGAAGCTACCAATATTTTTTGCTCTATAAGTTGCACCCGACCATAAGACGCACCTAGTTTTTAGAGGAGGAAAACAAGAAACAAGAAAGCAACGCAAAGCCTCTTGAGCGAAGAGGGAGAAGTGCTCCCACTGTGCTCAAGAGGCTTTGCGTGGCTACCCCCGAAGCCAGAAGAGCAAGAGGAATCGCTGCACACCGATCCCTCTTGCTCTTCCGGCTTCAGCAAAAGCAACGCAAAGCCTCTTGAGCGAAGAGGCAAGAGCACTCCCACTGCGCTCAAGAGGCTTTGTGTGGCTATCCCCGAAGCCAGAAGAGCAAGAGGGATCGCTGCACACCAATCCCTCTCGTTCTTCTGGCTTCAGCGATAGCTGCGCAGCCTGCATTCGCTCCATAAGATGCACACACATTTCCCCTTACTTTTAGGAGAAAAGTGTGTCTTATAGAGCGAAAAATACGGTATCTAGCTAGGCCAGGGTTTGTTTGTAAGGATAGAGATAGGTGTTCCCAACTATCTGATTTCTATGGGGGGGGGAGGAGCTACATTTGCAGAGAATGGTTATTGGGTAGGATGAGAGGGACAATTAACTATTCTTCTGCAGCCCCCTCTCCCTTGCTCTGTCCCCCCCCGTGCACAACCACAGTGGGCAGGCCTGGGGGGTTGGGGGACACTGGCAGACGGTGTGTAACACTCCCCTGAAAATGCTGCCTACTTCATGTGACCAAAGATACGCAGGAATCATGAACTTGTTGGTGTACCATGTGCATGTACTTTTTACACGTGCACAACTATTGCACATGTAAAAAATTGTCACCTGTCTCTCCTCCACAACAACTTCTTGTCAAACAGAAGTGGTTTGGTTTTCCAAACGTTTGTTCTCAGATCTGTATATCAGAAATCCTTGGAGCATTACACAACATATCACAGCATTACTGTTCGAAGGAGAAGCTGAACAAACCTATTCTATGATGTTTTCCTTCAAACAACCAATGTTCAGCTATCCCTTCAAACCATATTTCACAACCAACATTTAAGAAGCACGTTTGAGTTTCTGACAGGGCCCCTGATGCCTAATGCAAGCATTATTCAGAAAGGGTAGAAAGCATGAGAACCATGTTAAAAAGCAGGTGTACATTTGGGGCAGTGAGTGTAGGTTTTACATTTCCATTATGAGCTAAGCCTCGTGTGTATAAAAGCTTTTAACAGGCAAGAGTTGAACATATGAGCCATGAGCTATGGAGAAAGCTACAAGTACTTAAGACATGGATTCAAATTACACCACAGCTTTATTTAACTCACAAGATAGAACACCTATAAAATAAGAATCCAGTTATGAGAAACCAAGGCCACTTACCATATACATCAATTAGAATGTGGAACAAGGACTGCAAAACACTCTGCCCAGTATGGATATGGGAATCTAAGTCTGACCGCTCTGTTAGAAGGCACATTGCAAGCTCAGTTTTATTTGATATAGCCATAGCAAATATATCAATATCCTCAACGGGAAAGTATTTTTTATCGGGTAATTCAAACTATGGACTGCTCTCAATATGGCGCAGAGCTTGCCTCATCTTAATGTGTTGCATATGCAAGGCTTCCGTGCTAAGCGAGCTCAAAGAATAAAACACAAGCCATATTTTCCTCAGAGAGCTGCTTTGTTATTTAGCCTCTCCTATCCCATCCCAGAGCACACAGTGGCCTTTTCATTAGGATGACCGAATGCCTGCTCATGCCTTGGAACCATGAAGCAAAGCTTCCCCCTGCCTTCTCTACATCTCCACAGAGCTGTTTGGTTCTCCCTTTTGTTCTCATTTCCTCCCTCCAACAGGATCCTGCCCTCCCCACCTCCTAGACCCACATTCCTTTTAAAACCATGGTGTGAGAGTAGCTTTCCTGTGGTTACAATCCATGGCGTTGCTGTAATAGTTGAAGGCCCAACATCATGCAGATGGGGCAATATCTATGGCCCTTACCACACACTGCCTGCAGACCTGGATGAGATACTCAGCTGGTTCCTAAACATGAAGCATTAACTTAAGCCAGGTATGGCACTGGTGGAGATCACCTGGGCATCCTTTGGCTTGGAGCATCCGTCTGTCTGGGGAGACAATAGAAGAGTGTGCCTTTGGAGGTGAAGTCAAGCTGTTTGAAGGCTGCAGCGCCTGGTTTTGGCTATTGCAGAGCATTCCATACTGGTGCTGGCAATCGCTACTCTACTGAATCAGCACTTCAGGAAGGGATGCTTGGAACAGTTTCACAAGGCCTCTGAGAGTAAATAAGAAAGGTGTGCATTGATCTACATAAACTAAATTCCCAGTTGTTGTGCAACACCCACAATCACCTTAGGATTAAGGAACAATTTGGGTGGAGGGGTGGTATCTCCTGGTGTTTAAGATTTCAGCACAAAACCCTGTTGACCTCACCTTACTCCTTTATATTGTTACTTCAAATCAGTTCTGAAAGAGATAAGCTGTGGTTCCTAGAAGAGGAAATGATACAATTGGGCAGTTGTGTGCTTCTATATGAAGAAAAGGATCACAAAACACCAGGGATGACATCAGGCAGTTCACAGGATCAGTGAAGCCATGTCTTTCTACTGTATCACGTTCCAAAAAGACTGCTAACCAATGAGCAAAGGAACAAATGGTAAATGTGGTGACAGATTGCTGTTTTCAGTCAACATCAAAATCCAACACACTTTAATGAGTAGCATGCCATTCACCACCATATCAATGCTCGGCAGGTGGAAAAGTGTGAACAGGATATTACCAAGCTGAATTACTTGTACAATCAACAAAACAGTAGATACCCTCAACTTTTCAAGTGATTCCCATGACAAAGAAGCTCTGTGCAAGTAAGCAGCTCTGTCTTCTCCTATTTACACACAGTGAAGCAATCAAGGAGGAATTGTGCAGGTTAGGGAACACTCTCAGCTTACGTTTTCAAAGTGGTGTTTTGAAAACTGTAGTTCCCACTGCCAATCTTGTCTACAGCACCTTAGTTTCTTCTCCAGACCACACTTTCTGCACCCTGCATCTGAAAACATGCATATCCTTGTGCATTATCTTCATAAAGCAGGGCAATGCATTTGAAAGGGGAACAACTAAGGCACAGAGTTAATTAAGTTACTTGGTCAAAGATCACTCTGAGGTCAAGGGATGAATGGAAGTACCCTCAGTTAGGAGGATGTGGACACAGCTGCCAATGCCTCCTTCTTCCCCCAAAGGCGCTTTCTGAGAAATTATCCACAGCACTGCCTGGAACAGACTTCAACCTGGCTCAAGGTTGACTCAATAAAATTCTGAACGGCAAAGCTATTGACAGGCTATGTGCCTGAGCAACAGACCTGGGGGGAAGGCTGGTCTTTGAAACTTTTAGTTTCCATTGCTTCCTCAACAGCATTGAAGCCCTCTTGTTTTCCAACCTTCCAGGAACACAGTGGCTTTTGCACATTGAACCTGCCACATATTAGGATATCTGCCTGAACAAACATCTTTTGATACTTTGGTTCCTAGATTCTTGGAACAAAAGCATATTAGGCAGAGCATTTTCTTTTGAACTGTGAATGTTTAAATCATGCACCCAGGAGCCTGGTATAAATTGAGGGTGCTTGGTACAAAGCCCAGTGAATTAATCTTCATTATCTCTAGACACCCACTGCCAGGAATATACTCAGGATTTGGGACGGGGGCGGGTGGGTAAATAATGCAAATTATGAAAATGAAAATGGTATGTCAAGGGTGACTCCATTCTAGTACCTAAGAACAAGCATCAAGCTCACTCTTTCTCTCTCTCGACTTTTCATCTGCAGCCTGGCTTGCATTTCTACTCTACCATTAAGGTTGCTGAGTGTTCGTGGGCACGAATCACAATTGCATAGCCTAGCTTACCCTACCTCACCTCACCTGTTGTGAAGATAAAGTAGGATAATCCTCATGTTTAATATTCCTTAGTGGAAGGGTGGCAAACTGAAAATAACCTATGCAAATTAACCTACGCTATTTATTTCTGTACTAGCCAGCTAAAGCTCCCTCACACTCGCCAACACAGAATCTGACCCCTTCTAAAAATGAGTATGTTGGGGGTGGAGAGGGGGTGTTGAGTGGAAGCCTACCATTATCTGATGGAAGTGGTTAAAACAATCGTCTAAATACACCAGCAGCTTTTGGAATAACTAAACAGCACAGAGAACTACAGCCTTTTCTGTGTCTTAGCAGTCAAGCATTAAAATCATTATGCCATGTTTATAAACAGCCAATCCCCCAATTGTCTGTAGGAAATTAGAATGGTTTCCAAGCAACCAAGCAGAAAAAGGAGACTTGGCTGTTCTATTCCCTTGCAGGTGATTTTGATGTGCTATAAATGACTATTTTTTGAAGACGTGTGGGCTGGCAGGCAACTTCTGAGAACTTATATAGACAAATATAGCTTCTTCCATCACAAACCTCCTCACCTGAAAGTTTCAGGCTTCTGTGGTTGGTAGGTATTGACTAATCTAATCCTCCGTAATATGCCGCAAATAGAATTAGATCTCTAAATGGCTATTACAATGTAGCTTCCAGTGTATGAATTTCCTTTGGAAGAAATAATTCAGAAGGGCCCCCACACCAACAGACTTCACTCTCTACTGTTGTGGTCCTTGCTTTCCAGGCCAGTAAGATTATTTTACCATGTGGGGTTAGGAGTTGAACTTGCAGTATTACACTCGTCTCAAGCTTTTAACTGAAAGAGATATTTGTATTGGTAAACATGGAGATGGAGACGGAGACAGACAGACAGACATCAATGAACACAGCTTAGGAAAGAAAGCAGAGCAAGCGAGGCACATAAATTCTAATTTTCTGCTCTGTCTCTACATTGATGGTCATTTGCTGAACCAGCCGTAAAGTTTCTAGAATGTATGAATCAGCATTCATATATCCACAACTGGATTGGTCCATGATAGACAGCATTTTCCCCCAGATGGGTGATTTCTAACTCACACAGAGAGAGAGAGAGTGAGAGAGAGGAAAAACCTTCTCCTTTCCAAAAAGAGACAATGAAAAGTGATACAGCGGTACCTCAGGTTACATACGCTTCAGGTTACAGACTCCACTAACCCAGAAATATTACCTCGGGTTAAGAACTTTGCTCCAGGATGAAAACAGAAATCGTGCTCCAGCGGTACGGCGGCAGCAGGAGGCCCCATTAGCTAAAGTGGTGCTTCAGGTTAAGAACAGACCTCCGGAACGAATTAAGTACTTAACCTGAGGTACCACTGTATTTTCCTTTGGGTCTCTCTTGGCCAATCAGGAATTGAATGTCAGGTGTTTGGTTTATTTTAATAATAATTTTTTACTTGGTGGTTACATTCAGAAAATATAGACACAATCTAGAACCTGAACGTAACAACCAAACTATATGCACACATTGTGCGCATTATAATGAGATCTATTGTGATGGGTCATGATTGATTGCCACTTAACTGGGATTTATCCATGTGAAAGGAAGTGCATTGTGACTTCAGAGACAACAGGTGAGAGACATGAATCCCCTGGGCATATTTGCCATTTCCTAGGTTAAGACTAATGCAACACGCACTCAGGGCAACCTCAGGGCAGTTTTCAATTTATAGGCAGTTTGCCTATAAAATACATCCTAGAAGAGGTTTCTCATGCATGAAAGAGAAGATGCGTTTGGCACAACATAAAAGTGTAGAACAGACACATTTTGCCACGAAATATTGGTGGGTACGACAATTGGCATGGCGTAGCTAGCCTCTGAGGACACCTGCAGATTGAAAGACCTAGTTTTTTGGGGGGGAAATAAAGAAAAAAATTTTTTCCTTTATTTCCCCCCCAAAAGCAGGTCAGGGAAACCGAACAAGGTCGAGGAACAGCGGGATGGCGGCGCTGCGCCTCCCTGCTGTCCCCCAAGCTTGTGGGGCTGGCCGATGTCTGCCCGGCGCGAGGGGCGCTCTGCTTCAGGGTACCTCGCCCGCCGGGCGGCAGGCTGCTATCCGCAGCATGGGGAGCCCTGCGGGGAACTCCTGCAGGGCTTCCCACGCTGCGGATGTGTTCCCGAAGCGCCGGGCGCTCTGCTTTCAGGGCGCCCGGCGCGCCGGGAAGCAGGCTGCTATCCGCAGCCTAGACAGCCCTGCGGGACCTCCCGCAGGGCTGCCTAGGCTGCGGATGTGTTCCCGAAGCGCCGGGCGCTCTGCTTTCAGGGCGCCCGACGCTCCGGGAAGCAGGCTGCTATCCACAGCCTAGACAGCCCTGCGGGAACTCCCGCAGGGCTGCTTAGGCTGCGGATGTGTTCCTGAAGCCTGGAGAGCGAGAGGGGTTGGTGCGCACCGACCCCTCTCGCTCTCCAAGCTTCAGCCAAAGCCTGCATCCGCCCCATAGGACGCACCCAGATTTCCCCTTCATTTTTGGAGGGGGAAAAGTGCGTCCTATAGGGCGAAAAATACGGTATAGCCCAGTGGTTTGCAAAATAGCTGTGGCCAAAAATCCAGGATAACTGCATCATATCAGGATGCCAATAACCCTAATTTACTAGAGGTTTTTCTTTCCTGACCACCTTGTAAAGATGGCACGAAACTGCAGCCACCATGTATAATGACACAGAATAATACATTACTCAAGAGAAAGCTGCTCAGAATTCCACTCAGAGTCTCCCTTTAGCACTTCATGCACCCTGTGTGTTTTCTTCTCTATGCAGTGCAGGTTATATGTCAAAGCTGACCCCCTGAAGTTAGAATAGAGTTTTGCCAGAACTGACTAGGAGTGATTACTATACAAGTTGCAAACTTCTTGTAGATATTCTGCACCAGCACACACTCCAGATGCAATTCTATGCGTGCGTTTTAATTGCTCAGTAGTCAGTCGTCCACTTGTGCAACAAACGCCGATTTGCAATGCAAACGGTTGTTGTGGAAGGGCACAACCTGACAGGCAGACCCCCAGAGTTGGCTGGGCCCAAGGGAACACTCCTATGCTTTGGGCTTTAAGAGGTGGACCTATAGTTCATGTCAAATGGATTGCAGCTGTCCAGGGCACAGCTGCTTAGCAGGCGGAAGCTAATACACTCGGCTCCCCTTCTCCCATCTGCCAAGCTGCTTGGAAAGGCGAAAGGAAAATCCCCCCTTCTCCATATATGTTGGGACCCTCATTGCTTCCCTTGCCCTCTTCCAATTGCCCCAATAAAACTATTATTATAATTGCATTTACACCAATATTCTTCCTCCAAAGCATACCTTATAGTTCTCCATCTAGGTAGCTCAATGCTTAGCTTCAGTAATAAGAACTTTGACACTTGCCTTAGGACCATATTAAGCAGGGGTCAGCAAACTTTTCCAGCAGGGGGCCGGTCCACTGTCCCTCAGACCTTGTGAGGGGCCAGACTATATTTTTTGGGCGGAGAAATGAACGAATTCCTATGCCCCACAAATAACCTAGAGATGCATTTTAAATAAAAGCACACATTCTACTCAGGTAAAAACATGCTGATTCCCGGACCGTCCGTGGGCCGGATTTAGAAGGCGACTGGGCCGGATCCGGCCCCTGGGCCTTAGTTTGCCTACCCGTGATATTAAGCATTATCCCATGGCATCTGCAGCATGAACTGTAGACCACTTGAGGGGAACCTTTGGCCCTCCAGATATTGCTAAACCACAATTCCCATCGGCCCCAGCAAGCATGGCCAATGGCCAGGGACAATGGGAGTTTTATTTATTCAAGTTATATCCCGCCCTTCCTCCCAGAGGAGCCCAGGGCGGCAAACACATCCATAACTTTTTTTTTAAAAAGGGTTTTAGTCCAGCAAAATCTGGAGGGCCAAAGTTCTCCCCATGCCTGCTCTGGACCTTCATACCTCTCACCAGTGATGTTGATTTTTCTGGGAAATGTTGAAAGCAGAAGCTTTTCCAGAAAATTTTCCAGTGACTGTAAACTGATTCAGCATACTTGACTTAAGAATCATAAGAGTTCGATAGGACCACAAGGGCCATCTAGCAATGCAGGGACCTTTTGCCTGACATGGGGATTGAACTCACAACCCTGAGATTAAGAGTCTCCTGCTCTACAGACTGAGCCAACTTGTATTTCACAAACATAACCTTTTAAAAGCATGTCATGCAAACTGCTTTTTGCTGAAACGGGTGGAATTTGACATAATTTTAAGTGGGGTATGTGAATGGGGAATGAAGTCCAGGCATACAATGAGACTTTTCATGTTCTCTTTCCCCACGTATCCCCTAAATCTATTCTAATCTGTTATCCCCCAACCCTGCGGAGTAGATTTGGGGGCACAGGGGAAGGAGAGGGAGGGAAACCCCTATTGTGCAAGTGGACCTCGTTTCACACATGCAACAACTTAGATGGATTGTATCCCCGCCCAATGTAAAACCTTTTAATACACAACAAGCAAACAGCTTATGCGTCCTTTAAATTGTTCGGATTTTCAAGGAGAAAAATGAGGCCCTGAAAATTAATTTCTGCATGCCCCCAAAAGTGAGCATTCAGATGATATATGAAAGAATGCTTCCATGGTAGAGTCACCTGAAAAATATATATACTAAATTGTAGCATTGAAATTTCCTAGCTTGACTGGTGTTGTATACATCCGTTATGCCACAAATTAATTTTGTGCAACAATGCGTTTTTTTGAAACAGAAACATTTCAGCAGGTAAAAAAAAAATCACTTCTTGCCTCTACTTTTCCTACTTCGTTTGAAGCTTGCACAGTCTTATCTATTGCTACAATAATTGCTTAACGCATCCAAAATCTGTGAAAATCCCAAAGATTGCACTTGAATTGAGCAAGCATGCTAATTCACTCAGCTTCTATAGCATGGGTAGGCAAACTAAGGCCCGGGGGCCAGATCCGGCCCAATCGCCTTCTAAATCCAGCTCGTGGACAGTCAGAGTGTTTTCACAAGAGTAGAATGTGTCCTTTTATTTAAAATGTATCTGTGGGTTATTTGTGGGGCCTGTCTGGTGTTTTTACATGAGTAGAATGTGTCCTGTTATTTAAAATGCATCTCTGTGTTATTTGTGGGGCATTGGAATTTGTTTGTTCCCCCCCCCCAAAAAAATAGTCTGGCCCCCCACAAGGTCTGTGGGACAGTGGACCGGCCCCCTGCTGAAAAAGTTTGCTGACCCCTATTCTATAGCCACCCAGCCCTAAAAAGCTCTTCAGCAGAACAAATACTCAGGGCAGCTTAGACACAGTGCCCCACATCATGCAGAAAAATGCACATCTGAAACATAAATTTTGGGTAATGTGATTTAATGTGGGCAGCCAAAGACTGAGATATATGCTCGATGAGCACTTTGCTAATATGCTGCCCCTGCTCTCTGTTTAAGATTCTCGGTCATGATAAAACACAGCTGTGCAGCAGTTCAGGCCAGCAATAGCCTCCTAAATAGCAAACAAACCATTTCCTGGAGAAAGGGGTCAGAACTGTCTCATGGCCCATGACTCAGAAACCCATGAATGCTGCTTCTCATTTCACCCTTCTCCCTGCAAGTGGCCAAGTTTAGGTCTGAACAGCCTTAACCTTCCGTGCAGATAACTTCTGAAACAAAGCGAGACGGCCAAAAGCCCAGTTCTGTTTCTCCCCTCCTTGCCACACACCACAACAGGGTGGAAACGTGGTACTAGCTGGTTCCAGAGCCGGATGGCAATTCGGCCAGAAGCAAAGAGATAACCGTAGAGAAACTAGGAGGGAGTCTGGAGAAAGTGGGGGAGCTCATTGAGGGCTATTCCAAAATGGAGAGTTCTGCAAGGACTGTGAGTGATGGCATTTGGAGCACCCTGCCTCTCCCACAAGCTTCCTAGGGAAAGCGGCAAAGTCCTGTCTGATTATTTTTGCCCTAAAGGTAAAGGGACCCCTGACCATTAGGTCCAATCGTGACACACTCTGGGGTTGCGGCGCTCATCTCGCTTTACTGGCCAAGGGAGCCGGCGTACAGCTTCTGGGTCATGTGGCCAGCATGACTAAGCCGCTTCTGGTGTACCAGAGCAGCGCACGGAAACGCCGTTTACCTTCCCACCAGAGCGGTACCTATTTATTTATTTGCACTGAGTGCTTTCGAACTGCTAGGCTGGCAGGAGAAGGGACCAAGCAACGGGAGCTCACCCTGTCGTGGGGATTCGAACCACCGACCTTCAGATCGGCAAGTCCTAGGCTCTGTGGTTTAACCCACAGCGCCACCCGTGTGTGATTATTTCTAGCTGGCAACAAATACCTCAGGAGCACAGCACATGACACAGCGAGACAGCCATCCTAGGGACAAATGCTACCAAGTAGGATGTCAGTAGAAACAAGGTAAAGGTAAAGGGATCCCTGACCGTAAGGTCCAGTCGTGGACAACTCTGGGGTTGTGGACTTCGATCATAAAACACTCACTCACCCTGTACTAGTGACAATGGCTGGATTCAGACATTTCTTCTGTTTTCCTGGTGTCTGCCTATATGATACTTTCCATGTGATCTTTCACACAACATACAAACCATTTCTGGAACTCTAGCGGAAGTTCAGCACTCATTTCCATGTAAATTGCTTCCAGGAAGGAAAAAAAAATCCACGTGGCAACCCTGTTAACCCAGAAAATCACAGGACGAAATTTGGGGCAGCACTCCAGGCATGCAAGTTTCTCCCCCTGGGTATTTTTGGGGAGGGGGGATGGACAGAATTACCGTATTTTTCGCTCTATAAGACGCACCAGACCACAAGACACACCTAGTTTTTGGAGGAGGAAAACAAGAAAAAAAATATTCTAAATCTCAGAAGCCAGAACAACAAGAGGGATCGCTGTGCAGTGAAAGCAACAATCCCTCTTGCTGTTCTGACTTCTGGGATAGCTGTGCAGCCTGCATTCGCTCCATAAGACGCACACACATTTCCCCTTACTTTTTAGGAGGGAAAAAGTGAGTCTTATAGAGCAAAAAATACGGTAATTGCACAGGCATAAGAAGGGTGCTGACGATACCTTCTGTTGTATCTTACACCACGCCTGCTGGTGCAAATGAAATTTACTGTAACACAGCGCTGCATCAATCCAAAAGCCGCAGTTCTGTAATGCAAAAGGTACTTTGCCATTAAAAAGAACATTATAATGCCAGCACTTCTGCCCCAGTTTCTCACCGGGAAAATGAACTCAAATAACACCCACATCCGAATGTGCTCACTGTTAAGAGATTTGCTTCTGTGCTCATTTTAAGATGCTGTTGTTGAAGTCCTAAACCAGGTGTGGGGAATCTGTGGCTCTCCAGATGTTGTTGGACTCCCAGCTCCAAGCCAGCATGTCTAGTGGTCAGAGACAAGGTGATTTGTATGCCAACAACATCTGATAAGCCACAGCTCCCCCAACCGCGCTCTGCTTGACCTAGGACCCCATTATCTACTGCCTACACCTATACTAACCTTTGAAGTATTAAAGACCTTTCTCCCAAGCCCGGCTCTCGTCTCCTGCTGAAGCAGACCGATTTGGAGAGCACCAGAGACAGGACCTACTTTGCAGTGGCCCCTGGACTACAGACCTCTCTCCCTGAAGAAACTCAACAAATACTTCTCTCTGCATGTTCAAGCATGCTTTTGATTTGGATTATTATTATTTTTTTTATCTTCATTTGCTGGCATAATAACACCATGGGAAGGGGATTTCCAGCTCCCACCCCCCCGTCTTTGGAAGGCTTGCAAGTTGCTGCAGGAGAGGGACCGTAAGCAACATTTCTAGGACCAAGGTGAAACCAACACGCTCCTTTGTTATTTTGCCATTTGTTATTTTTTGCTATTTTGTTGTTAATCTTTGCTGTTATTTATTGCACTGAAACATTGTTTTCTGTATGTTATACTTGCTATTGTGTTGTTGTTTCACTATGTTGTTAACAATTTTTTTGTTCTGTTTTTGCAGTTGCATCCCTGTTCTTTGTTGTAAGCCACTTTGTGCATGATTTTTATTTTTATTTTGGCATGGAAAAGTGGCATACAAATACAATTATGAATTAATGAATGCTGATTTTTTTAAAAGGCCTTTTAGCCTTGGTTTTTATCATTGTGAGATTTATATAGCTCATATGATTCTTCCATTGCTTAACATTTTTTCCTAGGCCACCTTGTAAAGCAGCTGGTGTCTAAACCACTGAGCCTAGGGCTTGCCGATCAGAAGGTTGGTGGTTCGAATCCCCGTGACGGAGTGAGTTCCTGTTGCTCGGTCCCTGCTCCTACCAACCTAGCAGTTCGAAAGCACGTCAAAGTGCAAGTAGACCAATAGGTACCGCTCCGGCAGAAAGGTAAACGGGGTTTCTGTGTGCTGCTCTGGTTTTGCCAGAAGCGGCTTAGTCACGCTGGCCACATGACCCGGAAAAACTGTCTGCGGACAAACGCCGGCTCCCTCAGCCAGTAAAGCGAGATGAGCGCCGCAAACCCAGAGCCGTTCGCAACTGGACTTAACTGTCAGGGGTCCTTTACCTTTTTTAGCCACTTCCTGGTGGTACTAATTCATTCCATTTCTAGGCTAGTGCTTCTTCTCCCTACAGGTGCTTGCAGGAAACCCTTGTATTTCTCATCTCGTCATCAGTTTAATATTTATGCCGGGAACTTCTGGAGTATGCTCCCCCAAGGGGCTGCCTGACATACTTTTAACAAAACAATTTGATCTGCAAAGCAGTCTCTGCCCTCCACAAAATGTACAAAGCTCTTCACATATTTATTCCCAGTGCTTCTAGACTACCCCATAACCAACGCTCTCACCGAAACTCACTTGCATTCGCTATCAGCAATTCTTATAACCACCACTTTCTAATGTACACCATTATTATTATTTTCTTCCTTACTTCAGATGGGAGGCGGAGAGGACTGAGGCAGAGAAAATGATGGTTCACCTCAGACCATGAAAGCTGACCAGAGATTTGAACGGAGACTTCCCAATTCACAACTCATAAGTGTAACTGCCTGTGAAGTGGTTAACTACATTCAGTGTTAGAAACTCAGATCTATAAGCTAGGTGCCAAATGGCTCCTTAAACCAAGGCCACAGTCGCCAAAATGGAATGTATAGTTGCCATTTTGGGGCAAAATGGCTCTCAAGTCTTATTTTTCAAATGATGGACTGTGACTGGTTATCAGTTAAACACCTGGCTGGTTCAGATAACAACCTTGAGCTAGGTTAAGAACTTTGAGAACTTAAAAGAAGAAAAGTCACTTGATCCCCAGGGACAGTCCACATAGATATTGGCATATACCAAGCTCTTTTTCTTAATGTTGACACAGATGATTCATAATGTAGTAATATTCTTCAGAACCGTGAGCAGGGCTCTGGGGTGGGGTAAGTGGAGACAAGCTACAGTGGTGCCTCGCAAGACGAAAAGAATCCGTTCCGCGAGTCTCTTCGTCTTGCGGGTTTTTTCGTCTTGCGAAGCAAGCCCATTAGCGGTTTAGCGGCTTAGCGCTACAGTATTAGCGGCTTAGCGATCAGCTGATAAGCAGCTTAGCGATCAGCTGTTAAGCGGCTTAACAATCAGCTGATAAGCGGCTTAGCGATCAGCTGTTAAGCGGCTTAGCCGATCAGCTGTTAAGCGGCTTAGCCGATCAGCTGATAAGCGGTTTAGCGGCTTGGGAGAAAGGGGGGAAAGGAAAAAAACCCCGCAGGAACTCGCAAGACATTTTCGTCTTGCGAAGCAAGCACATAGGAAATTCGTTTTGCGAAGCACCTCCAAAACGGAAAACCCTTTCGTCTAGCGGGTTTTCCGTCTTGCGAGGCATTCGTATTGCGGGGCACCACTGTACAACCATTAATTATAACGTTGTTATAACTGCTCCTGCTCAGGCTGCACAGAAAAAGCATTTTGGTTCCAGGAATTAATTCTGATGTTGCAGAGAAAAAAGATAACTGATAGAATTGTACAGGATGTGGTATTGGTGTGTGAAAACAGGCAAGATCCAATGATCCCCATGCACCTCCAGGTGGCGGAGATGTCAGGCTCCATCCTAGCGCCCAGACATCTTCATTTGGTCTCAAAATGTGCCTGGCTCCTGGCTAATTTCAATCCCTGACTACAGTGTATGGAATTAATTGAAATTCTAGGCAGTTATAAGAGAACAGTAAACCCAGGAAGAAATATTTTGCATACGTATACATACACAAGGGACACGGGTGGCGCGGTGGGTTAAACCACAGAGCCTAGGACTTGTCGATTGGAAGGTTGGCGGTTCGAATCTCCACGACGGGGCGAGCTCCCGTTGCTCGGTCCCAGCTCCTGCCAACCTAGCAGTTTGAAAGCACGTCAAAGTGCAAGTAGATAAATAGGTACCGCTCCAGTGGGAAGGTAAACGGCATTTCCGTGCGCTGCTCTGGTTCGCCAGAAGCGGCTTAGTCATGCTAGCCACATGACCCGGAAGCTGTACGCTGGCTCCCTCAGCCAATAAAGCGAGATGAGCGCCGCAACTCCAGAGTCGGTCACGACTGGACATAATGGTCAGGGGTCCTTTACCTTTTATACATACACAAATGGCTACACACATATAAGCTGTACGGAATTATGATGGCAGAGAAGGGGAAATGTATGAACTGACACATCAATGCAGTCTCCCACGCTGTTTCCCTCAATAAAGCTTTATTGAGCCCACTCACTTCAGAAGCTGCTGTGTGGGGCTGCTTTTCATCAACCCAGCCTGGAAACAGTAAGGGTCTTGTGGGGGAGAGGGGCCAAACACGAAACACCCCCCCCCAAAAAAATGGGAGAGGGTTTTTGTTTTTTAAAGAGTTGCAAGGAGTGCTTCAGGCACAGAAGAGTTTTTCCAGGCCTATTCCTAGCCGCTGTCAAGAGGCCTCTCTTCCACCCACGGGATAGAAGGATGCTTTGTCAGACTGGGTTAAGATCAGAGGATCCCATCAGCAGGTTCAAACCAGCGCTGGAACACAGGGGTGAAGAGAGGCGCAGACCATCAAAGCACATAGCCATACAATGTCACTTGACAGCAAAAAAAGGCCTAGCTCTGATTATGTGGAAAGTCAAATGAGAGGCTGTAAGGTTTGCAAGGTCACACAGGGGAATAAAAGCCCCCCCCCCACAAGACCCATAAGTCCAATGGCAAACAAACAGCAAGTGTTTGTTAACAGAGAGAGCCTTCTGTGGCAAGCAAGACCTTTAACTTGAAAGGACAGAAGAACAAAGGCAGGCCTTGCTCAGTGTGATATTTTCATGCTTCGGGAGCAAAAAAAACCAACAACCCTCCAAGCTATCTACAGCAGACACCAAGAACCTGTAATCTTGTCATAGCTTCCTCTGATCTAAATCGCACAATTCACTTCCTCCCCCTCCACCAGTTTGAATAGCCTTAAAAAAAGAGAAAAGGATCCAATCTCAGTGGTAGGTTTTTAAAAAAATATATATTAAGGGGTGAGTTTATCTGCTTCTGTAAAAAGCATTTCAAGGAGACAATGATTATTCCATAGGCTAGTAACTGACAATCTAGAGTATGCAATTTAGAATAAAAACATGAATTAATACAGCATTGTGAAAAAGTTTTGATGAAAGGTATTTTGAAGGGCGGGGGGCAGAAACACACAGAGCCTTTTGATCACACTTTAAATTTGGTAATGAACCAAATATAAAATGTACCAGCACCATCTTTTAACCCATGCTCTCTGTTGCTGTTGTTGTTTTTTCTGTGCAGGAGAGGTTGCTTAGTCTATACTGAAGCAGTGGTCAAAATATGATAGCAATATGTGGTGTAGTGGTTAAGAGCGGTAGTCTCGTAATCTGGGGAACTGGGTTCGCTTCCCCGCTCCTCCACATGCAGCTGCTGGGTGACCTTGGGCTAGTCACACTTCTCTTAAGTCTCTCAGCCTCACTCACCTCACAGAGTGTTTGTTGTGGGGAAGGAAGGGAAAGGAGAATGTTAGCTGCTTTGAGACTCCTTAGTCACCCAGCAGCTGCACGTGGAGGAGCGGAGATGAGAACCTGGTTCCCCAAACTGGAAGACTACCGCTCTTAACCACTACACCACACTGGCTCTGCTCAGTGCTCCCTTTCACGAGCCGTGTGGAGCATGTGTGTGGTGCTTGCAGGCTTTTCTCCCTTCTCGGGAAGCCGCACACACGCTCCGCGTGGCTCTTGGGGGCTTTTCCAGGAGGTGGGGGAAGGGACTGAGGGGTTAAGCCAGAAGCTAGAACAGCAAGAGGGAGCGCTGCGCAGCGATCCCTCTCCCTGTTCTGGCTTCTGGGATAGCCGTGTGAAGCCTCCTCAGGGCAGCGGGATGAAGGCTCCCCGTGCCCTGAAGAGGATTCGCGCAGCTAAGCCAGAAGCTAGAACAGCAAGAGGGATCACTGTGCAGTGCTCCCTCTAGCTTCTGGGATAGCTGTGCAGCCTGCATTCATTCCATAAGACACACATACACATTTCCCTTTACCTTTTAGGAGGGAAAAGGTGCGTTTTATAGAGCGAAAAATACCGTAACTGGCAATTTTGACCTCTGTGTATAGTTCAATGAGAAACAGCCACTGGCAGAGGTGGGGACCTGATGGATGAATGCACATGGGATAAGACAGTTGAAATTTTATAGCAGAGGTTGGATGGTCATCTGTCCTGGAGATTCCTCCATTGCAGGGGGTTGGACTAGAGGATCCTTAGGGTCCTTTTCCAACTCTACAATTCTGTGATTACAGAGACCTGCGTTTTGGAAGGATCCAATACTATATTTGACTGCACAGCAGCTGGTGAAGTACTGAGTTATGGTGCACTGGAGGACAAAGCTCAAGACACAGTATGCAGTCACCTGCCACAGGCAGAACAGCATGACAAGGATGCTGCAGTCACATGGCTTTGATTGGCAGCAGACCCCCGCCGCCGGTTTATTCTCTGCCTGCGAAGAGAAGCATTCAGTGCACGTTTCATCGCCAACACTCACACCACCAAGTGCCCTTGGGAAGGGAAGGATTACCATCAGGGATCCCCCAGAGTGGGCAGCTGCTGTGCCACGCTCCAAAGCCCGCTTCCCTGCTGGCACCAATAATCCCAAGCTGTGCCAAGTTTGCAAGAGGCAACGGTCCGCAGCCTGGCCTGTATCTGCTCCCACTTGGGGCCCTTCCAATCCTGAGCTCAGAGCAGCGTTTCACAAAGGGGTGTGTGTGTGGGAGGAGAAACAAGAGAAGGAAGAAATAACTCTGCCCGCTTCCTTTCCCCAACCGCCAGCTACAGGGCTGATAAATGGCCGCTCAGTTTCATCCTGGCACGGCGCCCCGCGCACTCAGCCCCCAAAAGTCCTCTCCAATATGGCCTAATATCACCAAGCAGGGAAAACTCTGTGGTCTTGCAAAAGGCATGCCTCCACATGGGACTCTGTAGAAACCTTTGTATTTAGAATGGTCATCACACATAGTCCCTGTTATAAGAATTTTAAGGTCATATATATGTATATAATTAATGTTCATAAATGTATCAATGTCTGGAGCAGCACAGGAAGACTTTCCTGAAACCATTTTGACTCCCAAAGTGACCAAATGTTTTCTCTGCAAAAAGGGAGGGGGTGAGGGAACTTTCCCATTATTTCAGGAAGTGGGTAATCACCATTTCAAAGGAATGGGCAGACCACCAGGAAAGGCAATCAGTTAAGGCATTATCAGAAAACCTGCCAGACAGGAAAAACAACAACACTCAAATTTCTGTTGTAGACCGCCTTCTCTGTGATGTGGGTATGATGTTTGTGGAGGGAGGTCTTGGGTTACACCCCTTCTGCGATGTATGAATGATGTATGGATGCGTGGTCTTGAGCTCCAAGGCAGGGAATTTAAAATGTCTGCCAGAAGCGGCTTAGTCATGCTGGCCACATGACCTGGAAGGTGTCTGTGGACAAATGCCAGCTCCCATGGCCTATAGAGTGAGATGAGCACGCAACCCCAGAGTCATCCGTGACTGGACCTAATGGTCAGGGGTACCTTTACCTTTATATAAGGGCAGGCACACCTTTGTTCTGGGTCCTCCTCCTTTCCTGCATGTGAGTTGCAACAGATCAATAAAGATCAGGCTTACTAGCTGCTTTGCTTCTCAATATTCTCTGGTTGGCCTCTGTTATTTTCTCCTACCAATAGGGAACCCACGTAAGGACTCTATATGGGCTCTTGGATACCCCATAAGGGAAGAAGGGCAGTTTTTGTTAAAACATCCCAAATCACAGTAACCTTGGCATGCTGGTTCTCATTCAATATTGTTTACACTGACTGGCAGCAGCTCTGAGGGTTTCAGGCAGGAGTCTCTCTCAGCCGGTGTTAGAAATTCAAATATATAAGCCTGGAGCCCACTGGTTCCTTAAAGGAGGGTTAAAGGTAAAGGTAAAAGGACCTCTGACCATTAGGTCCAGTTGTGGCCGACTCTGGGGTTGCAGCGCTCATCTCACTTTATTGGCCGAGGGAGCCGGCGTACAGCTTCCGGGTCATGTGGCCAGCATGACTAAGTCACTTCTGGCGAACCAGAGCAGCACACAGAAACACCGTTTACCTTCCCGCTGGAACGGTACCTATTTATCTACTTGCACTTTGACATGCTTTCGAACTGCTAGGTAGGCAGGAGCTGGGACCGAGAAACGGGAGCTCACCCCGTCATGGGGATTCGAACCGCTGACCTTCTGATCAGCAAGCCCTAGGCTCTGTGGTTTAGACCACAGCACCACCCGCCAAAACAGGATGTCTATTTGCCATTTTGGGGCCAGGTGGCTCGAAAGTCGTATTTTCCCAATACAACTTTTTGGTTCGTGAAATTCATTCTGATTGTGCAGATAAAATATCACTGATAGAACTCTAAAAATGTGGTATTAGTATGTGAAAACAGGCAAGATCCAAGGGTCCCCAGGCACGCACCACCAGATGGTGGAGACGTCAGGCGTCATCCTGGCACCAAGGCATCTTCACGTGGACACAAGTGGCTGATACCCAAGTGCAAAATGTGCCTGGCGAATTTCAAACGCTGCTCTCAGCCCTATCTGAAGAAGCTGCGGATTGAACCTGGGCGCTTCTGCATGCGAAGCAGATGTTCTATCACAGCCCTTCCCCAGTTTGTTACCTCCCCATCATAGCAAGGCAAGGATGAGCTGAGCCACGGGTAGGCAACCTAAGGCCCGGGGGCCGGATGCGGCCTAGTCGCCTTCTCAATCCGGCCCGCGGACGGTCCAGGAATCAGGGTGCTTTTACATGAGTAGAATGTGTCCTTTTATTTAAAATGCATCTCTGGGTTATTTGTGGAGCATAGGAATTCGTTCATTCCTCACCCCCAAAAATATAGTCTGCTCCACCACATGGTCTGAAGGACAGTGGACCGGCCCCCTGCTGAAAAAGTTTGCTGAACCCTGAGGTGAGCTCACTTGATATCCTCAGCCATCGTGAACCATCACCTTTCCCTCTCTTTGACCCCTTACTTACTACTCCCAATCTCAATTGTCACCTTATTCTTCAAACGCCACCAAACTCTTGCCTTTAGCTTTTCTGCAGCTCATGTCTGCTGCAGGAATGGCAGAAGGAGAGGAAGGAGAACAGAATCAGAACAACTCTATAGTTATCCCGAAAAGTCAACCACAATGGCACTGGCGAAACTGAAAGGGCGGCTAATTTCACAATGTCACTCACCCAAGTTCCTTCATGAACACACAGTTGTCAATCGTATATAATGCTAAGTCATGCATGGATACTTTAGCTAAGATTCCTGTATTGTTCTCTTCCAACTCTACAATTCTATGACTCTACTGTATGGGATTCTGGAAGAGAGACTGAAGCTGCTTTGATCTTGCCTGGTCATTCTGCTGCTGTGCTAAGTCACCGTTTGGCTTACCTTGTTGTCCCAACCTATGCTAGGGGTTTCATTTTCCAAAGTAAATCACAGGACAAACCATAGTTGCAGCTCACAGTTTGTTTGGGGAGAGCTAAACCACAAACCCGGGTTCAGATAACCCAGAGGGTGGGAAACAGTTTTGGCTCCACGGCCCAGATCCTTATCAGGACCTGACTATCCAGCCAAAATTAACAGGTGGAAGGAGCCACTCACCTGGCAATCATGTGACATTATTTTGGTTGACAGCCACAATCCTGTTCGCTCAGATCTTAAAGCTGGAGAAGGAAGCCTTTAAGACTGGACTTGGAAGGAGAAAAGCTTTCGCAAGCCCCCTCCCAAGTTCCCAATCTTCCTCCGATTATAAAGTGGGGGGAGAGAGAGGCTCACAAAGGCTTTTGCAAGCCTCCCCACTTTAAGATTGGGACTTGCAGTTCTCTCCTGGAAGCCCTAGCACGAACTCTCTTGGATTCCATGTCCTTAACCAACCTTTCAAATGCATCTGCACAGTGAATGGTGTGCAAAGTTGGAACAAGTTAAAGTTGGGGTTCTGAGGATAAGTTATCCCTGTAGAAGTTGGGTGACATAATTACAAATGACATAGTTTTCAATAGGAATGAGGTGATCCTCACTGGTTGTTGTTTTATGCCTACGTTTGGTGCACTTTGAGACTGTACCCCTCTAGCAGCACAATGACTTACCAGTGCAAAAGCAAAGAAGTCTTACACTAATCTACAAAAACCAGAAGCTCTCCTAGCTTTGCCTGTGAATCAGAGGTCAGAAGTGCCAAGCAAGAAGCCCAATACAACTGTGCATTGTCTAAGTGCTTCCTTCCTGTCAATATGCTTTAGTACAATACTACTACTCTTCCACACACACACACCCCCACTCCTAACACATGCAGCTGAAACCAGCACACCAATCACCAGCTAAACTTCCAATACAATATTTTGCAGCAATCCCAGCAACCTGGATGTTATCTGCATGCACAAACACACATCACACACGGTGTACATGAAGTTTTTTTGTATGCTTTTGTCCATCACGCTGGTCCAAAATGTGGCATAAAAAACTGTCATTTATTTAATAGCATCTGTCAGATAACTTCTCCCGTCCAAAGTGAGAAAGAACTGAGCAGCTCTCAAGCAATAACTGTGAAGGATTTAATCCCAATACTGGGTGATACACTTTTGATTTATGACAATGCAGTTGACTTCATAAAATATAACATCCACTCTGGAACACTCTTACGTCTGCCATCAGAAGGACATAAGGACACTATCAGTGACTTTTTAAAGCATTCTTCAGGCATAGAAACCTGGTTGCACATGGAACTTTATAGGAACTACAAGCTTTAACAAAGGTGTTGGCTGCTTAGCCTAATGTCCCACGGTCTGCCCTACAGTCACAGTACCCCAAACAGTTTAATTAATGAAAATAATAAGAGAAGACTCAAAGACACTGAGTGACATTCACCAACTGCAACCTGTCAGCGCATAACAGGGCTCCCTGCTCCCATGCACGGCCTGCACCCTCCTAAAATCTGCTCCAGAGGGTTGGGAAAACCCCTAAAACAAATTTAGAGGGCACATTAGGGGAGGGGGAACATTTTTTTGTGCAAAGGGAAATCCTTTCAATGATAGAACAAGAGACTTAGCATTATGTCGGATTCCATCTATGATGTGAATAGTGGCGCAGAAAGCTCTCTTGCAAACTGATGCATAAAAGCTTTGGTCTTGCAGACGTTTCCAAATTACAACTTGCCTCCTTCTGCACATGTACTGTATGCACACGTGACGGCAAAGAGGAGGCATTGCTAGAATTGTAATCAAGACACAAAAAGCGCCAAACATCACAGTAGAGTTAAACCGGGAGTTTGCATTCTCACCTTCTATCCCTGTTTGCTCAGTGAAAGATTTGCATCGTTGTCCTCCATTCTTTTTGTTGTAGTTTTGCAGGCAACAATTCTTACAAGTATCAGAAGTATCCAACCTGGTGCCTTGCAGATGTTGCGGGACTCCAAGTCCCATCAGCCCCTGATCATGTGGATTAGGACAATGGGAGTCCAACCACCTCTGAAAGGCATCATTGCTGGCTGTTAAATGCTGACTACCTTGCATTATTTCACGGCCTGTTTTTATAAAACCAGCCCGTGCATCTGATAGAACTGCAGGAGCCATTGGTACTTATCCCACAGAGGTTTCACATTAGCCGCTTAATGGAGACATAAGTATCTCCCACTTTCTGCTGATAAACAACCAACATTACCTTCAGCAGCAATTAGATAAAGCACAGAGCATCTCTCTCCTGGGATGCTGGTAAGTAATTCTGTCCCACACAAACAAGTTTCACACCGCAATCTGCAAGAGGTCATGAATCCAAATGCCCCTTCAGCACTATGAGTCTGGGGAAGCCCAGCTCCTCCCTCCCTTAGCCAGCAAAAACAAGCTTCCCACTTATTTTCTTCTGGGCAAAGCACTCTGACCCCGCAACTGCAAGAAGTCCCAAACTACATCCTACCAGCCTGGCTTTCACTCCCTAGAAATGACAGTATGGCCCCAAAGAAGGGCATTTCAGAGTGGTGAAATGAATCAGAACAGGAACATCCCCTCTAAACAACAGACAACTTTGTATTTATCTGGGGCAGCTAGAAGCTGAACAGTCTGGTGGAAACTTAAAAGACTAAACAAATGGATCTTAGCAGAAGTTTTACAGGGCCAGGGGCCACTTCAGATACATACCATGTTACTGTCTGTGTGTGTTTGAGTGTACAGTAGGGCTGGGCAAAACTGGTTTCAAGTCCACATTGTGATATCGGTTTCATAATTTTTGACCTGGCAATATATCACATATCATGCTGTGTGTTTGCGCGCTATGCAAAAACCATGATGCAGGGAAAAACGTGAAGCCAGCCAATGCCTCTACATAGCTCCATCTTCATTTCAGACATCGTGATAGCTCGGTATATTGTGATGTTTTTAGCTGGTGATATATTGCAATGTTGAAAACCAGATATTGCCCAGCCCTCGTATGCAGAGATGGAATGGGGGGGGGGGAGGAGAGAGGTTATTATGCAGTAAATCTAAAAGTTTGTGTTATATAGAAATTTAATAAATAATAGTAAAAAAAAAAATCATATAGTCCCATCACAAATCACCAGCTACTGCTCCCAAAGAAGGTTTTGTCAAATGCATCATCAAGGATCTACAAGCCAGCCTTGAGGGAGGAGTCTTCCACTATGCGGATGAAAGGGCCTGGGACTGTTTACAACAGGCATAGGCAAACTTGGCCCTCCAAATGTTTTGAGACTACAATTCCCATCATCCCTGACCACTGGTCCTGTTAGCTAGGGATGATGGGAGTTGTAGTCCCAAAACATCTGGCGGATTGAGTTTGCCTATGCCTGGTTTACAGACTCCCCCCCCCAAACACACACACACACACACACACACACACACACACACACACACTCTTCACATGCAATGGCTCACTAGTAGCACTACATCATTCATCAGGAATATAACCCAGGAACTAGCCTCCCCCACCCTAAAACAACCCCAATGCCAAGTCTGGCCCTCATATCTACTCAAGATACACTTATCATGTGGCCTCAACCTTACCACCAAGGGCCCTTTCACCCTTACATGTTTGAACATGATATATGCCACCACTACTTTCCTAAGACGATGTGTGCCAGCAATGCCCTCCTGCCATGTAGGTTGCCGGGCTACCAGTACAAGAGAATGGATGTACCCAAATCAGACATTAAAAACAGCTAACACTCAGAAATCAGCACAGAAGCAACTCAGGTTTTCCTGGGCATTCAGCAAGACACTTGCCAGACTTCAGCAAAAAGGTTTCAAAGGGAGATTAAAGCTGCCAAGCTGGAATTCATGTGCTCATTCTATCCTATCAGACTTGGTCTCAAGAAGGACTGGGAGTGACAGGTTCACTACTGAACGCAACTGCCCCTCTTTAGCATACAGGGAAGAAGCTATTCATCTCACTTTGCAAATTCATTAGCAGCCAGGAGCAGGCTACTCCCACCTTGTTTGGCACTTCTACTCTCAACTGGATCTCTTTTGCGCATGCTCTGCATAGCATTTTAATACAACGTCTTCCTCGCACTGCATTTGCTGGCTTTCCTGTAGCAGCATCCTTCCAGCGGTCGTCATGTGTTTAGCAGCTGGAGAGAACACACTAGCTCAACCCACATGCACCCCTGTCCTCCTTCATAAATTGCAGGATGATTATCTGAAGCAAGAAAGCCTCCAGTACACGTGCAGGTGTCTGCAAGATGGGGAACCAAGGGAAATCAGGGTTCTCCATTGCATGGGAAGCCCATACTGGGAGAAGCAGGCTCCCTGCTTCAGACAGGCAAACTCATGCATGGGACAGGGATGATGGTGGCAGAGCCAGAGACCTCATCCCCATCCCATGTTGCTTTCTCCAGCTTCTGAATGCCTGTACAGGGCTTCTCTCTTCCTGTGATCTGTCAATCAAGCAGAACACTTCATGCACCTGATGAAATAGAAAAAAAACTTACACCGCAATAAATTTGCAATTTTTCAGATGCCATAGGACTATCTTCATCTCCAAGGCCAACTCAGATCTCAACCGCATTGCCGTTTCAAGCAATTTTGTAGTGAATTAAGGGAAGCCTTATTTTTAGAGAGATCCAACCCTCCTTGAATACTAACTTATGAAATAGCAGAATCTTTTTTCCGTTCCTAATATTTGACCGATGCTGGAGCCTCTGGACCAAGTATATTCACTTTCTACAGGCAATTATGCTTATTCTTAATTGGGGTTTTCTGCAAATTCAAACAGATTGGGATTCAGAGAGGTCAAATATAATACCCAAGGGTCGATTAACTCTAGTTAAAATCGAGAGAATGTGTTAGTTTAATTGTGCCATTCCTGACCCACACATGTTGTGATCTGAATTCTCTATTAGCAGCAATGCCTTGTAGCTGTATCTTGAAACCCTGTTTCAGGTTGCACCAGAGATGTTTACCAGCTATCCGTCTTGTGACAACAAGCTTGCAGCAAATCTGTTAACAACTAGAGCACACATCAGGAGGCTGCATTTTCTTTTAGGCTGAGCACGCCCTATCTTAGGGCAGCAGAAACCACCACAAAACATACCACATCCGTAATGTTTAGTGAGCAAATAGCTGGCGATTGCTTATCTACATCAGTCTTTAATGTGGAGAGATAAAAGCCATATCATAGAATCATAGACTTGTAAGGGACTCTGAGGATCATCTAGAGTCCAACTCCTTGCAGTGCAGGAATATGCAGCTGTCCCATATGAGGATTGATGAACCTGCAACCTTAGCGCTATCAGCACCAGGCTACAACCAACTGAACTGTATCTTGTCATTGCTGTGAGTGCCAACCCACAGTTCAAGATATTAGGGCTGGAATCATGCATTGCAAGCTGTTCTCCAATCGAGTTGCAGACCCTCTCTTTCACCTCTGATACTGCTCCACAGGGACGCGGGTGGCGCTGTGGGTAAAACCTCAGCGCCTAGGGCTTGCCAATCGCTTGGTCGGCGGTTCAAATCCCCGCGGCGGGGTGAGCTCCCGTCTTCGGTCCCAGCTCCTGCCCACCTAGCAGTTCGAAAGCACCCCTAAAGTGCAAGTAGATAAATAGGTACCGCTTTATAGCGGGAAGGTAAACGGCGTTTCCGTGTGCTGCGCTGGTGCCGGCTCGCCAGAGCAGCTTCGTCACGCTGGCCATGTGACCCGGAAGTGTCTCCGGACAGCGCTGGCCCCCGGCCTCTTAAGCGAGATGGGCGCACAACCCTAGAGTCGGACACGACTGGCCCGTACGGGCAGGGGTACCTTTACCTTTACTGCTCCACAAGGGCCTTCAAACCTTCAGGAGCACGTGGAGGTTTTTTTTGCGGGGGATGTGAGGGACTGCAGTGAGAAAGCAGTGGGGCTGAAAAGCCTCAGTACTGGGAGCCAATGTAGGTCTTTCAGGACCTGTGTTATATGGTCTCGGCGGCCACTCCCAGTCGCCAGTCTAGCTGCTGCATGGGACAGTTGCATATTCCTGCCTTGAAGGGACTACAGTGGTACCTCAGGTTAAGAACTTAATTCGTTCTGGAGGTCCGTTCTGAACCTGAAACTGTTCTTAACCTGAAGCACCACTTTAGCTAATGGGGCCTCCCGCTGCTGCCGCACCGCCGGAGCACGATTTCTGTTCTCATCCTGAAGCAAAGTTCTTAACCTGAGGTACTATTTCTTGGTTAGCGGAGTCTGTAACCTGAAGCGTATGTAACCCAAGGTACCACTGTAGCCTGCAGCTGCCCTTTGGATTGACTCTTCTCTGTGGAATAAAAGTATAGCGGAGAATACAGTGGTACCTTGGTTCTCGAACTTAACCCATCCTGGGAGTCCGTTCGACTCCTGAAACGGTTCGAAAACCAAGGTGTGGCTTCCGATTGGCTGCAGGAGCTTCCTGCACTCAATTGGAAGCCGCAGACATTCAGCTTCCAAAAAAAGTTCACAAACCGAAACACTCACTTTGTGGCATTTGGGAGCCAAGCTGTTTGGGAACCAAGGTACCACTGTACCTGTGCCTATGGAATACCCATGGTCTACTTTATGTAAACAATGTTGGGGCTTTGCTTCCTGAACCCAAGCCCCATTCATTTCTTTTCCAGGAAAACACCTAAAGACTGGCTGCCGTCATGTCCAGTTCAATGCCATTATCCGCCTTTTCTTGCTACGGATCTGCCAATGCCATTACCGACTTATGCCTCAAGCTAGAATCGCAGCCAATCACATGCCTCAGCCACACGGGGAATGACTTGAAGTCCTGGATTCAATTAGCCCAGTTTGGATTCAGCATTCCTGCCAACGGAATGGGAAAGCTTTCACCCGCAAGATGCCAAACCTTCCGCGGACAGAATATTTTGAGACGTGCAACCAGCGGTAGTACGACTTGCACTACACCGTGAATAAAAAATTAATTACGGCAGTGCCGCAATGAAACGCAACCACCTGCCAAGGTGGAAGGTAACATCTGACCAGTGCAGCGTACGAGAAGAACTCAGGTGGGCATTCAACTAGGTAGGCATTCTAAATTTGGGTTAGCAACTTCCAAAGGAACAAACAGTAGTTCCTCTACATTAGAATCACCACGCTGAGGGAATTAATTAGGAAAAAAGAAAAGAGCTACTGCTTAAACTACTCTTTGTACTTTGTGCCAGTCCTATACAGTGGTACCTTGGGTTAAGAACTTAATTCGTTCTGGAGGTCCGTTCTTAACCTGAAACTGTTCTTAACCGGAGATACCACTTTAGCTAATGGGGCCTCCCGCTGCTGCCGCGCCGCCACCACACAATTTCTGTTCTCATCCTGAAGCAAAGTTCTTAACCTGAGGTACTATTTCTGGGTTAGCGGAGTCTGTAACCTGAAGCATATGTAACCTGAAGCGTATGTAATCCGAGGTACCACTGTACATGTATTGGACATAAGAAAAGTCTAGTTTCCCCTTAAAATACATGTGTGCACTGAGTGGAAACGGATTGGGTGCTGAGACCTGGCCTGCAAGATTTGTGTTTTTTAATGGGAAAATGTGCTCACCCTTTATACTAACACACACACACACACACACACACACACACATCATATGTCTAGCTTTTAACCAGCATGTAGGCTGCTATTATTAGATGAAGATTGTGAAGTAAAAAGTGAATAAGGCAAGCCATATGCGTGTGGGTGCGTGTGCAAAACGCAGCAGAAGGAATAGAAAACAGAATTTCTGATGATCTCTACTAAAGGGTTTGCCAATACAATTCTTAAAGTGATAGCAGAGGCAATACTGTGTTGCCTAGCAGCATGAATTCTTAGATCTTTTACAAGGCTTTGCAGTAGTGTATGCTTCCTTCAAAAGGAAAACGAAAGTATATCTAGCCCAGCAGGTGTTAAGTGCTCGGGATGCAAACTCCTGCCAGCTATGTACAATCCATAGATAAATCTATTGCTTTATGTAATCTGAACTGAATATATGTATTCATAAAGGACTATAAAAAAAGGAAGTGTTATTGCCTGACCTACACAGACTCGTGAATTAAGATTCTTTCCAACTATTTTTTTACCAGAGCGGTAAAAAAAACACCTAGGTAAATACTATGCCGAACCTGACTTGAATCTTTAAGAAAATAACTTTTATTGAACCAACTATGTTAGAGAAGGTTTAGTAGGCTTTAAGTTGCACAGAAGGCGCCTTCAGGCAGAAAAGCATCTCAGCCAGAGGCGAACTTCAAGCTTGAGGTTCCCACAGTTTCCAGGGAATGAACTTGAGTGACCTTTCCTCTAGTACTTATGAATGGAGCATCTTCCATACAAAGCCTAAGTACTCTGCTTTTCCTGGCCCATATTCTAACAAATTGACAGCAATAAGGTAGTTGTAAAAAAAGTCACTGACATCTTCATAGCAATTGCAATGAGCTGGCCTACATACCACCAGGCTCTGAAAGAATGATGAGAATCAGGCAGCCTCTATTAGAGAGGGAAAGGGAACGGTTCTCACCTTTGAGGCTTTCAGAACTAATTAAGGGCACATTTACATAACTGCAGGACCCTTGGTTATTAATAGTAATTTTGAGGAACCGCCAGCAGGGAAAGAGACTTCCAAATACATCAAAAGGCAAAGTGAGCGCTAAACATTGTTATCATAGGTTAAGTAATCACACAGGAAACCTTTGAGACAAGTCCCACAGTGAGGGTCAAGTCCCAGGTGGAACTTGGAGCAGCACACATGTACACAACTTCCTGCCGACGAACACACACAGTGGTACCTCAGGTTAAGAACTTAATTCGTTCTGGAGGTCCATTCTTAACCTGACACTGTTCTTAATCTGAAGTACCTACCTTCCCACTTTTCCATTTTTGGAACAAGCACACAGCCACCCAAAAGAAATGTTCGTTTCCTAAATCAGTGGTTTCAAGTCTTTTTTTGTACGGCAACCCATAAGTCCAAATTTACTTTGTGCAGTAACCCATCGCTACATGAATTTTGGACCACAGGTCTTCAGTGGCCATTGGTTTTGTGCATTTAAAATGCAAGTCTGCCTATTTTACAACCATGATGTGAGACGTATATGCAACATACTGAATTTGATGAAATATTTATAGGGCTTACAAAGATAATCATTGTTGTGCTCATGGAGTGTAAAAACAACCAACACCTGATTGGTAAGTAATATAAATTTGGTGCTTGACCTCTGGAGGCGCACTCCATTGTCGTGAGACAGACAGATTGCAACAACAACTTTATAAATTCATTCCACAACCGCAGTTACACAAGGCCTGCTAAAAATACTTGTAGTTCATTATATCTTATGATTTTTTCATGATGAAGTCCACTTTGGCAGGTATCAATGGGATGACAGAGCTTGCATTTTGCCAAAGAGCAGGTGAGTGCAGGGTTTATTGGTTGTCAGACACAGTCTCAGATCCTTCCCGAAACATAGCTTACTTCTGCATTTCAGTCTTCATAGCAGTCGTTGCTGAAAATCCTGCCTCCCAAAGGTATGGGCTACCAAATGGCAGCGGCGCAGATACTTCTTCATCAACAAGTTTAGGCTACTCAGTGGCAACATGAAACCAACATTCTGATAATTTTTGGAAATGCTGTTGTCTTTGAGGATCCTGTCACGTGATAGTTCAATGAGCCATTGTTCTTTCTGCACAAGTGGTGAGATCTGGTTGCAAATGGCCTTCACATACACTCAAATTTCTTTGTTTCTAAGCAAACTACAAATTACCCTTGACTATTAATGGGTTCACCTTGCCAACAAAGGTCCGTATAGTAAAAGCTATGGTTTTCCCAGTAGTGATGTATGGAAGTGAAAGCTGGACCATAAAGAAGGCTGATCACCGAAGAATTGATGCTTTTGAATTATGGTGCTGGAGGAGACTCTTGAGAGTCCCATGGACTGCAAGAAGATCAAACGTATCCATTCTTAAGGAAATCAGCCCTGAGTGCTCACTGGAAGGACAGGTCTTGAAACTGAGGCTCCAATACTTTGGCCACCTCATGAGAAGAGAAGACTCCCTGGAAAAGACCCTGATGTTGGGAAAGATGGAGGGCATAAGGAGAAGGGGACGACAGAGGACGAGATGGTTGGATAGTGTTCTCGAAGCTACCAGCATGAGTCTGACTAAACTGCGGGAGGCAGTGGAAGACAGAAGTGCCTGGAATGCTCTGGTCCATGGGGTCATGAAGAGTCAGACATGACTAAATGACTAAACAACAACATTACAGCTTGCCTCTGATGCAAACTCTATTAGCACTTTGTGGCAAACTGTCCCCAGAAGCATCACCAGCCAGCAGAGAGTTCCCAATGAGAATCACAGAATAATAAAATTGCAGAGCTGGAAGGGACCACAAGGGTCATCTAGTCATTGCAAGGCAGGAATCTTTCACCCAACGTGGGACTCACGATCCAGAGATTAAGCAGTGTCATGCTCTACCAGAGTCTTTCAGACATGCGGTTACAAGCATCAACACAGAATTATAATAAGCCAATAAAACAGCTTTAAGAGGTACTCCTCTTACAGTAAGAGGCTGCAAGCTATAATTATTTGGGATTTACTTATACAGTGGTACCTCAGGTTACATACACTTCAGGTTACATACGCTTCAGGTTACAGACTCCGCTAACCCAGAAATAGTGCTTCAGGTTAAGAACTTTGCTTCAGGATGAGAACAGAAATTGTGCTCCGGTGGCGCGGCAGCAGCAGCAGGAGGCCCCATTAGCTAAAGTGGTGCCGCAGGTTAAGAACAGTTTCAGGTTAAGTACGGACCACCAGAACGAATTAAGTACTTAACCTGAGGTACCACTGCAAAGCCCGCAACCCGTCTGCCCAAGCTTTGCAACCCACTTGTGGGTCAAAACCCACAGGTTAGGAAACACTGTTCTAGACTATCAGCCTAAGAAGACCCACAGCCATGAAGTCCTCAGATGATCAAGTCACCATCTCTCAGCCTAACCTAACAGGCTTGGTGTGAGGATAAAATGCAGAACCACATATGCCATCTTGAGATTGGCAGTGGGATGGGGTGGGAGAAAAAAACAGAAATGCAATCAACAAAGACCCAGAGCAATGAAGAACTCTGTCACACCATTACCAAGAAAAACCAGTATATGGAGAGTAAAGGAAACACAACAGAACTGGCTCCAAATACAGAGATGAGAAAATACAGCAAACACTGTGCATCCAGAATGGATAGCAGCGTATCTGAAGTTAATAGGATCGCTACTTACAAATAGATTTCCACCCAAACAAGGAACTGAGGGGAAAAATAAAGGATCCAGCTATCTGAAGAGTAGACAAGGAGGGTTTCTAGCATATCACACATGCAAATAAGAGAGGGTTAGTTTTGCAGGGGGGGTTTTTGGGGGGGAGAATGTTATATTTTGTGGGCCTGAGGGAGATGGGGAGAGGAGGGCGGAGTCAAGCTTTGGGGAAGCCAATGGAAAATGTAACTGCCTTTGCATGTGCAAGAGCAGAGCGAAACATAACCTTCAGGCAGGACTCAGAAAGATGCCTTATTAACACAGAGACGCCTGCTTCTTTAAAAAGATTTGCAAAATTCAAATGACAACTCTCATCGTCGAATGCACGCGTCTATTTTAATTTGCAATTCAGGTCAATTCCCCCCAAAAGGGTGGGGTGGGTGACGGATGGAGGGGATAAAAAGCTACACAGCTTAATATTTAAAATCAGAGCCACTGAATCTTGCCCACAGCACAGAGGACACAGGACCTGGCATGTTTGGGTTTTTTTTCCCTAGGCTGCCCCCCCCCCCGAGAATCTTAATTACCAGGCGATTGGCTGGGATGCCGCAAAAAGGGGTCAAAAGAGGCACTGCGGGAGACTGGATGCTCGTCTGCTTTACTCCAAAGGAGTACAGGACCGGCGGCCACGAGTCATTTGCGTCCTGATCGGATACACACAGGAGCGTATATGAAGGTGCGCAAGGCAACAACTGCCCACGAGGATTTCACGAGACCACCACGCTCAGAATAGCCATCGGGGGTGCGGATGGGTGAGCGCAGGGGTGCTAACTTGAATAAAACGGGGGGGAGGCAAGCCCCGCCCCCAATAATCTATCCATCCATCACAAGACGTGGGGCACCCACACTATTTGAACAACAATGCCCATCAACTTGGGGGGGGCTCAATTTTTTGGGGGGGGGGCGAACGGACCTCGACCCCTAGGAGTTGTGGTAGAAACAAAGCGGGGCAGCGAGGACGGCACTTGACGGAGTTGCAAAGCCCCTTCCATTAGAGGAGGCGTTTTGTCGAGGGCAGGCATTTTGTGGGAAGCCGACGGGGGGGGGAGCCACTCCGGATCTCTCCCTCCCTCTTCGATAGGCCGAGGGATCCAGTCCGGGGGGCTCCCACCGCAGGACCTGGCAACCGCCCCAGAGCTGAAGGAAGGTCGCGCTGGGAAGCGCGGGAGGCCCAGCCAAGGGCCGCAGTGGGTTTGGAGTGGGGCTTTGCATGGAGGGTGCCCCATTCATTCTACCCTACGGGGGAAGAGGATCATGCACCGGGCGGGCGGGCGGGCAGCGCACCTGCTGGTAGTCGGCGTCCCTCGGGCGGAAGGCGCTGGAGACCGGCTGCAGGCGGAGGCTCAAGTGGGGCAGCCCGTGCAGCCACGACGCCCACCAGGGCGCCAGGTAGTCGGCCCGCGCCGCAGGCAACATCGCGACCCCGGGCCTGCCGGCTGCAGATGCTGCAGCTGCTCGCCGCCTCCCCGGACAGGCGCCCGCTCCTCCTGCCGCCGCTGCTGCCGCTTCTCGTGCCGCGTCCGCTCTCCGCACGCCGATCGCGGCCCGGCCTCCTTCGCCGTCGCGGAGCGCGCTCGCCAAGCACCGCCCCTTCTATTCTCCGCGATGGGGAGGCGGGGCAGGGCGGGGGCGGGGGGCGCAAGCCGGGCCATTCTGGGAGGGAGCGGACGCCCCCTACGGGATCCGCCCGACAGGCGGGGGCGATGCTTGCAAAGAAGTTCCCAGCAGCACTCCGTCTTCCTTCTTGCCCCCCCCCAAGAGATTTTTTTGGGTGTCAATCCTTATTGTGGGGCGCATGGTCGCAGAAGGATTTATGCTATATGGGGGGGGGGGGTTGCAGGACACCCACCTGTCATCATCCTCTGTCTGGCTCAGTCTAGCACATTAGGAATTTCTTTTGACCTCAAGTGCTGAGAAAAATCTGTCCGAATCTTTCTTCTTCTTTTTTTTACTTTTAGTTAAGTATTTTTATTTATTTACTTGTGTTTTTTTTGGAAGGGGGCAACTGTCCCCCTGGCTATGGTGGGGCGGGGTGTGCATCTCTGACTTGCATGCAAACATAATCCTGTGTTTTTCCTTTTAATGTCATCTCCAAGTGAGGGGAAGCGAAACATCTGCAAGGGAGGGGCTGCCCCAACTATGGAATATCCTCTCCAAAGAAAATGTGCCCGGCACAAACTTCATTGTTTTTTAGTCACTGGGCCATAACTCTATCTATCTATCTATCTGTTAAGTTGTGGGTGAACATATCAGACGACACAGCGATTCTTCAAACAGCTCTTGTTTATTCACAGGCCAGAACAGAACTGAACTGAAGGATTCAGCCAGCCTGCTTATATAGAGCTCCAGTACAACGCAACTGTAACAGCTTTCTGTAACTATCCAATCACTGAATGTCACTTTCAATCCCTTATTTGCATATGTGGACCTGAGTAAAAACTACAGTATCCCCCTGCTGGCCCAGGGTGAGAACTTCAGTACATAACACCATCTATCTATATATCTATCTATCTTCACTCATTTTTCACACAGTCATTTCACTCAATCACTCAGACATTTCAAAACATGTTTACTATATTAAATATTTCAAACTCTCCTACTGTCTATTGTGCTTTGTATTTCCTGCATGTACTGTTTATTTATTTATTTTTATAGCCCTCCTTGGAAATCATTAGCAAAATGCAGCACATAAATGTTTTAAATATAGTTCTCTCTTTAAAAACAAACAAATCCCCACACCTTTCCCACAAAGCCTTTGCCCTCCAGGGGAAGCTGGAAGATTCAGGATAGGCAAGAGACTTCTTCACACAGCAAAGCATGGATTTTGCCCTCACTAGATGTAGCAACAGCCACCAATTTGGATGGTTTTAATTAAAGATGGGACAAATTCATGGGAGGTTGAGGCTATCAAACGCTACTAGCCACGACTAAAACTAACCAACTAAAACATTGGTCACTAGCAACGTTGGTAGAAACCGTCCCAAGAAGAGAGACATTCAAGGTCCCAACACTTGCATTTGAAACACGTCTTATGTCTTATGACCACAAATAGGAATTCTCTGTCATTTCTCAGTTGGCAACGAGGAAGTTCTGAATTGGCCTAGGGATTGCTTAACTTACAGAGCCTAGCTGCTTCCTAACTTACAGAAAATCACTACTTGGACATACTACTGCCTGCTATGTCGCAAAAGCGCTAATTTGCAGTTTCTCTTCCCATTTAAAAAATAAATAAAGCATAAACCTCACAAAGTCAAGCACTGGGTGCATTCTGCAGGGGACAGATCACGTACAGGAAGCATATACACACAGAATTTATTTTCAGAGAAACAATCAGTGCAAGATGGTAAAAGGGTGGGAGCCATCCTGGTCCCTGTCTCTACACCAGGAACTGCTAATTCTCTACCCAGAAAGGGCCGTTGACTCCACCCTCCCCCCAAAAAAACCAACCCCCCCCCAAATCCAGCCACATGCAACTCTTCATTCATGTGTTCATTGTATGGTAGTGTCTACATGACGGTTATCGCCACCTTTAGCCTTCTGTGCAGGACTTGAAACACTTGGGTGCGATTTAATGCATACTTTCATAAAAAACCTCTCCCTCACTGCTTATTAACCCAACCCTGACTGGCCTCTGGATTATTGCCAGTATTACTTTTATAATACCTTCAATATATGCATTAAAGTCTATATGGAAGTTGTAGTGCCTCAGTTTTCTACACACTTTCATGTGGGTGGGTGGGAGATCCTGTGTTACAGAGAAGGATCAATAAACCTTATTTCTATAACTTATTTAAGGGAAGTAGAGAAGCAAGCCTTTGTGTCCCAGACTGTTCATCAGACCCTCTCAGGCATGCCAAAGCATGCTGCCTTTTTGACTTTACTAGGTTAACTCAAGAAGCAGGAAGAAAGTGCATAGGGACAGCCATGTGGCAGAGTTGTTTTGTTTCATGCTTCCCATTCATGACCGTGTCCATGCTTTCAGGAAGCAACAGATCAGCAGCAACATGGGAAGGGTAGTGTTACCCATTACCAGAACTTGAGCTTTGTCAGTTCCATGGAAATCTGGCAGGGCCAATTATCATCAAACATCAGTGTGACAGCAGTTTTTAAATATCTGAATGAGATATTTGAGATATATGAGATATCTGAATGAGTTTGAGGAAATGAGATAGATTAAACCCAGCTTCTGCGATGACACTGTATCTCCACCTCACTTCAAGGTCTCAGCATCAGCAGAAACAATGGATGGGGAAATCATACAGACCCCAAATAGCAGCTGTTATTTAAGGAATGCGGCAGTGCTAGCTCAGCTTATTTCAGCACCATTTTCTTCCCTGTAGAAATCCTCTTTCTGACATTTGGAGGAGGCTGCTGAGGAAGAGAAAGCAGCGTCTACCCCAGATATCAGTTAGTCCTTTGCCATACAGCACTTACCTAATGATCTCAGATCATCTTGCCAGCCTCTGGAATTCTCTTGGGAGTTAGTGAGACCTTGGGCTACATATTGTGAATCGACATTTTTATCAATGTAGTGCAGAAATGGGCAGGCCCCCTAGCAAATCAATAAGAAAAAAAGTTAATTAAATCAGATCTGAGCTGCTAGTCAAAGGAAAGGGAGAAGAGCCATTTTTCACTTTCTAGCAGCACAAATTCTTGGGCAGAGGGATACATGTTCTTTCTCTGAATCATTCTAGAACACAAAATGTCCATCACTGGGGAATACTGCCTGCAGAAAACCATCTTTAGTTACTCTTCTCAATGATTCTAGAGGGCAGCTGCATTAATCGACTGCAGCAAAACTAGTAAGACCGTCGAGTAGATACCAGAAAAAGAACAAAGCAAATTCTCAATTATTTGATTTTCTTGGATTTCCAACACAGAACATTTGCCTGGAGATACTAGTCCATAGGACGTGGGTGGCGCTGTGGACTAAACCACAGAGCCTAGGGCTTGCCGATCAGAAGGTCGGCGGTTCAAATCCCTGTGACGGGGTGAGCTCCCGTTGTTGGGTCCCTGCTCCTGCCAACCTAGCAGTTTGAAAGCATGTCAAAGTGTAAGTAGATAAATAGTTACCACTCCAGTGGGAAGGTAAACGGCGTTTCCGTGCGCTGCTCTGGTTCACCAGAAGCGGCTTAGTCATGCTGGCCACATGACCCAGAAGCTGTCTGCCGACCAAAAGCCGGCTCCCTCGGTCAGTAAAGCGAGATGAGCGGTGCAACCCCAGAGTCGTCCACGACTGGACCTAACGGTCAGGGGTCCCTTTACCTTTTACTAGTCCATAACAATATTGGTTTCTGTTTTTATATTTGTTAAAACACACTTGTGGAATGCAGTACTCATCTATTATATAAAGTGCAAAGGGAAAACTGAAAATATGTACCTAGAGCACTTATGATGTTGGATGGTACTACAAGTTCTGCTGTTTTAGAAGTAAGCTGTGGAATCACACATTTTAGTTCACTTAAAAATAATAAGATTCGACTCCTTTTAAAATGTAAGACTTCAGTACATATAGTGACTGCACAGTTTAAGGCTTTGATGTTTTGTATAATGTATGTGTGTGTTGTGTGTGTATATAACGTTTAATACAAATAAATGTTTTTGCCCCGATTCCAATAAAATGCTTCCAGTATTTTAACAACCATTTGCTTCTTCTGACATCATCTCAGACCCAGTTGTAGCCATACCTGATACTTCACCCAGTCTTAAGGAGGAAAAGCATTTATGTTGCAACCTTGCCACATGCTTCCCCCTCCAACATCACAAAAAGAACTGCCTGTCTTAAGTGGGTCAGACCACTGTTCCATCAAGTTCAATATTATCTACGCTTAGCAACAGCTCTCCAGGATTTCAGACAAAGGATGTCTCAACTCTACCTAGAGGTGCTGGGAATTGAACCCTGAGATTTTCTGCTTGCGACACAGACACTCTGCCACTGAGTGATGGCCGCAGTTCCGTCCTTGTTTCTTTCCCCTAATGTTGTGACAATCTGTTCCATCTCTGCACACAGCCCACTTGAGGATTGAACTTTACCTGACATTTAAACACTTCCTTAAAACAAGCCGTATTTGTGAAAAAGCTCTTGAAAAACCTACATTTGGAGGAAAATATTGAGCAGTGGCTCAGCAGGAAATTAGCCAGACTACATAATAGCCCATCCGGCTTTGTAGCCTCTATGAATCACAGTAGCCGTGAGCTGTATTTATAGCTTCCTACGCCTTTGGTTAATAGAGTGTATAAATCCCAAAGCTTTTTCAGCATGATGTCATGACCTCCAGCCTGATGCAATGAATCTTTCACACTCTCCCAACTCAAGGCTTCTTTATAGGGAATGGTAATTATCACACTGCCATTGAGATGGCCCTCTCGACAACTCCAGGATTGTGCTAAACGCAAGTGATATTTGCATGAATAAACAATAATCTTTCCCTAGTTCAAAGACTAGGCATCAGATGTTTTCATGCTACATCTAAATGCCCCTTATTAAACTACCAATGGTCTTGATCGTACCTTTATAACAGATATCGACATACTTCAGAGGATCAACTTGTTTATTATCACTAAT